AACTTGGTTAAAAATTTGGATTGTATGGTATTCCACTGAAAGTGAATTGAGCTAAAACAAACAATTCTGGAGAAATGCTCTTGTTTTTATTTTAAAATGTTATATCAAAACTAAAAGAAACTAGAACCGTCTATATGATTATTTAAGGATGATTGAGAATAGGATGTGAAACTTGAAATATGAAAAAAAAACAGTTGAACTGATACTATTTGCCATAACTAAATAACTGTTTCATTCAAATCCGAGATTCTTCATAAGTCTATGCCAAAAACCCTACCAAGAAGTGAACTAAAGACCTTCTGATTTTGATACGATAGCATTACATCTAACTGCACTTAGACTGATCTCAATCTGTCAAAAATTCTTTCCACAAATTAAAAAAAACCTCTAAGTCATACAAAATATTATCCGAAAAATTGAAACAAACACAGATAACGTGGTTAGCAGAGATGGATAGTGGTTAGCAGTGGAATCCAGGATGCACGTTTCGTCCTATTCGGGACTCGTCAGCTGAATGTACCTGCATCTCAGAGTTGATGTTCACTGTGGGACTCGAACCCAGTATCCTCGTTTAAAATGCCATAACGTTATGCACTCGGCCACCGATCCTGATAGCCGCTTGCTAGTGCGATGGGGTGAAGTTTAAATTCAACTTAGTATTGTTTGTTTGAATCTTCCCATCGATTTGTTGAGACTGAAACTTGTCAGTCTCTAATTGGCTATCAGGACTCAGTGGCCGAGTGGGTAACGCGATGGTGTTTGAAATGAGGGTACTGGGTTCGAGTCCCACAGTGAACATCAACTCTGAAATGCAGGTACATCCAGCTTACGAGTCCCGAATAGGACGAAACGCGCATCCTGGATTCCACTGCTAGCCACTCTCTATCTCTGCTAACCATGCTTGTGAATTAAGGTATATCGAGGCAATACACACAGTATGCACATATGCCAATTAGAGACTGACCAGTTGCAGTCCTAAACACATCGATGGGAAGATTCAAACAAATAATACTAAGTTGAATTTAAACACAGATAACGGTCCAAAAAACGAGTAAATTAGAAAATGCCTATTGAAACAGGTAGGAAGAAAAAGAACTTATTCAAAGAAATATTTATTTCTAATTTTCCATGTTGTAATTATCGTCAGCTCTATATTTACATCATCCATCTTTTATGGTTGGTGACAAGATGAATTTCAATTAAATGAGATCAGTTAATCAGCATTACTAAAAATGGTGAATGATTTATAAAATTATAATAGATGATCAAAGTAGTATATCAAAGATTAAAATGAGATATTGTATATCTAAATTGACTTTTGTAGATATTTTAGTAATTTTTAGTAATTGAGTTTATGATTCTATTAAAGCTAGACAACCGATGAAAAACTGAAAGCACTGGACGATCGTTTCATCCTAACATGGGATTCCTCAGCAGTGTGCATCTACGATCCTACACGCCCGAAATTGAACCCAGGACCTTCGGTCTCTTGAGAGAACTCTATACCTCTAGACCACTGAGTCGGCTTCCAACTGCGTTAATGTGTTACTTGAACCAATCTACGATACTGCGTCTTCAGTGGGTAGCTGCCTCTACAACAGACATGGAATCCCATACTAGGACGAAACGGCCATCCAGTGCTTCCAGGTTTTCCATGGTGGTCTAGCCTTAATCGACTCATGAACTCAAATATTAAAAACTAATGTATATCTTTTATAAGTGAACAGAAAATCAATCTCAATTAAATGGTGGTAAGTTAGTTTATAACGTTTGTAAATTAAAATTTAGATTAGGACTAAAATGAATATTCCTAATTAGTTAAATAATACAAATAGTTACATAATGAATATTCAATATGAATCTAACGGTGAATGTCAACGTTTTTTGTTATTTATGAAATTGATCATAAGTAATTCATAGGACAGGTGTAGTGAAATTTAGATATAATGAAGAAACAGGTTACGTAAGACTAGAATTAGAAATTTAATTGTATCTGAATAGAAGGCGGTCTATGCTTCTCCACGAGGGTAACAGGCGTAAGTAAGCAAGTAAGTAAACAGATGGTCAGGGTATATTTAAAGGTTGTATACACTTTTTCTCTATACAAGATTAGGTTTAATGTATAATACAATGGTTTCTATTATATGTGAGAATCGGATTCCACAACTAAATAGTGAGTTCGGAAAGATTACATCCCAAAGTTTTATCTATGTAGTGACCAGTATCGACCAGATGCTTCAAGATAGAGCTTCTTATTACTTTCCTTTGTCTTTTGGTTCACCATAAATGGTGTCGTTCAGAAATACGATGATCTTAGTTAAACCACAAATGAAAACTAGGAATGACTGAACAGTATTTCTGATCCTGGTTTATCATTCATCTAGACGTTGAGTGTTCGCGCATGCTCAAAGGTCAAATAATGTCCTGCTGTGTTGAGGAGTTTCATAATATTGACGAAACAGCTGCCAAGTAATCGCTAATTCTCTGCAGTGATCTAACTAACATCAGTCCACGAAAATTAAATTCATATATCATTTGATGATTGAGAAAAGAATGCTAGCAAAGTATGGTTTTCATCAGTATGCTTTTAGTAACAATAAGTGAATCAATATATATGATTCACTTTGTACAATTATTTTAGCTTTCACTACGTTTATTGATGCCTACCAATTAGTATTATAATTATTCTTTGATATCATCAAGTGATAAAAAGATCTCAGGTTTTTATTTCAGAGCTAGGCAACAAAAGGTTACTCAATAGAATATTTAAAAAATTAACCTAACTACTATGAACCATTAGTTTACTCATTTTATTGACCAAAGCTAATCATATTTAAACTAGGTTTTATGTATAAATAGTGTTTTAACAATGTTTGAATTTCAAAAGTGAGACAGTTCACTTTTTCAAGATAATTTACATCATCGAGTTACGTAAGCTAAAGAAATTTCTAATGAAAACATACTGATGTCAATTTCATAGTCTACATATAATGAAGTTAGATTCAAGATGTGATGGTCCTACGTTCAATTCCCGGCAAGGTATTTTAAACTAAGACAAACAGCCCTCCCATATTCTTTGGTTTCCACAGGTCCAAGGCTTGACTAAAGGAGGTTTGTGAAGTGAATTATTGTTTTATTAGGGGGTTTTGTGGAGACTTTAGTAATTTTATATAGTAGAGATCATGACTCAATTGAACCTGGACCACCATGGAAAACCTGGAAGCACCAGACTACCGTTTCGTCTTATTGTGAGACTCCTCAGCAAGGAGCATCCACGATCCTGCCTCGTGAGATTCAAACCCAGGACCCATCAGTCTCGCACGCGAGCACTTAACCGATAGACCACTGGTGAATGGATGCTAAATTTTGTGAATTGATTGAAGTTACACATTAACACCGTTGGATGCCGGCTCAGTGATCTAGAGGTTAAGCATTCGTGTGCGAGGCTGATAGATCCTAGGTTCGAATTTCGCGAGGCGGGATCGTGAGTGCGCTTTGCTGAGGAGTCTCACAGTAGGACGAAACGGTTGTCCAGTGCTTCCAGTTTTTTCCTGGTGGTCCAGCTTCAATTGACTCATGATCTCAATTAAATAAAATTATTTTTTTCTCAAAAAATAAGTGTTTCTTCACTTCCATCAACGATAATTCTATATAATCCTATTTACTATCTTGAAAGTTCAAGTGCTGATAACTAAATACTGTTATTTCACGATAAATAATCTAGAACCATGTTACAGGTTATCGTCTTTTTCAATAGAATCGAGATGAAAATATTTAAAATCTATTTACTACTGAATATAATCAAATTACATTTCTTTTCACTGTATATATATGCTGTATATATATGACTAAGTAAGAAGGATTTATAATTCGTAAGAATAAGCAAACAAATAGTAGAGTACTGAAATAATAAAAATTGTATTCAAGTAGATGGAAGTTGTAAAATTTGTATCGTAGTGAGTAAGAACACAGGTGGGGACAACCAAATATATGTGAATACCAAATTTCAGAGTTATTTTTTTTAAAACAATGTTAATACTATAATTTCAATACTTCATTTGTAAAATGTCCATCAATTGTTTCAAAGTTTTTTATTCCTTCATTTTCATACCATAATCATTCTCTGTTCCCGTTCTTTTCTATACGATCTTCTTAACCTTCTGCTTCCAGGCATTCTAATTCTAATTGGTGTTACACACTACTTATATCTGTTTACATAAGTAGCACACACCAAAATATGACACACAAAATGTTCCGATATAATTTAAAATTTCTCATACAATTCTTAAGGAACTATATTTTACTTTTATTCATATTCAAGAATAAATTTTGATCAAACTTTGTTTGTATACATAAATTTTGCTTAGGCAATCGACTATTATGAATAAATCTTCATTGAAATGTAGAATACTTTGATTTTTAATGTAACAATCCAAAAGTCTACTACTCAATTATAAATACTCAATTTTATGAAATAATTTATTTTCAATAACATGTTATGTAACGAGTAATTTATGCATCATTTACATACAAATCTAGTAACCAACATTTTGATTAAACAAAAAGATTTTGTTATCAGAAGAGGTTTTTGTGAAGATTTAGTATTTTAATAGTTGAAAGCGTGAGTCAATTGAAGTTAGACCACCATGGAAAACCTGGAAGCACTGGACGGCCAACTCGTCCTGTTGTGGGAGTCCTCAGCAGTGCGCATTCACGATCTCGCCTAGCCTGATTCGAACCCAGGACCTACAAGTTTCTCGCAAGAGCACTTAACCGATAGACCACTGAGCCGGCATCCGATAGTGTTTATGTCTAACTCCAACCAATCCATGAAATTGAGCAACCGTTCACCAATTGTCTTTGGTGAGTGGTTTGAACTCCACTGGTCATTGCTTCTGACTAGAATTCCTGGATTTACCTGTCAAAGTCAATCACTAGTGAGCATATGATTAATATTATCAACTATTTCAACTAAGAAAAAAGATTTTGATTGAACTTACGTTACACGTTTATCTTCATTCATTTCTATAAGACGTGCTCTAGCTAATACTTGTTGTATACGTTCTTTTTCATCATCAGTTAATTCCATTTGTACAGTTTTTAATAATGCTATTTCAGTTGTTGTTGATGTATCTGTAATCAATTTTGAATTAGATTTATCTTGACTATAATCATTTGTTTTAAATGTTTCATTCAATGAAATCTGTGACTGACTTTTACGGGAATTTGGTAATAATGAAGAAATTCCTGTATCAGATACATTTTGAATAGGATAATTAATTAAATCACGTTGTAATGATTGACTACGTTTATAATTCACATCATCATCATTCTTATTCATATTTTGTTGTTCTAAGGTTTGACTAGTTTCATTACCCATTTTAGTTGATTTCTTTATATCTCATGTATAGCAACCATTGAAATGATAATCATGATAATAATCCACATAGTTGTTAAGGTTTACTTTACTCAATATATATTCAAGGATCATTTTAAAAGAAGAAACTGGGTAATGAAGCATCAATAAGAAGAATATTTACAGAATATATAATTATTTATCTTCATGTATGAAAACAAATAACCCATTCAATATTTTTTTTAAATGAAGATCTAATCTACTACTTAAGTGGCATGCTTCTTCATTTTTCTAAAAAAACAAAAAAAAATTGATAGGTTAATGATTCGTATTGATAAACTAAAATATATTAACCAATCAGATGAATGACCTTGAAAATTTCCCATTTTACTGGATATCTTTGAGTTTTATTGACTAAATTGCCTATTATTGATCGATTTAGTTAAGTTAGGAGAATTAAATGTAAACATATAGCTAGGTAGTAAATACTAGAGGAAATTGTTGGATTGTTTATAATGATCCTATTACAATCATTAAGAAAATAACGTGAAATATTTTTTTTAGATTTTTTTGCTTATCTATGAAGAAGGCTACGAATTTAGCTTACGAAACACTGTTGTCATTTGATATTTCTGGCTTCAGATTGGTTTTTTGTTTGCTTTATTTTGTTACCAGGTAGAATGAAACATAAGCTTTGTGTGTTTGTGTGTGTGTTTTGTTGTTGAAACTTTGTTCATATCATGAAATATTGAATGAAAAGAAAATTAATGTTGAGTATTAAATGAAATTGTTTTTCTCAGCTATTGCAATGCTTGTTATCCCTCATGGAAGAGCAGAGGCTAACCATCAGTATTCTTCATCAAACTCTGTCCTGAACAATCATTTTTACTTGTCTCCAGTTGCTATTCATCTTTAGTATGTTTGCTTCTGATTCTCGACTCAATGTGTACCTTGGTCTTCCTCTTGTCTATTCACCTTCGGAATTCCATGTTAGTGTTTGCTTCGTGATGCAGTTTGACGATTTCCTCAATGCATGTCCTATCCACTTCCAGTGTCTTTTCTTAATTCCCTCATCAGATGGAAGATGGTTTGTCCTCTTCCACAGTAGGCTATTGCTGATAGTATCCAGCCAACGAACATTGAGTGTCTTGTGTAAACAATTGTTTATAAATACTTGTAATTTTTTGTTAATTTTTGTGATAGTTCTGTAGGTTTTAGCTCTGTACAGTAGGACTGTCTTGATGTTTATGTTCAAGATTGTGACTTCGATGTTGGTTGACATATGTTTTGAGTTTCATATGGTCTTCAATTGTAGGAATGCTGCCCTTGCTTTGTCAATCTTCACCTTTGCGTCTGCATCAGATCCTCAACATTCACCGATAATGCTACCCGGATACCTGAATGTTTCCACCTCTTCCAGAGTTTTTCCACTAAGTGTGATTGGGTCGGTTTTCTCGGTGTTGTATTTGAGGATCTTCCTTTTTTCGTTGTGTATGTTGAGGCTTACTTATGCAGAGGCTGCTGCTACACTGTTTACTTTTCAGCTATTAGTTCCATCATTTAAGTATTGATTATTAGATGTTAGTATTAACCTACACTATTACATGGATTCTAAGCATCAATGGTGAAGAAATATGTACCTTACTAAAGAACTAATCATATTTGGATTGCGACTATTGGATATTAGGTTGAAATTCAAGATGGCAGATAGATTACATCTTATTATAGGATAGGTTAAACATACGTATACTTAATTACTAAGACGATTGAAATTAATGGTAAGAAAAAACTTTGACTTCTGTACTGGGATCCTAAATAATGCATATCCACAACCACACCACCACAGATCAAATTCAAGACCTTTACTTCTCTCAACAAACGCCTAATCCTTAGATAACTGGGCCAAGATCCAATAGATTACATCTTCAACTTTAATTAACTCGCGATGTTGCATGCTCATCTTCCGTTGTCTTTGACAGGTACTTCACCTCATCCGACATGGTAAAGTACCAATGGTAGTGGTTTGTTACTAGAACTCCAAAAATTTCCTCTCGACGCTAATCCCTAATGACCATATAGCAATAATCGATACGAGGATTACGAAGAGTGCTGAATATGAAATGACTTGGAGTAATAAGGTATTTTACAAACTAAACCGAATCAAGAATGTGTTTATACTCATATATATATAAGCGTAAGCCGTTTCTTAACCAATCGGTTGCATAATTAGTAACCTTTGCAACAACGAATCATATACTCTGATGTATTAAGCATTTGTTCGACCACTCCTAGAATACTGGACTTTTATTCTTAGTAGTATTCACAAAAAGGATAAATTACGGTTGGAATCCGTTCAGAGACGCACTACACTTCGCATTCTTGGGCCCGACTGTACCTAAAGTTATAAGTTCATAAGTAATACACTTGGACTCGACCCTTTATGGAATAGGAGATTACAATTAAATCTGATATTTTTCTTCAAAATACTTAACGAAAGATCTTTTACATGAAATGAAGTAACTTGATATGCAGAAACTTTTAGATACAGCATCCGTAAATCTGTCATCAGTGAAACAATCACATTCTAAATCTTCTCTCAGTATGGATTACTATACCAGTAAACTTTCTATACTGTGGAATAATTTACTACGACCTATCCGTGAAACAAAATCACCCCAATCCTTTTTTTTCCTGCAGCGATGTCTACTTCTTTGAAAACTCTTTAGATATTCTTAGACCTGTGTTTGTATCTTATTCCACAAGTAAGATCATAGGAACTTTCAATGTTTAGTCATTTTTATTACTGAATCCACTCAGTTAACCTCCCTACCTGCTGTTACTTTGCACTATCATCGATCCTGGCAACCTTAACTAATTTAAGTAATATCTAACACGACTACTATATTATAAAATAACCTAGCATATGTATTATGGTAGACCTGATTAACCTGTTGTATTAATTATTGTCACTTTTATTCCAAGCTGTCTACTTCCGTTTTATTTTCTCTAGTTGTAGATGGTCATAATCAATTTATTATGGAGCAGGAAATAACCTTAAATGCACTGTTCATACAACAATAGGACGTCCACTCGAAAAGAATGAAAAGTTCCCGGCTGTGATAAATGTACTACCTGAAAATTTTTTGAACTAGAACACCTAAAACAATCTTATATCACATTCAATAATACTGTCTATATCAAGATGATCTGTAATTATTAGTTTCAGTGTATACATATAATCATTATTGGTTACATTGGTGAAGCAGAAATGAAAGCTTTCCCTGCAGTCTGCCGAATTCTGTCAGACTGCAAATCCTGCAGACGTATGAAGCAATTCTTATTCGGATCAAAAAGCTATACCTCTGCGTCCAAAAGAAATATGTTCAGTTGTTCTTTATACCTTGGCCAACTTCGGGTCCAACTAGTTATTAATCCAATTTTTGATATGGTGACGTAATCTGGTCAATGTTCTTTTTTATCTTAAACTTAAACACACAACTCATTATTGTTGTTATTATTACAATTGCTAACGTTTTTGAGGAATTTCTTCAGGGTCCATCCCTATCTACTAATTCTTGCCTAATTCATATTATTCAACATACTACATAATTTCTGATTTGTAATTACATTATTCTCTCTCTCACTCCATGTCGACCATATTTATTCTGATGATTTATCTCACGATTTCATTTAACTTATAAGCTTATTCAATTTAACATAACATATTAGTCGCACAAATATTATCGAGTTTCAGTGTAGGGTTGTCGAGATTTTTGAGTTTTTGATTAAGATCATGAATCGATGATTGCTAGACAATCATTGACGAAAACGCCTTCCAGTGCTTCAAGATTTTCGATGGTGGTCTAACACTCACCGATTCATGATCTCAATCAAAATATTAACATTTTTATTTTATTTTATATGACTAACATCCTTGCTTCGCTTGCTAACATTTTATATGATGTACTTGTAAAATGCGAATTAAGGTTTGGCTGAAAAATAACTGTCTCCGTATTGTCGAAACGCGATACACCCCAGCTGAAATCAAAACAAGGGGATTTGAGAAAATAACGGTTCTAAATTTCATTATAAAAACAAATGTACATTACAACCTAAACAAATATTACCGCTTATTTATTCAATCAATAACTGTCCCTTCAATAATCGATCTAAATTACAATAAATAGACAAACTGTTAAGGAATATAAGAAAATTGCCAAACGCACCAAAAAATAAGTGTTATTCTATTCTTTCGGGATAGATCAAGTAAAAAATATGTTCAAAAGATAATAGTTTGTTGCTTTATAACACAAACTGTTTCCGATTCTGGATAAGTGCTTCAATCCACAATCAAAATGCACGAACCCAGTCAACTCAAGCAACACAATCAAGGAGGAAACAATCAATATAGCTGCCACCAAGACTAAATATCAACTAAAACAACATAAATACAATTCAGGAAAAAACAGAAACTCAGTGAAGGCAAAAGAAAAGTGAGAAAACTGTCATAAAATATGATATTACCATCTCAAATGGCAACTAAAAGATAAACAAGATGTACAACTAAAGAAACCAATAAGAAGATGCAAATGTATACATGAAGAGATTTTCACACAGAAAAACCTTCAAAATAGATCTTACAGTACTCTGCCTTAAATCTGACCACTTTGGATATATATATAATTGTAGAACGTCGATAAGGAATGATTGAACAGAATATTATTCGTTCATATATCTGTGTTGTAAAATTGTAGTGAACAAAACGCCGGTTGGGGACAATCGAATTTATTAAAGCAAAAATTACAAACTGTCTCACTCAATTCTGATAACCATACAATGAACAGTTAATTTGCAAATTAACAATCAATTGTCTAAATCTTCTCTGTTCCTTCTGTAAACATCAATTCATCTTCTCTAATTCCATTGTTTATGCATTTTCCTACCAATTGCACTTCATTTTAGTTCTTTTCTTGTCGGTCTTCTGCCAAAATACATTTTATGATTGACCTTCACCATATACTGTTTATATGGATATAAGTAGACTACACTACAGTATGATAGGGATTTTTTCAATCATTACCATTTGATAAATAATAGTTTCAATCATTTCCTATATCTACAGGAACTTAAATAGATACCTTTAACTATTTCTAACTGATTGATAAACAATCGATTACTTATTCTCACTTATTTCCTGAACTTATAATAATAATAATAACAATAATAATAATAAAATCCCCAAGGTTTTATTTAACATGTTTTTCTCTTTTCTTTTTGTTTTTTCTTTTTTTTTTAAAAATTTCTTAATCTTCTATTCCAGTTGACTGAACTTAATTTATGATCATTTCAATTATTAACTTGTGATCATTTTAGCCTTTAGTTTCTTTCCTTTTTTGTTTTTTTTATCTTCTTAATCAATATTTTTTAATTTTTTTTCTTTAGATATAGAAAAACATTTTTTTCATTTAAATTTGATCGATTAGTATCGTAGTTGTTGTGGAATTATTTCTTTTTTGTAGGTAATGATATAAGCGGTTGATAAAAACGAAAGGAAATCAAATACACTGGTGTTATTCTATTCATATAAACGTTTTCTGGACAATGAATAGTACAATCTATTTAAAATGATTATTAGTTTTAGAGTGTAAGTAGTTATAAACCATCAATTATGTTTTCGAAATGCAAAATATTTCTTCAGGATTGAGTTGCATCGACACCTGAACTAATGATAGGGAGTGAAGTAGTTGACTACTTCACTTATCTTGGGAGTTTCTTCAGCACTTGTGGTCTGGTGTGTGACGAAATCTCAGCACGGATACAGAAGGCTCGTGTAGCTTTCGCCGATTTGCGTCATTTATGGCGTAGGCGAGATATCCGTCTAGCAACAAAAGAACGGGTTTATTATGCAGCAGTTAGGTCGGTCCTACTTTATGGCAGTGAAACATGGCCGATAAGAGTAGAGGATATTCGTAGGCTGCTAGTGTTCGATCATAGATGTCTTCGAAACATTGCTCGTATATCCTGGGACCACCGACTAAGTAATGCAGTTATTAGAAATTGGGTACTAGGTAAGGATGGCAAATCGATTGATGAAGTAGTGTAACTTCATCAGTTGAGATGGCTGAGACATGTGTTACGTATGCCCAACCACCGACTACCTGGACGTGCAATGTTTCATGGTGTAGGAGTAGGTTGGAAGAAAGATAGGGGTGGCCAGACCAAAACGTGGCACAAATCAATGAAGTCACTGACAAGTGGACTGAGACATGCTGGTAGGTGTAGACTACCTGGTTGGGATGTGCGAGATAATAGAAATCGATGGTTAGAGACCTCGAATGGCATGGCTGAAAATCGTTTGTAATGGCGTAGGTACATCCACTCTTCGTGTTCTCCCAAATTCTAATCTTCTGAGTTCTTCATGCCTCTATATTTTTTCTCTTTCCAAATTTACTTCACTGGATTATACACTTTCAATAACTTCTTCAAACCCTAATCTTTCACATAATGCTTATACTCTTACTACTTCTACCACTATGGGATTTGAATTGTTAACTGGATCTCTGTGCTAATGTGGTATGGCAACTCGAACTGATGTATGTAAGTGCGAAGTTCTACGTTGTGACTAACTGACTGAGTCAATGATTTAGTTACTAGAGTAGTTTTTAATAGATGGTTGGCAATATTAAACACAGACAAAATTAAAGTGGAAAATTATATTTGTAAAAATCCCAAAGGTTGCTTCAATAAATCTGGATTCTTATCATTATAAAAAGTATATAAATAACTATACAAAACCTTTTGTTAATCTCATCTTCATTAATATAAAAATTAAATCGTGAAATTCCATTTAAAAAATATATTTCTTTGTAAAATCTCAGCGAATTAATTTTTTTGAAAAAGCTTGGACCAGAATGCCAGGAGAAACGTTGGATTTACTTTAAATTCATTTGCTGAAATTTTACAAAAACTATTCTTCTTCCTTTATGTCTTACATAAACTCGGCGCCTAAATACTGTGAAACTAGTGAATAAAATTTAGGCGGAAGCTTTTATAGAATATTATAAAATGCCCTTTTATCTAAATAAACATTATTATGGATGTTATTTCAAGTCACTCTTATTGATTGCCTATTCATGGCGGGGGTGTTGTTTACGAAATAAGGAGGACGAAAAGCGAATGTCCAGAGATTTATCCGGGTTGGTGAACATGGAAAGTCCACCTAGGTGAGTTGAGAAACCTTGATTCCAAACCAATGGTGCACATGGGCTCCATGACCCCGAGGGAACAAATGGCGTATGAACCGACTGTTAATCACCGGTTACCATGGGACTGCATCTCCTCACAATGCTCTACTACCTTGTGGATCAGACCTTTGGGTCAAAGGCTCGGGTCGTGGCCCCTTAAGTAAACCACCTGCTTCAGTTTAGTCACCTGGGCAGTATCACAATTCTCACACAAATCAAATGAGATTTGTGTGGCGCATATATATCTGGTACCATTTTCGTACCAATATTTATTTGTTTAATAATAATAATCATTATTATTGATTCTTAACCAGAAAAATCTTTTCTTTTCATCAAAGATGTGCTCCTGTAATAAAACTTTCTCCCTCATCTTTCTTCTTTTGTGCGAATCGTAAAAAATTACTAATCTAATCGACTAATTTAATCACCATAAACAAATTGAAATACAATTATGTTCAAATATAATATCTGTACTCTTGGAAAAACAAAAGATCATTAATTGAACAAGTGCATCTATTTATAGATCAGATCATATGATCTGAAGATATTCTATAAGATAAATAAATATTGGAAGAAGAAAAAAGAAGAAAACTATGGTCAATACCATTTTTTTAACCATTCGAATGTCAAGTATATTTTCTCATTATTAACATTTGTTTGATTCCCAAAAGGTGTGAATAAGTTGAGAGAAACGAACGACGACAATAGATGAAACTATTCAACATGAATTCATTCTACTTATTCTTAATAATCTTTCCAATAGTCTCAATATTATCAGTAAATCATCAAAGAGAAAATTATCAATCAAGTGAACATCATAGTGACAATCACAAAGATGGTCATTCGCATCATAACCATCATGTACCTCACTATCATGGACATCATCGGGAAATTGATCAAAGACGTAAAACTGAACCAAGACATCATTATTATCATCGTCATCATCATTATCCACAAGCAGTGCAACATCATTTGAAAAAGTCAGAACATCAGGAAAGTCAAGAACATAAACCGATGAATGAAGAATATCGCCATGTTTTAAAACCTCAGTCTCATCAACAAAAAGAAAATAGACCAGTGAATGTAGATTATGTATCAAAACATAAAGAAAATCACCATCATCCATCAGTGAAACCCGCTTCATCCCAATCAATTAATCCAACAAGCCAAACTGAGAATAAAAAAAACCATCATCCTTCAGTTGAATCAAAGGAAAAACCTAGTTATACCACCAAGCAAAATCTATCAAATAAGGAAACCGATGAGAAAGCTAATACAGAACAGAATAAAGATAAACCACATGAACACAAGAATGTATTACCTAATAAAGATTACCATCACCATCATCAGTATCATTATCAACATCATCATCATTATCCAAATCATGAAATTAGTAGTACGAAAACATCAAATGAAAATAAATCAACCGAACAACATATCAATAAATTCAATAATAAATCACCTGAACAAAAGAACAATAAACAAACCACATATCAAGCAAAGTCAACTGCTGAATTGAAAGATGAAAGTAAAATAAAAAAGGAACATTCTGAGAATGTTAAGAAAAAAACTGTAAGTTCCTAGCTTTATGAAAATGAATAATGTATTCCATTTTAGATGTTGTAGCCTGTTTTTTTGTTGTTGTTTCCCCTTACTGTGTAGTTGATATTAGTCCCTGAAGCATATTATGACCTATATTATTTAAGTTTAATCGCTTTAAAGTATCAAACGCTTTATATTTGCTTAGATTCACATCATTAGAGCACATCAACATTATTTCTTAAAATGAAAACTGTGTTCATTACTGACTGCTCAAATAACAAGTGACGATACGACCGCATGACTAGTAGTAATAATGAAAGACTTCAGGCCAACGACCTCTTCAATAACTGTCTGGTGCTCTATTAAAAGAATTATGCTAAACAAAAAAAAATAATTGTCCATCAAAATGATATATTTCATTGTTAGCAGAGATGGATAGTGGCTAGCAGTGGAATCCAGGATGCGCGTTTCGTCCTATTCGGGACTCGTCAGCTGGATGTACCTGCATCTCAGATTTGATGTTCACTCTGGGATTCGAACCCAGTACCCTCGCTTAAACGCCATCGCGTTATCCACTCGGCCACTGAGTCCTGATGGCCACTTGCTTGTGCGATGGGGTGAAGTTAAAAAACAACTTAGTATTGTTTGTTTGAATCTTCCCATCGATTTGTTAGGACTGCAACTGCAACTGCAACGCGCGTCCTGGATTCCACTGCTAGCCACTATCCATCTCTGCTAACCATGCTTGTGAATTAGAGCTATATCGAGGCAATACGCACAGTATGCACATATGCCAATTAGAGACTGACCAGTTGCAGTCCTAAACATCATTGGGAAGATTCAAACAAACAATACTAAGTTGGATATATTTCATTGTTAAGTATATATTCTTACTTACTTACGCCTGTTATCCCATCTGCTTTTTATCCATCCCACCCTGTTTAGGACAATCCTTTCCAATTCTTTCCAGTTGCTATCCATCCTTTTCATATCTGCTTCTATTTCCCGACGTAATGTGTTCTTTGGCCTTCCACTTCTCTGCATCCCTTCAGCGTTCCAAGTTAGCGCTCTCCTCATGACGTAGTTTGATGATTTCCTCAATGTATGTCCTATCCACTTTCAACGTCTTTTCTAAATTTCCTCGTCAGCTGGAAGCTGGTTTGTCCTCTCCCATAAAACGCTGTTGATGATAATATACGGCCAGTGGATGTTGAGTATTTTGTGTACACAACTGTTTATAAATACTTGTACCTTCTTGACTATTGTTTTAGTAGTATATATTCAGTCACTAATTAATAATGAGAAATATTTCTCTCCGCTTAAGTATTATCTGTGACAATTCATTTGTTCATTTTATGAAATCACCTAGCATATATATACATGTATTTATATGTCAACATTCCAATCAGTAAGTATTTGGTATCGCTTATGTAAGTGTATCTTAACTTTACAATAAAGTAGTCAAAATCTCTAATCACAATAGAAAATCTAGATTAACCATGTACGAACAACAGTTGATAAACTCTAGTGAACAGAACACGACTGGGGACAATCGAATGTATTTAAGCAAAATTACAGACTATCTCAGTAAATTCTGAAAACCATACAGTGAACATTTATTTTTGCAAATTAACAACCAATTGTTTCAATCTTCACTGTTTCTTCTCTAATTCCACTGCTCATGCATTTTCCAAACGATTGCGTTTCATTTCAGTTCTTTCCTCATCGGTCTTCTGCCAAAATACATTCTATGTCTGACCCACACCATGTACTACTTATATGGATATAAGTAGACCACACCACAAACTACTTAGAGAAATACAACTATGAACAACTGCTTTGTTTGAGTTTTGAACTCTATAGCAGTGCAATAATTCATTAAAATGAGGAATATGTAATAATTACTTCCAATTTAGTATTTCTTGTCCTAAGACTCCAAAATACTGACTGAGTCTTATTTTTAATTGTCTCGTGCATGAATATTAATGATGAGTTTAAAAGTAACTATCTTCAATGAACTGGGAGTTGATATTAATCAATGATGAAAATTAATGTTGAAGATTAACACTTATCATAAATCTCTGATACAAATTTTTTTAATAACCAGAAACCTGTTCTCGTTTTTTCACCCTCTATTACAATTTATTAGACCTGATTACTATAAAAGAGTTTGAAAGAATACGCCTACCAATGTCTTGTGATAAGTTTATTGAAGCTGAAAAATCTCAACTACTCTACTCCTATACTAATAGACTATCTTCTCAATACGACATATTAAAAGAATATTTTTCTAAAGAAATCTGACAAAGAAATCGAATCATTTTTACCCGTACCTTCCTGAAACATCCATATTTTCATGAAGAAAATGTAAATCGTTCCATAGACAAAAACTGATGATTTTCAACTAAACTGATCACTGGGAAGTAACCAATATCACAGTTGTCTAGCTTATAACATTCACGATTTTGGGTTATGTACACTAGTGATCATATTCCAAATGATCGACCGAATTTGATAGCCATTAAAAACGTACTTACTTTCGCCTGTTACTCCCAATGAAGCATAGGCCGCCGACCAGCATTCTCCAACCCACTCTGTCCTGGGCCTTCGTTTCTAGTTCTATCCAGTTCTTGTTCATTCTTCTCGTGTTTGTCACCATTTCTCGGCATAATGTGTTCTTTGGTCTCCCTCTTTCCCTTTGATCTTCATGATTCCATGTAAGGGATTGCCTTGTGACGCAATTAGATGACTTCCTCAAAGTGTGCCCAATCCACTTCCAGCGCTTACTCCTGATTTCTTCCTCCGCTGGAATCTGAGTTGTTCTCTCCCTCAATAGGTTGCTGCTGATAGTGTCTGGCCAACGAATTCGAGGTATCTTGCATAGACAACTGTTAATAAACACCTGTATCTTCTGGATGATGGCTTTCGCGGTTCTCCAGGTTTCAGCCCCATACAGTAGGACTGTCTTAACATTTGTGTTGAAAATTCTGATCTTGGTGTTGGTTGACAAGTGTTTTGAGTTCCAGATGTTCTTCAGTTGTAAATATACTGCTCTTGCTTTGCCGACCCTCGCCCTCACATCTGCATCAGATCCACCGTGTTCATCGATGATGCTGCCCAGATATGTAAAGGTTTTCTCATCCTCCAAATTTTCTCCGTCAAGTGCGATTCGATTGGTGGATGCTGTATTATATCGCAGAGTCTTGCTTTTCCTTTTGATCAACCTTAATCACGAAACAAATACTTTGTTGTTATCTACTCTGTGATTAATCAGTGTAAATATCGTAATCAAATAATAGGTCAGTCACATAATCATGTTGTTCAATAGTAACATTAAATACTGAATGAAAATTTATACACTGATTTTTAATGGTGAAAATTATTAAACCATACTGATTGAATGCCGAAAGTTAGCTAGAAAGAGATTATCCCGAGGTGATAAATCATTAAACTGGAAGAGGTCACTCTTGCCTTGAGGAAGTTAGTAGTAATACAGTTGGTTGTGACATTGGTTAATATCCCACACAGGGAGCACTACTTTCCCCTCCCAAAGTTTCAGATAGGCCTTGTAAACAATTTACAACTATAACAAAACCTAGTTCCAGAACTTTCTGTAGAATGTCTTTACTTCTCTTAGCAAACTCGATTTAGTAAACTTACATTTTATCCTTATAGGATTGTGGAGATTGTTAAGTTTTTGATTGAGATCATGAACTGATCAATATTAGGTCACCATTGAAAACCTAGAAGCACTGGACGGCCATTTCTTACTAGCATGGGACTCTTTAGAAGTGCGCATCCAAACTCAACAAGCGGGACTCCAATCCAGGACCGTCCAGTGTTTCCCGGTTTTCAGTGGCCGTCTAACATTGATCAGTTTATGATCTCAATTAAAAAATTTACATTTGTATACATGTTTCATAAGACATTTTAAATTAATTTTATTTTGAAAAACTTTTGAATAACTTTATATGATACAATAAAAATCTAAGTTGTGTATTGAACAGGTATATATAAACAGATCGTTTTCTTTTTTTCCATAACTTCTATAAGGAATCGACAAACTTTTACCTTCAAAAGCCTATCTAATCATAATACTATCATCCAGCGCTGAACGTTTAATAATCTTAATAATGGTGTAATGATAACACTGGTGACAACGGTGTTAACGATAGAAGTAGTTAAAGATCTTGTAAAAGATACTAATGAGACGTCAAGAATGAAATAACTTTAATGATAGAAGATGGGAAATGTTCCAATATAATGATACGAATTATATGACCAAGTATAATAATGACATTTGTAGAAAAGAGATTTAAACTTGACTTAAATAAACAATCAGGGTGGTGAGTAGAATGAAGAATGTTTACAAACGTCGTAGGCCAACAAAAACCTTTTATTGAAAAGAAGTCAGAGGGTACCATTAGATCATTACTGAAGGGTCAGATGAACAAATTACTTTTTTTAACAGGTATGATGAGTTCAAGACTACTAGTGCTTTCTAATTCTGTGTAATGTCATAGTCTGCTGTTAGTAAACTGTGTCGTAGTTTTAAGTTTTGGACATTCATTCAGGGACGACGGATAATCTAAATCCATAATCAATACATGTCAAACTTTCTCAGTGAAACAAGTGAAAGACTATCATCGTTTGAATCAGAGGCGTGGAAGCTCAAGTATTAAGAACTCCTTTTCATGATAATACTGTTGAGGTTATTGTATGTAGCGAACTCACATCCAATTCTTAAGCAAACGAAACTATCTATATCACAAACTGACCTCAGTTAGACAACTATTTAAAATCAGAAAGCACTAGATTGCTATTTCGTCCTAGGATACACCACAACAGTATACAGTCACGGCCCTACTAGATATCTAACTCATCATCTTCAGGTTTTGTGTTGAGTCCTAACTATAAGACCACTGATATGGTGTATAATGTTTAATGTGTCTAATTCCAATCAAATAGTGTGCAACCTTTGTTCAATTCTATGGTCAGTTACTGCTTGATATGAATTATCTATAAGTTACCTTTGGTTTCATATAATTTAATTCTGATTCAAATTCCTCAGGAATGAGATCGATTACTGTAGTGATAAAGTGTATATGTATCTTTCCGAGAAAATAACATACTGATTTTTCCGAAATTTATGTAAGACCTCTTTACTAGATTAGATTTCCTTCAACATAAATCTCTTAATATTCTAATTTATAGATCCGTATAGATATATTACAAATTACTGAAATAATTTCTTATTTTTAAAGTTAGTCTTTTGTTAGAAAATAGTATCCAAGAGACTAAAGTGACTATTTTTTTAAAACAAATCACTAGTATTCACTTAGTATTGTTTGTTTGAATCTTCCCATTGATGTTTAGGACTGCAACTGGTCAGCCTCTTATTGGCATATATGCATAATGTAGGACGAAACGCGCGTCCTAGATTCCACTGCTAGCCACTATCCATGTCTGATTACCATGCTTGTGAATTAGAGCTATATCGAGGCAATACGCACAGTATGCACATATGCCAATTAGAGACTGACCAGTTGCAGTCCTAAACATCATTGGGAAGATTCAAACAAACAATACTAAGTGAATTTAAATTTCACCTCATTGCAAAAGCAAGTGGCTATCAGGACTCAGTAGCTGAGTGAATAACGCGATGTCATTTGAAGCGAATGGTACTGGTTTAGAGTCCCAGAGTGAACATCAACTCTGAGATGCAGATACATCCAGCTGACGAGTCCCGAATAGGACGAAACGCGCATCCTGGATTCCACTGCTAACCACTATCCATCTTTGCTTATAAATCACTAATATGTTTTTTTAAAAAGGAAATATTGTAATCATAACAATATAAAGTGAAATATGAATAATATTCATATATTAGAAAAATAGTGATATTGTATTTCAGTGCATTTGATCTATGATGATTTAAAGTAAAATCACTTATTATTAAGTGCATACACTTTATCATTACACTTTGCGCTGATCAATCATTCTGATATTAATCTAAACTACTTAAATGACTGTATTATACAAAAAAATGAGCATAATAAATGTAAATTACTTAATTAGATAATGATTCATAAACATTAACAATTTAGAAAGTAAGCATATTCTTCCATTTGAACAAGGCTGGAAAATTATTGAAACCAAGTGATACTGAACAATAATGAACATTCACAGCCTCATATAAGAGTAAACTTAATACCTTAAGGTTTTGCAGTGACCATAGTGACTTTAAAGAATTGAATGAAAATTCAATAGACTTGATTCTGAAATCTTATTCAGTGTTTGCTATGTATTAGAGAGATATCAGTCAGTGTTGTCAATGGGCTAGTACGTTATTTCTAATACCAGCTTACCCAATAAGTCACTATTCCAAACAAGAATTTAGAAAAAAAAACGTTTTCTTATAGCTACAAGTTAAATAGTATACAGAAATTTGTTTAGTTTCAGTACAGTTTACATCACAAACTGAGGTTAAGTGAAAAAATATGGGAAACTAGGGATTAATGAATAATCGTTTCTCCTTAGTCTAGGGGGATCCTTTTCATGAATAAATGAAGTGAATGTAAATTTATGACAAACAATTTAGTTGTGGAGTGTCTGGTGTTTCAGATTAATATATGTTTATTGAGTCGCATATCGGAAGCTTTGAAATAAATTAGGTCCTGAAGTCTTATTTAATAAATTAGAAGATAGTAGTTTATATTTCTTGTTTTTTTTATTTATTATCATCTAAAGATTGAAAAGGTTAAAGTTTAGACATATCTTAACAATATATGAACAGTTTACATCCTATCTCTCACTCATTTATCACTATATGCGATCTATCATCAAATTTCACATTTGGTAACAATTGTATAGGGTTTTTGTGGAGATTATAGAAGTTTCATATTTTCAGTAACGAATTGGTGTTAACTTGAATACCAATCAAAATCTGAAAGCACTGGACGGTTTTTTCGTCCTAATATGTGACTTCTAAACAGTGTGGATTCATCACCACGTAGCCGGGCCTCAAACCCAGAACCTACGATCTCACATGAGGACGCTTAACTTCTGGACGACTGAGAATGCACATGACAGTGTTCGTGTCTAACTTCAATCAGTTCATAATATCTCGTGACCATCTTTCATTATGTATGGTGGATAACTGTCTCATATGGTTGAACTCCACTGCTTACAGTTTCTCAGTCGAACTCCAGGAATCGAACCTTGAAAATAGTTACTAGTGAGCCCATGATCGTATATTAGGATTACATCTAAGTAAAACTAAATCTCCTTGCATGTTTCTGAATTGAATAATGTTAATTCAGAGAATGAATAAACCATTGTTGGATTGATCAAAGTTATTCGATGTAGTCAAATTTTACATAACAATGAATCAAATTCTAACATACATTTAATTATTGATTGACCTATAAATTATCAGAAACATATATACCATTGTACAACTTTGAAAATGAACTCAAAGAAAAGTAATTCTTCTTTGAACAAATGGTTTTATGATATTCGATACAATTTAAATATCCTATCCTAGAAACAGTGAAATCGCCATAACTACACTGTAAACAAAAAACATTATGGAAATTTCAGATATTTTGTGTATTTATATGTCTTCATAGTTGACAACGCGAGTAAATTGAACCTAGACCAATATCGAAAACCTGGAAGCACTGGACGGCCGTTTCGTCCTAATATGGGACTCAGCAGTGAGCATCCACGACCCCGCACTCGCGAGATTCGAACCCACGACCTACCAATCTCTAGCCAGAGCCCTTAACCGATAGACCACTGAGTCGGCCATAATCCAACGGTGTTAATGTCTAACTTCAACTGATCCACGAAGTTGAGCAACCGTTCACCAATTGTCTTCAGTGAGTTCCTATTTTACGACAGACGTGATTTGAACTCCACTGGTCACTGTTTTTCACTAGAACTCCTGGATGTACTTCTCGAGGTCAGTCACTAGTGAGCATATGATTATATTTAGTATTTTCATAGTTGAGAGCGTGAGTGAAAATACTAAATCTCCACAAAACCTGTTCTGATATTCATATGTTTGTCAGAAATCTCAAAGTGAAGTTCAATGGATCCTTTTGTTTACTGAATGAATTTATTGACAATGTTCAAAATTGAAATTAGATTTGATTTCGTCTTGACCTTCATGAAACGAAGAAAAACTATTCATAGGATGATTAAGTTTGTGTCATCTGTAAACTAAGAATGTTATATTTTAAAGTTAATAATAATAGTGATAATCCTTAATAACTTTCAATTGAAATTGAACTATGTACTTTAAATGTACAATATTTGTTTAAATATGTTATATGAAATTTTTAATATAAACTGGGTTCGAATCTCGCGAGGCGAGATCATGGATACGCACTGCTGAGGAGTCCCACAATAGGACAAAACGGCCATCCAGTGCTTCCAGGTTTTTCTTGGTGGTCCAGCTTCAATTGGCTCATGCTTTCATTTATGAAAATACTAAGTCTCCACAAAACCCCTTCTGATTTAAAATAACCTACTAGTTTGTTTTTTCAAATTATAGTATAATGAAAACCCAACTCATAAGAAACAACCTATTAAATCATCTGACTATTCATATACAGAAGATCAAACTCAATTACCAACATCAAATTTGGAGAATAAACCATCTAGTAGACAAAGTTATAAAGAAAACAGAAACAATGAACATTCAATTCATAAATCATCCAACTCACATAATTATAAACCACATGAACATAATGAATATAAAAAACATATTGATTCAAATAAACAAGAATCAAAAACAGAAGTGAAGGAATATTCAACAAAAAGAAATGAAGAGTCCTCTTTGTCAAATGAACCGAATAGTAATAATATTGAGAAGAATACTGATAAGAATGATAATAAATTGAGCTACTACAGAAAAACTGATGAATCTAAAACCGAGAATAAAAATGATGAGCTTATTTCATCAAGTCAACCAACTGTTACTCAAAGCCTTACATCAGTATCATTTGTTTCTGGTAGTAATAAATATGATTCAACTAAGTCAAATGAATATAAAACATCATCTAAGAGTACAGTCAGTAAACCTGTATCAGAGGATGAGATTAAAACTCAAATAGAAAAATTATTAAAGGACAATTTAAACAATCTGATTTTGAAGATTCAAAAAACAAAAGCAGATGAAAGTAAGCAGACGTCTTCACCATCATCTGAATCCTCATCAACACAACCAGATCAACTGCCTCCGCCTGTTAAAAAAGATGAAAATTATTACAAATATTATAGGCCTAATCATAAAGAAATGCGGCATAGACCTAACGATGAAGATGATGAAAGAAAACTACATGAACGTAAGTTAAACTCAAATGTTGACATTAGTATAAACATTTAACTGTGGAATTCAATTGTAGTCAGTAGAAAATTATTATGGTAGAATGATTATGAAGACTGTTCCTTATCGATCTGGTTGAGATAGACATTAGTTGTGACATTGGATCATAACCACTCAATATCACTAATTGACTAAAGTTTAGATAATTAATTGATTGGATTCCAACTCGGTGATTTAAAATTACTACCTTTGACAAAAGACCTGAAGGCAAGGTCGAGTGTGAGTACCCTTAACAACCTTCAAAACAGTGAGAAAAAAAAATATCCAATGGTCTCTCCTTTTCAATGGTAATCTATTTAAACTCACTTTGTATTATAAACTATCTCCATGACGAAAATTTTTCAATGTATTTTAATAATTCGCTCTTTTATAATTTGAAATTTTCATGCAAAATTAAGTGTTCTCTAGTCTCATACATCAACTGATGAGAAACATTTCCCTGGGTTACATTTTAATCATAATGATCTGAAGTCATGCTATATAAACCTAATACGTATTCTCTGTTCAAATTGAGGTGAAAACATAAAACAAAATGAAATATGATTCCTGTATAGAACTAGCCGATATCACGAAATATCTTATCATAGTTCATTTTACCTAGTTTTATAGTAGAAAGTATCAAAAAAAAACACAGGGTTTCATGTTTGTTTATCCTCCTTAACAAGTTTTGTCTGTAATTCAATTGAAATTAAATTTTTCGAAAACTTTAATCTAAATCATTTAACTAGATTAATAAACAAGAATATCGTATATGACAATTATGATTTACATAGGAATGGTCTGATTAATCAATCTGTTCTTTTTAATAATCATTTAAAGTATGAAACTATAATTAAGAGCATGAGTTAGTTGAATATGGCATATAAGTCTTACAATGAATAAAGTTATAGAAAACAATTATCGTTCCATATATTTATTTGTTCAAAGATTTTTTATTCGTTTAGTTTGTGTAAACTAATTGAAAGTAAAGAAAGCCATTTTCACAAATTTGCACTACTTGGTTGGATACCGAAGTATACATCGAAGTATAGATGATATCTGGGGACTAAAAACTTCGTTAGCAATCAAATGTATTGGACACGAAATTAAAGAATATCTCAATAAAATCTGATACCCATATAGTAAACAGTTAATTTGCAAACTATCAATCAATTGTCTCAATCTTGACTGTTCCTTCTGAAAATATCAGTTCATCGTCTCTAATTTTATTGTACATGCATTTTCATAGCGATTGCGTTTCGTTCCTTTTCTTTCCTCATCGATCTGCTGAAATACATTCTACATCTGACCATGCCCCCAAATGCCCTGGTACGGTTGAGAGTGAGGAGAGTGAGCTCTCCCTCTCTAAGTGCTCACATATGGCCACGCGTGTACAGCCTCTGCCAGAGAAGTCCTACTCATGGCCTTCTCGTGGTATTACTGTTTTTTATGAAATTGATACGAAGAAAAGCGAATGCTTTAACCGGGTCGATGGATACGAAAAGTTCACCTGGGGGAGTTGAGAAACCGTGATTTCAAAAACAATGGTACACATGGGCTCCGTTATCCTGAGGGAACAAATGGCGTATGAATCAATCGTTGGTCACCAGCTACCATGGGACTGCATCTCCTCACGATGCTCCACTGCCTTGTGGATCAGATCTTTAGGTCAAAGGCTCCGGGTATGGCCCTCTAAAACAACCACCTACTTCAGTTTAGTCACCTGGGCAGTATCATAGCCCTCACACAAGTCAAATAAGATTTGTGTGGCGCGTATGTATCTGGTGCTTCTTTGTACCAATATTTATGTGTTCAAATAAATATATAAATAAAATAAAACCCACACCACAAAATAATCAAACTGTATCTCCGATCTGTCCAGTTATCACGTAGATCGATTAGCATGTCATTCAGTTTGTAGTTAAGCTATGGTTCTAAACATTGTTTTTAAACTCTAGTCATCATTCACAACTAATTCGATTAAAATCATACATCACAGATAAAGGAACACTATTTTTTTTCAATTAGATCATCATTAGGCTTTACTCTAATATACAATAACATTTATATGCATATACGATGTTATTAAACCAGTCAAATCAGTTAATGAGTCGGTGGTAACAATGAAATAGATTACATAAATAAAATAAATGAGGAACTAGAGCTTATTTGTATTATGTTGATTGAAATGACTTATCCCAAATGTCTTCTGAAGAAACACTTACATGTAATGAACGGGAAAATAGCGACATCAACGGTTAGTAAGAAGCTTTTATTCGTAAAGCTATAATTTGGTGGAGATATAATTGGTAATGTGTTACGAAGTAGATTGACTAAAGCAATGGAGAAAACGTTTAATGCAACTAAACTCTATCCTTCTCTAGCTGACGTATTGTGATTCTTCAACCAAAGGATAAGTTAACTGGTTTTCCTATATCCATGTGTATCTATGATCTCAACTCCTTCTGTGGAGATAGCCATACTGGGTGCACAACCAGATAACTGAGCCAATGAGTTAGTAAACACCTCCCTTCATGGTTAGGAAAAGGTATCGTCAAAACAATACGCAGCTCTGTTCCATCACATTCGATCGATAACAATCATATAGTAGATAGAAATAAATCATTTAAAGTGATTTACCGTATTCCTACTAGTTTTCTTTATACAGTTCGATCTTGTCTCTTGCACACAGCAGAAGCTAGTACACTTGTCATCACATTATTAATTTGTGGACAAATTCAAACTTTTCACTTCTACCTGAATTTTGTACTGATGATGTCGTTTAGAAGAACGATCAAAGCTCCGCGACCAGACCATCCAGCTAAGAAAGAAAAGCTCCATCAAAATCATTCGATTAAACTACAAATCTCCACCATCTCACAATTAATTTGTACTTTTTACTTATCATGTTTAATTATGTAATCTTATACATTGTTATCACTGACTCATTAACTGCCTTGATTGGTTTAGTAATTTCATATATACATATCGATGTTACTGTATATTAGAGTAGAGCCTGATGACGATATTGTTTGCTTGTACATGCTGTTCTAATTCACATAATGTGGGAATTTGAAAATATTTTTAAAAATACAGGCCAATGATTGTCCTACTACTAATAAATTGACAGATTTTTCACTGACCTATCTTAAGCAAAGTATTTCCTGATAAAGAGAGATGAATGGTGGCTAGCAGTGGGATTCAAGACGTGCATTTTGTCCTATTTGGGACTCTTCAGCTGAATGTACTTTAACCCGAGAGTTAGTGTTCACTTCAGGACTCTAAACCGGTACCATCCGCTTCAAAATAGTACTTCAAAGAAATATTTCTTACCCTGATTTATTTTTTATCATTAAAGTACTTTTAAAAAACATCTAATGTTACCACTCTTGTTGAAACTCTGGCAATCTATATTATTAAACCCAATGCAAATACAAAAGACTCTCAACATCCTACATGATGTCAGTAAGATTTTACATTACTCTCTTAGGTTTATTTTAGTTTACTTTTCTTGATATTTAAAGAGCTATATTCTTGTCTATGAATTAAACATAGAATGTTGATTTTTTTATAGTTTAAGTATGTGTGAGTTTTCTTTCCCATAGGAAATATTAGATTCTTACAAAATGAATATGATATAACATTAAAGTTAATAGACTTGAAGTCTTCCATTTAATTTGTATATAAACCTATCCGTTTCGCGCGCAAGCGTTTAATTTCTAGACCATTGAGCTGGTATCCAATGGTGTTAATGTCTGACTTCAACCGATCCACGAGATTGAGCGACACATCCACAAATGTCTTCTGTGAGTTACTATCTCACAACAGACCTTGATGAACTCCACTGGTCACTGCTTCTCACTAGAACTCCAGGAAATATCTTTTGCAGTCAGGTTTTCCATGATGGTCTAGCTTCAATTGATTCATGATCTCTACTATTAAAATTACTATAATATCCACAAAACCACTTCTGATATTAATATAAAATAGATAACATGAAATGTCATTGTACTGATTAAATGGTTGATAGTTTATTAGCGCATCGATGTTTTCGATCACATTCCTCAACTGACATTAAGAATTTTCCAAAAAAATGTACTGAATAAGTTATCAATATTAGCTGATTTCACCTGGTTCTAGTATTCAGTGAAAATGACTTAGATCAATATATCAGGCTTTTCTACTGTGTTTTACATCAATCTGATTCCTACGTTCTGGTATTCTAACATATCTTCATGCTAGTTGATAAGTTCGAACAATATTGATCTTCTTTTAATAAGCAAAATTGATGATACTATAAAAAGCATTAAGTTAACTTAGTAGACTACTGAAATCGATAGAGATAACGTTGATATTTTAATTACTGGAACAAATATTCTTGGCAAACTTTTAGAAACAGCATAGTGAAAAAGTCTAGTATACACTTGATATTTCTTACAAACACTTCAATAAACGCTATTGTGATCATTCTACTTGGCCATAGAAATTGTAATTGTGACAGTTTTAATACAATAAGCGAAATACTAATCGAGAATTATATAAATAAAATATCTCTTTAGTAGTTTATCGCAACCATTCGACCAAATTATATTTTTCCTGAGATACAATTTGATTCTTAAAGTAGTTTTGATATATTTCATTATTATTTGCTACTTGTTTGACAGATGATCACCATCATGATAGACATGATGACGAACATAAGCTCCATAAGCCGGAAGAATACAAACCTTGGTCAGATAAGTATGCACTTCGACCTTCAAATAAGGACAGACATATACCACCACCTCATCATCATCATCACCATCCGATTCCTCATTTTCCACCACATCATCCATTTCCATTAGGACCAGAAAGTGAGTCACAAAATTCGCCATCGAGAAATTCATTTCCCAAGCAGTATCACATGTTTCGATATCATGAATTGGATAAACAAAATCAAGAAATTCCATATAAACTTCGTTCTCATGAAGAAGATTTCTCGAATCGTCATGCTAATGAAGAAGATAATGATCAAAATTCTTACCAGTCCAAATCACCACCAAAAAAGCAACAAAGTATTATTCAAGCTGTATCAGCTACTGTCAATCCTACTCAGCCATTAAATGGCTACGAAGGGGCGACTAAAATCCTGGATTCTGTATCAATCCCACTGACTATCAATATTGATGACTTATCTTCTGGTGATTGTCCATTCACGCCATGCACAAAAACATGTCCAGGCGGTTTGTATAAACTTAATGAAACTACAGGTTGTGCAACTTGTCATTGTTGTTCTAGCGTTACCTGTCACAACCAGTGCACTCAAGGATATGAAGCAGATAAATATGGATGCCCTACATGCAAATGCTTAACATCTTATTATTGAATAATCCACTGTCTTGCATAACGACTTGCTTAGTAAAATAATTTAACTGATACTCAATTAGTAATATTTGCTATGACCTAATAATTGAAATTGTTAAACTCAGTACTGCTAGTATTCTTTGTGTTGCTACTTATCAGCAGTATGGAATCCCTGAATAAAATTCCACATAAGGATTAATTACAATGTGATTCCAACTATTGAGTGGATTCTCAATGTACCAAATATATATATTTATAAAATTTGAAGTCAAATTTCAGTTCTAACTGTCCAAAACTATTTGACAATCGGTTTTCAAACTTTTTAAATAATTCTAGATGAGTAGAACATTGTAATTGTTCCGAAACTGTGATTTATCATATTCGGTATCTCTGTGAAAAAAGCCCACGAAATATTGCATATAGTGAGGTGAATAAATATTTCGTGCCAGACTATTATTATAAGAAATATTTCTTATACTTCTAAATGAGTTATTACAAATGAAATAACCTCAAAAACTACTTACAAACTGTCTACTTCCTTGAATACAATCTCTAGAATCAAAATTATACAATTTATATCATCTGCAAACACTGGAAGAGTTAGACTTTATCATATCATTTCTAGACCGAGATAGGATGGTCCATATACCTGTTCAATTTATACATTAAATATATCTTCCTAACTAAGTAATGGTTTATTCAGGGTTATTAGCTTAACATTTAACTAAGGAAAGGTGGTACCTTACACACAGTATAACTACAATATCGGAGTATGCTTGACATACGATTATTGAGGATTTCTAATCTTTAATTTCTACCACTAAACCTAACTTTTAATCTAAACTCCTGGCCACAATTTCCAACAGTTACTCGTAACCATAATTTCCACTCTCATTTCATATACTTAATTCAAACCCCAATCCACATCTTCACTCCTGATAATTAACCTCATCCTAGACCACAACTGTTTGGATTCTGTCATAACTATAGTATAAAATTGCCTTGTCACGCAAAAATTATTGAAATTACCAACCATAAAAACATTAGTCAAACATGTTTCTGTAATCTATGAGGTATGATCTTAAAACCATGGTTTTGATAATTGAAGGGCTAGCGTATGTACTGTAGTCTGACAAAAGAATCATTTACCTCGAATTATAAGTTTTGCATTCACTTCTAGTATTTTCTAAACGACTGAATGGAACAAAGAATTTCTTAAGGTCATAGTAAGAGACACTCAAATTTTTAAACCTTTGTAATACGTTCGTGACCTTACATTATCAACTTCTTTTTCGATTATCAGATTGTCTTAACATGGCGCTCGTGTTATTTCTGATTGTTGTCAGTTGTTTTTGCTATTAAATGTAAACGATCTCTATGTCCTGGCTGAGTCGTTTGCCCACTTTTTCTCCTGATCTCTTCACTTTCATATAATCTCGCTTGCTATCCTCAAGACGACCCCAGCACACCAGGTAGCTTCGGTCTGGGCCCAAGCATATCAAGGGTCGAGCGCTACATATACACCAGTACGTCTACCTGTCGGTCGTTTATGTCTTCCTAATTTCTGCTGCCATTCTCTGAATTGATTTAGACTGGACGATAAACATCAGCAAGACGTTTACAAAGATCATGAATGCATGGTACGTGTTCCTAGGCTTCGTCTGGTAAAAAAGGCATTTGTATCTTGACATAGAGAAGTAATTTATGTCCGAAATGTGAAGTTACGGCTAAGAATCTTGTGTACTCGTTCACTAATCCACGATAAGCTAGGAGACATTGAAGTACCACCCCCATAACATTTAGTCGATGGCTTACCGATTGACGGTTTTAGAAGGGCTTTAATATGTCATGTTTGTTATTACCGCCGAACCACTACCTTACAAACGATTTGCGGTAGTGTGTTTTTGGACCTTTCTATATCTGGCATGTTTGAACGACGAGGTGACTTTAAAAGACTGAACGCGCGCTATTTAAAAGGACAGTGGTATTGTTTCTCGTTGAGTTTAGTTCACTGTTTTGATCGTAAATTACGTATCAAAACTACCGTTTACACTTTAATTGAATTTATTTCAGTTAACGTGGCATTGTATTTGTGTGTTTTGATCCTGCTTTTGTGTATTTACTGCATCAAAGCATTCTTGGTCGACAGCGGCTTGTTTATTTGATTAAGGTTGTGATTTGTCTTACATATCTACCTTGCCTATCATTTTGTTTCATTCTAAGATGGTCGGCTCTGTACACAAGTGTGGACAGCCATATTGCTTATTCCTCGTGGAAGAAGGGATGCAATGTGACGAATGTAAGAAGTGGTTTCACAAAATGTGCACCCGCTCAAGCCCTGCTGCCTATAAAAGGTGCTCGAAACCAAATTCTCATTGACTCTGTATGTTTTGTTGCTCAAGCAAGACATTACTCATTCAGGAAGCCATCAGCCTTCTAGCGTTAGCTAAAAAGGTCGACGTAGGTCGTGCCGGCAACATGGATACTGATAACGAAGATTGTATCAGTGTCGTAAATGCTGCCATGGCAGGTACCGGACACCCAATTTCGCAACATGAAGCAAAAACTTATACTACGATACAACCAATGAAAGCCATGCCATTAAGTACTGAGGGACCAGTTGCTTTAGCAGCGACTGAGGACCCGGCTAGAACCACTATCGTCCAGAATAGTTCCAATCTGGATGATGAGACTAGTAGGAAATGGATTAAGCGGAAACGCAAAAGAGACGGAAAAATACCCAAAGAAAGCGCGCGTATAGTCGATAAGTCATCGTTGGACTCACGTCCTGAGCGTACGGCAACTCCGCTCAAGTCCAAATGTAAGAAAATAATTAATACTCTTGTGGATGGAAACAGTTTAACTTCACCAAATGTTGTTCTGAGTCACTCGCTCGACCCACATGACACTGTTATAAAGAAAGTTAACAGTAAGAAGCCGGTGGCTAACCGACAGGATCTGACGTCACGGTCGAAGGCCGTGATCACGACTTTTAAGGAAAGACACCGATCCCGCTAAGAGACATGCCCACGACCTGCAGTTAGTGGGATCTCTCGTCAGAAATGTACTGCCAGAGGAGGTCCCAGGGGTACATATCTCGAAAGTCATCAGACTCGGTAAATATGTTGGAGGCGAAACCCAACAGAGCAGGGTCCTTAAATTAGTACTCGGTAATTTTGAGCGAAGGGACGTAGTACTGAATAACGCACGCAAAACTCGTGACTCAAACATTCGTATTCGACCTCACTGGCCACTTGAGGATCGGATCAAGTGGAAGAATGTCCTAACAGAGTTAAAAACTCGAAAGCTAAACGGTGAAGCGAACCTTACGATTAAGGGTTTTCGAGTAGTCAGGTCTTGGAAGCCAATGCTTCCGAGACCTGTGTGGGTAGAACGTATGTCTCCAAAAACACCTTAAATGTGTGTTGCACGAATGCTCTTAGTATTCGGAATAAGATGTGTGAACTACGTTTGATGGTAGACGACTTAAATCCGGATATAATTGTTATCACCGAAACTTGGCTCACTGTAGATATAGACTGTTCTCCCATCATTTCAGGCTACATCTGTATCAGAAGTGATACAGTTAGAAGTCGCAAGGGAGGAGGTATAATATTATATGTTAGGGATCACTTCTGCATTAACTCGATCATATCGGAGGCACAAGTAAGTGGTACGTGTGAGGTATTATGTTGTACAATTAGGTCTAGAAACGGGTTGGTGACGATAGGAGGAATATATCGTAGTCCGTGTTGTCTCGCTGACGACTTTATCCTAAGACACGTCTGTTCTTGGAGTAAAGCAGAATATTGTCTCATAGTTGGAGACTTCAATGCACCCCATATAAATGGGATAGAGCTCACAGCTCCAGGTGGGTGTTACGATAGCGTCCTTCTGTCATCAATTATTCAATGTGCACTTGTACAATGTATCGTTAAGCCGACGCATATAGACTTGGAACATGATCCGTCATTGATAGACCTTGTCCTCACACACCACTGTGAAGATATCGTTGACATTCAACATCTTCCCCCACTGGTGAATAGTGACCATGTCGTACTTTCCTTTAAGTTCCGGATACATGGTATAGAATTTGCATCAGCTCCACCCCGTCCTAATATCTGGAGAGCTAATATTCCGGCAATCAGGGACTATGCTATCTCAATTGACTGATCGGTCGATGCTGATGGATCGATTGATGATGCATTGAATAGGTTTAAGTCTACGTTCGAATCCGTAACTCAACCGTTTATCCCATGGTCAGCACGTAAGCCCTTCATGGATTAATAAGGAAACCCGGAAGCTGTTGAAGCGTAGGAAACACTTCTGGGATTTATTCTTGTCAACAGGTCAGGCATCATTTAAGTGCGAATATAAAAAAATCCGGAATATATGTAAAAAGACCATAGCTAAATCCCGCACGGCTTACGAACGATAGTTGGCATACGATAGCCGTACCTGTCCGAAGCGACTGTTTTCGTACGTTAAAAGGCGGACGATGTGATGGTATCCCCTCATTACTGCTAAGCGAAAATTCAGCTTTATTGGCTGAATCTGATCTGGCGAAAGCGGAGTTATTTGCTAACTATTTCAGTGAAGTCTACTCTACGTGTAGTGTTACAACTACTTGTCCCGTTGACAATGAGATACCAGCCATAGGACCCTTACACGTGACAGAGGATATAGTTCTTCCTTTGATAACTAACCTAAAACCTTGTAAGATACCGGGCCCCGATGGGTTACACCCACGTTTGCTGTCGTCGCTTGCGGACATTATCTCAAGACCGCTCACGATGCTCTTCAACATGTCCCTTTCACAGGCTCAACTACCTAGAGACTGGAAAGACGCCATAGTTAGTCCTATATTTAAGGATGGTCAAAGACGGATCGTATCTAACTACCGGCCTGTAAGCCTGACCAGTATAGTAGTTAAGTTACTTGAAAAATTAATTCGGGCTAAGCTACTGAGCCACATAGATTCGTACAATCTGTTAACTCCCGACCAACATGGGTTTCGTAACAAGCATTCATGCTTGACTAACTTACTCATTGCGAGAGAGGATTGGACAGCTGCCCTAGACAACGGCCAGTCTGTCGACGTGATATTTATAGATTTTAGCAAAGCGTTTGATAAGGTTTCACACTTAGGTCTTATGCAAAAGCTCTCGAGCTTTGGAATAACAGGTGCTATACAGGAATGTATAGGAAGCTTCTTATGTGACCGCAGACAGAGAGTAAGGGTCAATGGAACGCTATCCGAATGGAAACCGGTCAAAAGTGATGTACCCCAAGGCACAATCATAGGCCCTCTACTTTTCTTTCTGTATATTAATGAACTACCTTTATTACTTAAGTCGTCGACGTTATTGTTTGCGGATGATGTTAAAATCTGGAGAACAATAATAAATGAGACTGATCGTTGTTATCTGCAAGCAGATTTAGACGAATTAGTTAGGTGGGCTCATGATTGGCGCCTGGAAGTTAATTCCGGGAAAAGCGTGTTCATGCACATCGGGCACGATATTAGTTACCATTATACCATTAATGGTACATATCTGCCACGCGTTCATGAGCACAAAGACTTAGGAGTAATTATAAGTCACGACCTGAAAACTACTACGCAGTGCAATGCGGTTGCTTACAAAGGCTTTCGCGCTCTATGGTCGCTTCTCAGAGCATTTAAATGCTTTGACGAGGAGATTTTTCGAATTTTATATCCCACCTATGTAAGGTCACACTTAGAATACTGTATCCAATCAGCTAGCCCTTGTCTGATAAAGGATACTAAATCGCTTGAGCGTATACAGCGTGTAGGGACAAAATTAGTAAAGGGTCTTTCTAAACTCCCTTACGAAGAGCGTTTAAAACGTCTAAATCTTTTCCCCTTATCTTATCGTAGGACACGAGGTGACCTTATACTGGCATTTCGTATCTTTAATTATGATCTGGGTGTTAATATGTCTTATCGTTTTGCTCCCTCCAGCACTAATAATCTCCGGGGTCATAGCAAGAAGGTTCTGAAACCGCGATCTAATAAACTAAAGGTGGGGTCCCGTTTTTCTCATCGAGTGGTCAATGACTGGAATGCTTTACCAGAACAAGTGGTATCAGCACCATCAGTGAACATTTTCTAAAAGAAGCTGGACCTTAACTGGAAGGAAATCTGTCAGGATCAACACAGGTTCATCAACCTACTATCCTTATTACTGAAGACTGAAGACTAGTAAGGATGGTGTGAGAACGGAGCGCCATAACGAAAAACCCAATTATCAATGAAAGCTTGTGAAACTTTGAGGACATCCTGTTGTAGTCATAGACAGCCTCACACCAATTGGTAAAATAGTTTACCGTCACCAGTATATAGCTGTTTCCGTTTTTCGTTGTTATAAGTTGCTCCAAATTATGTCAATGCAAACTCGCTGATGTGCCCGAGGTACATATCCGTATGATTTTTACTGTAACACGTGTTACAATGTTTGCGAAAATTTTTTATATCTTCGTGGATGGATGACCACTAAACCTTTTAGTAAATGGCATAATAAGTTTTTTGTCTTCTCAATTGGCCGACTTCATGATGCACAACATATGATCTCAAGTCAGTGTGGGAAAAACCACGGATTCGTGTTTAAAATGACCAATGTACATCGTTAGATCCACCGATATTTTAAAACATGACTTCAAAGGAGATTGATCTCCTTGGTTAATGCTAAGGAATATAACGTTTGTCGGTTCTCAGGGTTCATCGTCCATAGGAATTCCTCTTTTATAAGAGAGTCTGACTCTGCCGTGTCAAATAAGATTGCAGGTTCGACTCCCTGGACTCTACTTCTAATTATAATATGACTAAGATTCGACATAGCATGACGATAAATGGTAGACATTGGATTAACTTCATTTCAGAACTAGTCATGTCTGCGTTCTCGGCCTCTTCAACTAGACCGTCAGCAGTAGAAGCATTCTGTTTCCCGGCCCTTATAACTTAATCAAAAAGTCCTCTATCTGGCAAGAGGGGAGTTTGCCAGAGCCTCATACATCGGTTTGGGAAGTCTCCAGCTGATATGATCCTGCTGTCTTCTCTAGAGATACCATTATCGACCAGTGTGTATATGAGTGGCCTGATAATTTTACGGCAGCTATAGACCATAGTAACGTCATCTTCAGGTCTAGCTCAGTGACTGATGGCGTCCGAACGTGTTGTATGGAGGTAAGTGTCAAAATCCCTCTAATGAGCCTCGAGTGTATCATCTCTTCTCACCCCACGATGTGTATGTGAGGAAATCCGTGAACAGTCATAAGTTGTAATGAAAGAAAGTATTCAGTGGAATGTTCGCTGAGTTGCTGGTGATTGAAAAGAAGTTGAACAGTACATTGTTGGGTGCCTACAGGTACGGGAAAGCACTCATCCAGGATGTCCGACCTACAAAGGTGTATTACCTGATGCAAACCCACTGGCTTTTGTCCTCCTGGCCGTTTTATCATTCGAGCGCCAAGAAAGATGTTCGGTGTTATATCCTGTTTGTATCCTGCGCCGTTTCCAGATCAAATAATCTGATGTGGATTCTAGCAGCTGCGGTTTACGAGGCGTAGTTGCTTTGACCAGTGGCACCAGTAGTTAGTCATACTTTTAGTCATGAGTTACTGCTGGCACTTCCATCACCACTTGTAACACGTGTTATAGGCGTGTACTAAAAGGCCGGAAGGATCTCAAAACAGCGGCAGACGAAACAGGGTCAGATGTTACACGAGGAGGAAGAATACAATACACCAGCAACAACGTAAATATTTTCAAGCTCGAACCACACATATATGTTACAAAAGAGAAAGAATATTTACAATATATTCCCATGCATCATTCTGCAAGTTTGGTTCACCCAGGTCTTGTTCTTCTTCCAGTGTATGTATTTTTTGTTGCCCTACAATAAAGTACACATTGACAAAAGTACACATAAATATTTTACTATTGTTACATTGCCCGTTTTCTCTCTGTGAGGCACTGTCCTGAGTGCCCAATTGTGGACATGAATATGCCATACCTCCACCTAGTGGTACTTCGTAATAGCTGGTTGTGGACAAGGGGCTGACAAACAAAATATCTGAACGCCCCGTCGTTTAATCTGGTTTCAAGTGGTTACAATGTACTGTCGCTGAATGTCACTTGAGACAACGGCAATGGGGACTCGGATAAACACAATTTCGTTGTACCGTTGCCAAGGATAGTAGACTACATTCCATGTTCCTGGTGGAGCCAAGGACAAGTATTCGGTATTGTTACAGTGGCAAAATATTTATGTGTACTTTTGTCAATGTGTACTTTATTGTAGGGCAACAAAAAATACATACACTGGAAGAAGAACAAGACCTGGGTGAACCAAACTTGCAGAATGATGCATGGGAATATATTGTAAATATTCTTTCTCTTTTGTAACATATATGTGTGGTTCGAGCTTGAAAATATTTACGTTGTTGCTGGTGTATTGTGTTCTTTCTCCTCATGTATCACCTGACCCTATTTTGTCTGCCGTTGTTTTGGTTCCTTCCAGCTTTCCAGTAATATCCGCTGATACGTTTGTTTAAAGGCGATACTAATTACTGCGGCCAGTTTCCAGCTTCTAACTACATTATGCTAGGTAGTTGATGATTCGACCAAATCTAGTCTTATGAGTGTCGACTGAATATATACACTTGATCAAAAACGACTATTTTATTGTGTATTCGTATATTTCAAAAGTATCTTTATGAATTTTTATATCACTTTATGGCTTTTTTTAAATTCCTAATTACTTGGATTGTTGGGTGCATAACTCTTCTACCAAGCGTCTGTATATGAGCTTCACTCAGAATCCTATAGGATTAAGATGCTAAACAGTCGCCTGCTAAATTGACGGAATGGTCTAGAAGTGCTGCGCAGAACACAATACTCGAGAATTGAGTCCAAGAATGCTAACATTAAATGGTTGGAGGTAGTTTAAAAGAAAACCTAAACATTATTTTCCTGTTCGTTGGCAATTAGCCGAACTATTTGATAGCAAACTGTTTCGTCGATGGCTCACTATGAAGATAAAATAATTGGCTGAAAACAATAAATATTTGATTCTCACTGCTCTTATCTTTTAATATAGATGACTCTTACGTTGCAAAATTATTTTGACTCGACCAGGTCGTAGGTTATCAAACAAAGAGGAAATGTTTCAAACGAAGGAAAGAATAACGTTATGAATCACGGCTAGAGGAGAAGAGTTGAGGTTAGAGATCTCAATGAAAAACTTCGGTTGCGACCTTCATCACAAACTAGCATCAACTATGAAGCTAACTTTTTTGTTGCTGCATGACTGAAATTTCAAGCACAAAAATTCCAAATCATCAGTCATATAAACAATTCTGATCTATGTGTTTGTACCAACTCAGTTTGTATACATTAGCTTTATTATACATGTGTGCACTAAACATGTACAATAGTAGAGATTAAGTGGTTACCACAAGTGCGTTCAGGGGCCTCTGAAATCTTATACGGCCACGGACATTTTAAACTCTACCGCCATGTTCTGAGGAAGAAATAAAAATTCCTCATGAGCTTACATCACAAATATTTAAACTAGGGCAAATGTAAGGTCAGTTAGGCTAACATATGGTCCCACAAAAAATTGGGTATAAAAAGTACATCGAAAATGGATTATAAAGGATAGTATTATCTTTTAATTTCTACGACAAAATGGTTTGCTTGTCATAAGAGGACGGTACGGATGACTGTTCAGATTATGTAAAATTTACGAGTTGGTGAATAAAACATCAAGTCTACGAAGACAGCTCAGATCTTTTAATTTTGATTTACTGCGTGTTGTTTCTTTATACATGATAATAATTTCTCAATTCACACTTCCTCGCGAACATTTTCTACTAGTTACTTGACTGTCTTCTTGATTTTTGTTTACTGATTCCCCTAGAGCCTTAATCAACATATGCAACTATGTAAACAGAGCTGTTTCATCTAAATTTTTGAACCCATGGCTATCATGAACCCTTTCTATTAACTGACCCCCAATGGTGCATGGAATATACGAATGCTGAAGTGTCATATATATCGCCTTATCAAGTTCGCGGTTGACACCATCTGTATTGAAAACGTCTCGATTATTCGTAGTGAGAATTTATGCTTAAATTAACCACTTAATCTCTCATTCCTTACATACATCAGCTAATAACCAAGTATATGGTAGTAACTCCCACTTTACTCAAATGTTTTAATCGTAGTAAAACGTTTTAGATGACCCACATCCTTAAAAATTGTCGTGATTAAAACTCAACACAGGACATCACCAGAGAGCATATAGAAGACCATCGGAAGTAGGCTTTGAGTAAAAAAGCAAATGCATTTGAATACACACCAAAGCAAAACAAATCACCAGATTTCCATGAACCATCTCATTAACTTATTCGCGAAAGTAGATGTAATATAGTGAAATCCAGACAATTTTTTTAGAACAATGAACCCCCTCACTATGTATTAACTTGAAGTCGATCTTGATATTGAGTCACACTTCCATAATTGTTACACAAAAGTCTATGACTTCAGTAATCGGTTGCAAAGTGTTCCGATTCAATCACAAATTCGTTCATGAAATGCTGACAGTTCAGTTAGCCAGAAATATTAGTAGATTTGGTTTTGTGGAGGCATGAATCTACAACTCGGACAATCCATATAGATGATGGGGATTATTATGTGACCTGACTGCTGGATGCCTTATCTAGGGCCTAATAACATTTCGCTGTCCCTACAGTACTCCCCAACCGGACTCAACATGCTCTCGAATCGGTACCAAACACGTTGAGGAGTAGTCACGCTCCGGAAGTTGCTAGACGATCCATATGGATCCCCTCTGTGGTGCCAAGCCATGGTACAAGCGGTAAAAAAGAGGTAGCAACTGACCGGAAAACAGCGAGAATAGTAAATCTAGAAAAGTTGTATTTGTCGATGTGCTTAAAAACATGACTTACAACCTGGTAGAATGTAAGGCGATTCGCAACGACAATAACAAAGAAGTGATTCAGTCGTGGCGTTTACTTACTAACTTACGCTTGTTACCCCAGAAAGCATAGGTCATTGATAGTATTCTCCAACTAACTCTGTCATAGGTCCTTCTTTCCCTTTGTTCCAAATAGCCAATATTTTCAGGGGCTGGTAATACACTGATTGTCTTCTCCTGCATTTCTTTATGTATATGGGATAGAAGAGCTAGATCATCTTCAAAGTCCAAATCGTCCAGTTTCGTCCAATTCGCTCATTGTATTCTGTGATTTCCCTCAAATGTGGAGGTCTTCATAATCCAACCAACCACCAGAAGAAATGGAGAGGGGGGAAGTAAGCAACTATGTCTGACTCCAATCCACACTTGGAATGCACCTATCAGCCGTCCTACATGCGCCACTTCTCAGTGTACTCTGTCGTATGAATCCTGGATGATGTTGACTATCTTCTCAGCTACACACTCCATACTGTCGAATAAAGTTCCATAAACTTTTCTTATCCACACTGTCAAACGCTTTCTCATAGTCAAGGAATTTGATGTATATTGATGAGTTCCATTCAACTGATTGCTCAACGATATTTCGTAGTGTCGCGAATTGATCGGTGCACGACCGATTGTTAGGGAGTTCGGTCTGTTGATCTCGAAGTTGCATCCCTACTGAATCTTTTCTCCAGTCCAACAATACTCTGTTGAACACATTTCCTGGTACCGATAGTAGTGTGATGCCTTTGTGTTTCCCAGACTTGCTCAGATCTCTTTTCTTTGGTATATTGGTGAGGTGTCCTTCCTTCCGATCTGTCGGTGGCACTTGTTCTCCCTTACAAATCTTCCTGAATAGAATGTGGAGCATGTTTGCAGTTACTTCTATGTCTGACCTCAGAGCTTCAGCTGGTATGTTGCTAGGTCGTGCTGCTTTCTCACACTTCAGTAAACTGATGTCCATCCTCGTTTGTTCGATCGTTGGTGGAGTGGCTTCTATAGAAAGGTTTGTGTGTGCTGCTTCGATGTCCGATGGATTTAACGGAACTGGTCTATTTAAGAGTTCCTCGAGGTGTTCTACCCATCTATTCCTCTGTTCTTGAATCTCTATGATTGTTTTGACTTGTTTGTCCTTGACTGGTCGTACTCGTTCACTTTTTCTCCTTTCTAGTTTTATTGGTATGTAATAGAGTTGTTTAATATTTCCTTCTGTTGCGGCTTTCTCCACTGTCGTCGCTACGTCCTTGTCGTATTTCTGTTTGTCGGCTGTAATGCTTTTCTTCACTTGCTTGTTTGCTTCTGTGCATTCAGCTTGTACCTTAATTTTCTCAGTCCTTGTTTGACTGCTGCTGACTGCTGTCTTTTTAGTCTTCCTCTCATGAATCTTGTCTAGAGTTTCCATACAGATCGATTTGTTTAAGACGATGCTTGTTGCTAACCCAAACCTCCTAACAAGTTAGAGTTTATGCTTTTCTGATCTCTTTCCAGTTATCCTCAATAGCAGTTTGTAAGGCTTGGAACCTGATGTTGAAAGTTATCTTGAATTCGTTGAGTTTGAAAGTATCTTGAAGAAAGGTTGTAGTGAACTTTTGTAATGTTGTTTGTCCAGTTGTCCAGAGCTTCTACTGCTTCAGTTTCATCTTGGCTACAACCAGGTGGTGTATTGATATCAATATTGTTGTATAACCGATGCCTAGCTACATGGTATCTCAATACCAATGTATACTAACCTATAAAATTCATACTGGAAGCTGAATCGCGGATGAAAATATTGCAGACCAATAAGTACCAACTCAGGACGATTATTGGGACATTTTGGAAGACACAATCACTCCATAACTCCACTGTCCTGATATGAAATGTTAATTTCATCTGTAGGCTTGCGTTTGTTCTTTAAAAGTCATTACAAAATAATTTCCCATTCCTATTCATTTGAATTGTATTCCTCAGCTAGCCAACATCCAGCTCTGCTTGGAGTACCGCTATCTCTCACGGTAAGGCCAGTCAGAACATACAATGATTGAACTATGAGGTATGATCATTCGAATAAGGTATTCACATCATGACTAGTGAACTACATTATGGCAGATTTACTTGTCGAGTAACATAGATAAATCAATAAATATGGATCATGCTTCCAGGCCCTACGAAGCTTCGTGTGAGAAATTCAGTTGATTGAATATTATCATACTTCTGAACTGGTAAGTTTGTCCTAGTAGCTGTCTCCAGATACATTGCTGTTTTCTTCATCGGTGAGTGTACCATTACCACACGTCATGACATCGTGCAAGTGGAGTGACCACCGGAGTAATGTATCAAATGATACCTTAACAGAACTACAGGTCGATCGAATTTCTTATTATTAAACTTGGTTAACCACTTATGTTAAAACACAGATGGTTCGAATAGTTCGAATTCAGCCCAGATACATAGTAAACATTTAATAAATGCTTTGACATGGGTACGGGATAAAAAAGTTAATTCCAGAATAGTAGTGAGAGAGAGAGTCATATTAAATATATCAGAGGAGTATGTTAAGCTGAATATCCAGGTAGTTTAATTTCAATGTTCAATTATTTGGTAAATGACACATTGGTGACCATTTTTAACCCTCCCGCGTATTTTTACGTTATTAACTGTGTGGTAGTCAAAGTAGGTATTGCTGCTACTTTTTTACTTATGAAGTCGTTAAATGGTACTTTTACAAAATTCATTTTCACACATTTGTTGAATTGTCTGTCAAACCGAATATCTGGACTCGTGATTACTGGTCTTGTATCGATCATACTTCGTTAATCTAGTGAACTATTGGTTTTTTGCAACACAAAATCTTCAAACTCGTCTATTCATCACTTCTGAATAACGAACTCATGCTTATAGCCCTCCAGGTTTCTTTTATAAGTGTTTCCCAATGATAAAGTTGACCAACGGTCTAATTATTTCAAGGGAAAATGACATTGACTGGAAAAATGCTTTGTTCACGCAACCCACCTCATTAACACTTAAAAAATTCAGATAGATTTGAAACTTTTACATTTAATAGGATTGCATCCTATATCTACGTTTCGTGCACATGTAGTATACAGGACAGTGTGCGTACAAATCAGGGAGAGTGGAGCTGACGACTCAGTAAAGGTTTCGTAAAAAGAAGTTCATGTACCGACCTTACATCGTCAGCAAAACACTTTCCTTTGAAAAGCTTCGTAGAACAAGAAGTTTCCGATACATAATCCGGCTCGAATCTCCTTGAGCCTCTTAAGTTTTACTAAATGTCCCCAGTGATTTAACAAAATGCTCAAAATAAACTGGAATGAATCAATTTAGTGAAACCAAATATGCGCATGTAATAGATTTATTTTCATCCTTTCTAACTTGCCTAGTAATTGGGTCAACATATTCCTAATGTAACTGGTTTTTTAGCTTTACTACACAATCTCTTAATTGAATAAATTCAATGCAGCTTCAAGTGCAGGTTTATATACTTGGATATGAGCCACACTATTTGAAGGCCGGTGCAACTGCGCTAATAAATGTAAAGCAATTCCTGAACCTGCCAAGTGCTGTGATTGTTCAGCTACTGCTCGGAATGTCTTGGAGCCAATACAGATGATTTGCCAAATATTTGTAGAGAACTTTCCTCCTTTGTTCTGATTTTCAGCGCTAGACATATGTAGTGTTTTTTCACTACTTAAAACTGCCAATTTAAACCCCTGTACACATATTCTTGGTTCTACGTTACGTATGACCTATTAGCCCCCAAATGCATTGGTATGGCCGAGAGTGGGGAGAGTCCGCTCTCCCTCTCGAAATACTCTCACATGACAATGCGTAATATAGCTTCTGCCAGAGAAGTCCTACTCACTGCCTTCTCGTGGCGGGGGTGTTTACAAAATTAAGAGGACGGAAAGCGAATGTCCGGCGCTTTAACCGGGTTGGTGGATGCGGAGGATCCACCTAGGGGAGTTGGCAAACCCAGATTCCAAACCCATGGTGCACATGGACTTCAGTATCCTGAGGGAACAAATGGCGTATGAACCAATTGTTAGCCACTGGCTACCATGGGATTGCATCTCACTACGCTGTCCCGTTGCCTTGTGGATCAGACTTTTAGGTCAAAGGCTCGAGGTATGGCCCCTTAAGGAAACCACCTGCTTCGGTTTAGGCACCTGGGCAGTATCATAGCCCTTACAAAAATCAAATGAGATTTGTGTGGCGCATATATATCTGGTGCCCCCTTGTACCAATATTTATGTGTTTAAATAAATGAATAAAATCTTATATATTGGGGCAATCAGTTTATTTATTTTATTTAATCACATATATATTGGTACAAATGGCACCGGATACATATGCGCCACAATCAGTGATTGCAACCAGTCTGATGGGATTACGTCCAACTTCCAGATTGTAGCTAAAATATTGGTCAACCTAATCGCCAAAACCGAACTACCATCCTTAAAGACCTTTGGAGCCAATCCATCTGGATCAGGTGCTCTTTCTCGTTTCAGATTAGCTGTAACCTTTAGAACTTCAATTAGAGTCGCTATACCTACTTCAATGTTTCATTCAGTCCGTTTGGTAATGGTGGGTAGTTGTAGAGTAGCTGAAGGCCAGCTGAACTGCTCCTTAAAGTGTCCCGCTCATCGTTCTAGATGTCTGGGCTGAGAGCAGACAAAAGTGTCGTCTTTTTCCGAGGTTGTCTCACTTACACTTGACTTCCTAATTTCCGTTTCTTTTATTAGTCTGAAAAGCTGTCTGGTATTACCTACAGCGGCTGCTTTTTCCATAGCTTGCTTTCGTTGCCCACCACTGCTCACGGTCGTTACTTAGACTTGGACCTAGATCTGATTTGCTTTCGCTCTTCGTGTCTGAAGCCTGATGGGTAAGATTACGGAAGTCTATCAGTGCAATAGATATCTCGGAAATCCACTGGTTTTTCGTAACCCTTTGGTTCAAATCACTAATAGATGTCGCTGCTGTTTCTACAGCTGTTTGTATATCTTCGCAAGCTACATCTGGGCCAGCCTCTTTTTCAGAACTACCCAAGTGTGAAATCAGTCGTTTCTGGAATCTACTTTTGGCTTTCTCATCCCTCAGTTCAATTCTAATGGGTCTTCTTCATGTGGTTTTTCTGCGTCCAGTGAGGTGTAGGCGAATGCGTGTTCGTATTAGAGCATAATCAGAGTCTAAACATGTACTTCAGAACGATCGGGAGTCTTCTATCCAGCCTCTCCAACGATGACTGATGGCGATATAGTCTATTTGAGTCCATCGGTTTGGTGCAGGGAAGGGTAATGTCTGATATAGGAGTAGGCTTATAGAAAGCTTGGGGCGGCCAATTCAATACGTGGCATCAGTCTATAAAAATAAAATAATAAATAATAAGCCTGTTCACCAGACACATGAGTATAAGCGACACTAAGTGAACCGACAATTGATACTATCCGGTTTTCCAAACCGACGTAAGTTCGGTGGGGTTCGGACTTGACGGTCAAAAGTCGGACACTCTAAGCACTAAACTACCACTTTATCAGTCTACGAAGCCATAGACAGTCGGACTGATCCATGTAGATAAAATGATTACTACCTGGTTGGGGTCTCTGCAGTTATCGTAACCAGTTGTTAAGAGATGTTAGATAACGTTGCTCAGAATTAATCAAAATGGTACAAGTCCATTAGCTTTTCATCTTCCCCTAGATCCTGAGTTTATAAATTATTCTGCACTTCTTTTTTCATTACATGAATTCAACCTCCTCAAACCATATTACCTATACCTTGTCTTTTCTACTAGTACTGATACTGTTACTTTTTCTGAAATGTCTTGATAATTTCATCCCACTGTGCTAATATGATATGACAATATCAACCAGTTTGTATGTTTCAAGTTCCATGCTGCATATGACTGACTGAGATAATGTTTGGTGACAATAACAGAAGTAGTCCTCGTTAGATCACTTCACGGTTGGAAAATTGCGACTAAATTGCAGATTACTCACTAAATACAAATTTCCTCACCGCTTAATTTTACAGATGTAAAGAACTACAACTACACGTTATCGGATTAATAATGCCTCAACAGTTAAATCATAAAATATTAAAAATGTAAGGTTAAATTAAGACCCATTGAAATAAACTACAAATTATGCAAGATTGTAAGAACCTGCTGTAAAATGTAATGATCTTAAATAGCATTAGTACAGTTATTAGGTGAGACTAGCAAACATCCGCTATTTACTCTTGTTGTTCATTTCCTTAAGTTTTCTGGCATTTAACAACGAATTCCCTACTTATACAATCTCATTCCCCGTATTTGTTTACCATTTCTGATAGTTTAAACTGGTGTATTATTATGGTATGTTTTTTTTCAGTGGACTACCCAATCCATTAAACAAATCATCAGTGATATATCACACCAACTTTATTCTCATTTGTCTTATTGCTATTTTTGGATTTAGTTCCCGGGTTTCTGTCTGTTATTGCGACTACTGCTATGTCCAACTCCGCTGCTGATGGCATCGAACGCAAACCTGGAACTTTATCTAAAACTTCAGTCTCAGGTATCTTTCTTTTTTCTCCTGTTGATATCGTTTTTCCTGATCTAGCGTTTAGTTTGCTTTTGGCATTTTTAACGTATGATACTTTTCAAAGTAGTTCACATTTTTATTGGATAAAAAACTGACTGACTTGCGTGATTTTTCCTTTTTAAATTAAAAATGTTAATAATTTCTGACTCGGGTTAATCATTATCATTCCATCTTACACATGCTACCATCTCCAGGTGGAAAATCTGTACGAAAACGTTCCACTGGTGATCCACAAGGTAGTTTTTGTGAAAACGTCCTCATTAATTTTATTGTATTGTGCATGCTATACTATTTTTTTTGGATTTCATTAAAGAAAATCATTCACTTGTGCACAGCATTTCATTGGCATGATTTTCTATTAAATGCCCTCCTGCCACCACCTTGCACATATATCCACTCACTCATATATATTTTGTCATCTTTTACATGTCATTTTGTCAAAACCATTACTTCTAATATACATAAAACAGTATGCTGGTGACAGTTGTCGTTATGATGATGGTTTCCAACAGTTTGATACGACAAATAGCAGTGTTCGACATTTCATCAGTAAATCTCAATCTAGATTATCATCTTCATCATTATCATTATCAGGTATTGGTTTGTGTTGTGTTTTGTTTTTCCTTTCACTCTTGTGGTATTTCGGTGGTTTTTGTTTACCCATACATTCTATTATTTGTTTTGTTTCATCGTTTACCATTCAAAAACACCATTAATATTTATTTTATTTTGTTTTTTTGAATCGACCAAACCTTTCTCTGTAAAAACCATACTTTTATGGAAATTTCTCTTCTAGGTGCTGGCGCCGTGGATGAAGATGTATTCCGACAGTCCTTTATACCATCCATGTCAATCACTGTAAGTCTATTATGATTATTCATTTTATTTACGTTCTTTGTAGGCATCTTCTGGCAAAGAACTTACTGAAATCATAAATCGTATAAAAGATGCACTTTCTGGGAATCCTGAAGAATGGGAAAAACGTGTAGATGCGGTAATTTCATCTGTTTATTCTTCTTTTTGGTTCGTATCTTTTTTTTCTAAAAATTCAGTAAGGGCAGTTTTCAATCGAAGTCAATAAAACAAATTTTGTAATCGTGTCTCAATATTTTATAGAAGTTCGTTTAATTAGCTCCTAATGTAGTATGATTTATCCTCCAGTGTCGTACCTCATTCATTAATATACATAAATTTCCTCTGAATTTGTAATTCCTTCTTAAAATTTTAAGCTACAGTCAGTCCCCAAATAAAAATTAATAATTAGCTAGATTGTAATGTAAATCACTTTAAAATTCATCAAAAATTCTTAGTCTGTATTTTAAAACATATAGTTGACTATTTATATTTTTGAATCCCATACAATCTACTCTGCCATCATTTCTTTCTCTTCAGTTAAAAACATTGCGTGCTATAGTTGCCAACGGTGCTCTGCAATATGATGAATTTATTCCTTTATTAAAAACTTTGGAAAATTCCATAGATCTTTCCCTGCGTGATTTAAGATCTTCAGTTGTACGAGAGGCGTGTATAACAGTCGCGTAAGTTAACTTATGCATAAATACACAATTTATTAAAAATATTTATCCTCGGAGTATTATCATTGAAGTCTAAGTCTTAAGTTAGATCTCATCAATATTATGAAAAGTTCTAATGTTTCTATGAGTATGATATTTAAAATGGTTAGATTATTTACTCACCTCAATATTTCAACCAATCATTTGACAATAAAGTTTCTCCTAACAATCATCCAGCCAAGACCACAGGTTACGATCCCTGATGCTTCATAGATATGCTGATTAACGTCTTGAATAATTAAATATCACTTCTTTGAATTAGCGAGTGTCCCTAGACTGGAACAATGTTTACCTAAAAACGGCCTCACTTATTGTGTGCTCTTCTCAACATCTGTGTATTTATTTCCTTATAGTATTTACCAACCTAACAGAAAACATTCAACACTACATTAGGGTGATTTAAAACCTACTCAGCTGTAGGAACATGAACGTCAATTGTGCAGTTTGTTATATTTAGTCTAAACATTCGAAACCCCTCTATTTCTCACTTTTTTTCATGTAATATCCACTTATGATTCAAACTCTTATATACTTGTTTATTAGTTTAAATATCCAAATTTCAGCCACTCGGTTGTAGACTCAAATCCTGTCCAATTTACCTAGGTATTTGTAGGAAACCACAGCATCATCAGTTATCTATCTCACTTAACAAACAACCTGTGTCCTAGTTCAAAAACATGTTTTCCGTTACTGAGTCACATTTTTGAATTCCGCCTTGAAACGACCTCTAGATTTGCTCATTGTGTCTCTTAAACCAGATAAGCAAACATAAACATCACTTAATGTATATCATTTTAAACTGTCACACTGCACATCCTTAAAGCAAAAGAGGAAAAAATTAACTTTAAAAAACACGAAGGTATAAAAGTAAGAATACCGACCTTGACAGGAAATGAAATGTATGAGGAATTCATAAAAAGAAATGATATTATCAGGCAATAATAAGCATGAAATTGTAATCAACTTGTTAGCTACAAAGAAATAGAGAATAAATGTATATGATCCTATGTTACTTAGCGTCTCTAATTTCATGGAAACTAACAAGGAAGTTTGAATTGCTCGACATGTTTCAAGTCCAACAGTTGATGATTCCATAGACTGGTGTAGTGTGTCAGACTTGCTGATGTTAACCCTTTTTTATGGGCAACTCCTATATGTTAGCTAGGATGGCATGTCAGGGTAGATGGGGGTTAAGTATGTATAACCTCTATTCCAACCATTTTAACGGAAGAAAGTTTACATCTTCATTCACTGATTTACTTCAAACCACCAAGACCTTTAAAATATTTCATAACGTATAATTCAATTATTTTCACTAGACTGATTTCCTTACATTCTTTTTGCTCAATAACAACAGCTTTTTATCTCAAGAAATTCGTAATCGTTTTGATCGTTTCGCTGAGAGTGTTTTACAAACAATTATTGCGTTATTATCGAATAGTGCTAAAGTTATGGCAACCAGTGGAGTGGTTGCGATGCGATTTATCCTAGAGGTAAGTAATAATCTTCCAAAGTTACCATCGCATTATGTTCTTTTCTTATCGAGAATGCTCTAGATGTTGGTTTCTTGAAAAAATTTTCTCAGTGAACTCGGGGAAATCTATTTATCGTTGGAAGTCCACACTCATCGTCTCAACTTTAGTATTGCTATCAAGAATAACCTTGCACTGGTCTTGATTGTCGAGTGCTCCAGTTACTTAAATCTACCTGGAACCCTTTAGCCTATTTGCTTTATAAGTGACGGTTAAAGGGAAACTCTGATAAGACGTAACGTGTTATCCATCAATAAACAAAATTCATTTTAAATAAACAGTTAGGAACAATGTAATCGAGTTGCTTGACCGTTTTACCTACATCTGGAATTGCATCAACCTTAGTAAATTGGTTATCGAGTGAAATTCCAACTAGTATTTGATAACCTACGCTACTTATGGTGTAGTCTCATTAACCAAATGTCTATATTATTTACAGTACCCTTTTTAGCGCATCTCTATGTAGTTACACCCCTGAAATGTAGTTATTTAAGGTAGGTCATACCAGGAAATTCAGTAAGTATTTTATGACAACAATTATGGAATTCTTCTGCGTGTTCTACTGAATAAGTATTGTTCAGATTAAGAATGGAATGGTAGATAGAAAATGTATTGTTTTATGTCTGTATCATAGCATAAAATGTACTAGCCTAATACGCTGTTAGGAGCTGCTTCCTTTTCCTTATTCGTAGAAAAAGAGTAAAGTAACATTTGTTTATTCATAAAAATTATCCACTTGCAATGGTCGAATTTCCAGTTTAGAACTTTTTTCCGTCTGTCAATCAATTCAGTGTCATTACTGGCTCGTATACAGAAAATCGAGTGACTCAATGTTCAGTTGCGCATGAATATGTATCAGATCATTAATTATGTAATGAATTATGGAACTATTATCTCTTTCATCATTATCATCCTGTCAAACAGTGAATAAATGATCAATAAAATGTTATGTATTTAGTATTTAAGATGAACTGGTTCAATTTGTTTGTTAACTTTTGTGGAATTTCGAGATTGATATACACGTTTATGTCATAACTTTGCAAACTATTGGATTAGAAAAGTAATTGAAAAATAATTACAGGAGTAGGTAGATGTATGCGTGTGTGTGTGTGTGTCTACTGCAGATTACAAAAAGTGGATAAATAATTGATATGCATTTGACAGTATTATTATTATTATTGACAGCATTTTGTAGAAGTACTATAGCTTAAACAATACAAATGACCAATTACACTGACAAGTATCAATGGAAACAGTTTGTATGTAAATAAATAAATACCTTTAAGCAAATTACGCAACTAAAGGCTTTTGAAAAAATATAACGTTATTAAAATATGAACTTTATTGTTTACATATGGAAAGTTCTATGAATTCAACGAATAGATAAGAAGATTCTATTCAGTGATCTAGTCAATTGTCCACGATACTTAACGATGTAGGATCGAGTCTGAAAAAAATCAATAATGACTAAATCAAAACATGAAACTAATCCATGTTATACACACTGACTCTTGGTTAGACTTGTTAAGGGAAGTTTAAAAAACATTGGACTCCGTGCTAAATTAATTGTTTTCATAAAAAACTAAAATTTCCCATATCAACACTAGCTTGGTTTGTACGAGCGATGCTGAAGTTAGGTTATAATGCACTAGGTTTAGATGGTGAATCGGTTGGTGAGGTTGTGAATCCTCATTTACTGAAGTGATTGTCAAATTTGTTACATATACCCAACCACCTCGTACCTTGACAAGCGATGTTATCCGATGTAGAAGTAGTTTGAAAAAAAGGTAGGGAAGGCTGGACCAGGATATGACACCAGTTTTTGAATTTATTGACAGTTGGATTGGGCCATGGTAATAGGTGTATACTGTATGTTTAGAGTCCATATGATTATCATAACCAATGGTTAGAGAATTTAAATGACATGGCTCAGAACCGTTCGCACTGAGGAAAGTATGTTCACTGCTTACATTCCCTTGAATTTCTCTTATTCATTTTTCGATAATAATAATTATAATCTTGGATTTCTCGGGATAATTTTATCTCTGTGTTAATGTGGTATGGGAACTTGAATCGATGCACATGTTTCGGGTTCTACGTTGCATATGACTGAATGAGCCTTCTTTGTCACACTTTAAATATGGAAAATAATCACGAGGTGAAGCGATTAGACACTGAAATAGAGTACAGTTACGGCACATTTTTTGTAAATGTTCAAGTGTACACTGGGAAACAGTAAATAATCTTCAAATTGTCGAAGTAGCTGTCCTAACATACATAATTGATACAGAATAGATGTAATGTGGTTAGCTGTGAAATCCAACACACATGTTTCGCTCTATTTGGGGCTCGTCAGATGGATGTACTTGGGTCCTACAGTTTGTGTTCACTCTGGGGCTCGAACCCAGTACCGTTTGCTTCAAGCTCTCACATACCAACCGAGGCCGATCAAATTTCACTCAAGAATATCAGCAATGGGATAATCCAAGCCATTTCAAATTGAATCACATCTAAAATCAATGTTGTGAAGGTCATTAAAAGAAGGCCAATTACTTGTAATTTCACGACAATGATTCGTATTGTATAGTATAAAGGTAACCTTATAAACTAATCAGGCAAGTTTTTGTTCAACAGTTGTTTTTATATTACCGCTAATTGTGTAAATTTTAGAATTAATTAAAGGATAATTTCTAACGAAACAAACCGTCGTCAATTATTCATATTCCCTTTAATAAAGACGTTTTATTCTTCCTTTTTTTCATTCCCAACACAGAATACATGTTCTTCTCGTCTTCTTCCCATTCTCATTTCTTCATTATCATCTAAGTCTAATGTTACCAGAAAGTGAGTTTATTGTTTTTAATTCTGTATAACAACAACAACCAATCAATAACTTTTTTCTATGCCCATACAAAATTCTGTTCTCTACATTGTTACCGAGATTATGTAGACTTCATCTGTTAGTTATTAGAACGAGTAGCGATGTGAATAATCTCAGTGATCATCAACATAGAGCTTGGCACAGTTGTTCATTGCCTCAATTTACCATATCATGTTAACACAACCGGATGAATATATCAAGAGAAACAGCGAAAGAGATCAAAGCAATTTAAAAGAAATGTTAATAAGAAAAACTAATACGTGCGGATATAGTTTGAGAAGCCTTAGTGAAAAGACATATGTAAAGGAATACTGGAATTTAGTATTGAAAGAAAAGTAAATTGTAAATGCATCTATGCCATTTTGACCAATTTTAACTCATATCAACCATAGTTGATCCACAACTGATCGTGGTTACCAGGTTATCTAAATCTACGTACGTGACTCTAATCAACAGTCACTAACTTCATAGACTGATCCCATGTCTTTGTTTGGTCACTCAAATATATGAAAAAATATTTCACAGCTAATTGTTATAGGCTTAACAACAAATCAATCATACTCGGTGTTTCCATCGGTATTTAATATCTATTCATTGTTTCTGTCAAATAAATCATTTTTTTCATGAAAAATTAGTGTATAACAGTCAGTCAGTCAGTCACAACGTAGAACTTCGTACGTACGTACATCAGTTCGAGTTGCCATACCACATTAGCACACAGATGCAGTTGTCGATTCAAATCCCATAGTGGAAGAAGTAGTAAGAGTATAATCAGAAATCCAAAAGATTAGGGTTTGAAGAAATTATTGAAGGAGTATAGTACAGTGAAATAAATTTGGAAAGAGAAAAACATAAAGACATGAGAAATTCAGAAGATTAGAATTTGGTAGAACACAAAGAGTGGATGCATCTTCGCCATTGCAAACGATTTTGAGCCATGTCATTCAAGGTCTCTAACCATCGGTTGCTGTCATCTCGCGAATCCCAACCAGGTAGTCTACACTTACCAACATGGCCCAGTCCACTTGTCAGTGACTTCATTGATTTGTGCCACGTTTTGGTCTGGCCACCCCTAGCTTTCTTCCAACCTACTCCTACACCATGAAACATTGCACGTCGGGGCAGTCGGTGGTCGGGCATACGTAACACATGTCCCAGCCATCTCAACTGATGAAGTTTCACTACTTCATCAATCGATTTGCCATCCCTACCTAGTACTCGTTTCCTAACAACTGCATTACTTACCCGGTGGTCCCAGGATATACGAGCAATGCTTCGAAGACACCTATGATCGAACACTAGTAGCCTACGAATATCCTCTACTCTTATTGGCCATGTTTCACTGCCATAAAGTAGGACGGAGCGAACTGCTGCACAGTAAACCCGTCCTTTGGTTGCTAGACGGATATCTCGCCTGCGCCACAAATGATGCAAGTTGGCGAAAGCTAGACGAGCCTTCTGTATCCGTGCTGAGATTTCGTCAAACACCAGACCACAAGGGCTGATGAGACTCCCAAGATAAGTGAAGTGGTCTACACGCTCAACTACTTCACTCCCTATCATTAGTTCAGGTGTCGCTGCAACCCAATCCTGAAGTAACATTTTGCACTTCGAGGGAGAGAATCGCATCCCGAACATGCCTGCATTGTTGCTTATGGTGGTCAGAAGACTCTGCATTTCGTCAGCGTCTTCACCGAGTAAAACTATGTCGTCGGCGTATTCTAAGTCAACAAGTGAGCCTCCCGGTAAGAGTTCAACTCCTGGAGGCTTAGCTGATGAAAGTGCTGTCTCTAAAAGTATGTCAATGACAAAGTTAAACAAGAATGGGGAGAGTGGACAGCCCTGACGAACTCCACTTGTGGTAATCAGTTCTGATGACAGTTCGCCATAGGCTCTAACTCGACCAGTTGTGTTCGAGTAGAGAGCCTTTATGAGGTTAATGTACTTCTTTGGTACTCCTTTCAGTGACAAACATTGCCATAGAACCTCACGATCAACGGAGTCAAATGCCGCCTTAAGGTCAAGAAATACTACTATTGTGGGACGTCTGAATTTGTGTCTATGTTCTAGAACCTGACGTAGGGTGAATATCTGGTCTATGCAACCACGTCCAGGTCGAAAACCAGCCTGGTTTTCTCTAGTCTGCTCTTCACGAGCTTTGGTTAGGCGACCTAGTATTATTGAAGCTAATATTTTAGACACTATATTAGTCAAACTGATCCCTCTGTGATTGTCACAGGAGGACTTTTGTCCTTTCTTATAGACTGGCACAATCAGTGATTGGGACCAGTCAGATGGAATTACGTCCAGTTCCCAGATTCTACCTAAGACCTCAGTCAATCTCACTGCTAGTACTGGACCACCATCCTTAAAAATCTCAGGGGTCAACCTGTCAGGGCCTGCTGCTCTCCCTCGCTTCAGATTTCCTATAGCTTTTTCAACCTCACAGAGGGTTGGAGGACTTACGTCAATTTGCCATTCAGGACGACTGGGGATCGTGGGTAATTGAAGCGTGGCTGAAGGCCAGTTGAACTGATCCCTAAAGTGTTCTGCCCATCGATCCAATCTCCTGGATTGAGAATGAATAATATGCCCATCTCTATCTGAGATGGTTTCACTGATATTCGGGTTCCTAATGCCGGTTTCTTTAACGAGTCTGAATAGCTGCCTACTGTTACCTATTGCCGCTGCCTTTTCCATCTCTCTTGCTTTCCCTACCCACCACTGTTCACGATCATTACGTAGGCTTCTTATAAGCCTGCGCTTAAGTTGACTCCGCTCTTCGTTATGCTCAGAGCCAGGTGGGATGAGTTTACGAGCATCTATCAGTGCGGAAGATGCTGCCGAGATCCATTGTTTCTCCCTAACGTTATGGTTTACCTTACTAGCGGACATCACTGCTGTTTCCACAGCTTTTCGGATGTCATTCCACGCTGCCTCGGGGTGGACACAACTTACATGGCTGCCTAACTGTTTTTCTAGTTGTTCCTGATATATATTCTTAGCTTGCCTATCATTAAGTAGAACCCTTAGAGGCTTCCCTGCAGTGTCTTTCCTACGACCAGTTAGACGCAGACAGATACGTGCTCGCACTAGAGCATGATCTGAATCTAAACATGTGCCCCATAATGAGCGACAGTCTTCAATCGAGCCCCTCCATCGGTGGCTGATAGCGATGTGATCTAATTGGGTCCAACGTTGGGACGATTTCGGGGGTCGCCATGTCAAAAGATGTTTTTCCTTATGCTTAAAGTTAGTATTTGCAAGAAATAGGCGGTTATCTGAGCACAGCTGCAACAGACGGTCGCCATTATCTGTTCTTTTCGCCATGACACCATAAGATCCACCCAGGTGTCTTTCCCTTTCACTTAGTTTACCTACTTGAGCATTAAAGTCACCTGCTACTACTACTACATCAGAACGCCTAGCTTCTCGGAGAAGGTCAGAAAGTTTTCTGTAAAACTCATCTTTTATATCGTCTGAGCTGCAGTCAGTGGGAGAGTAGGCAGAGACGACGAAGAGGCAACGACGAGTTTCCCTATCTTTCCGGGTCCTTACTGATCCGTTTAGTCGGACAGCGCATAGACGACTGTCTACTGGGATCCAGTCTAAAAGAGCTAGTTCTGCCCTAGGACTTAATGCTATACCTACTCCAGCGAGGCCACGGGAAGCAGCGTCAGGGCTTCCAGATACACGAAGCGTGTATCGAGATGAAACTTTATTTTGATTAGGTGAGGTCAAATGAATGACACTACTCGGATCTTGTATGCGCGTTTCGGAGACGCAGCACACATCGATGGTGTAAGATTCTAGAGTCCTAGCTAAGGAAGCCTGTTGTCCTATTTGGCACAATGTTCGGACATTAAAAGTTCCTATATGTAGTTTAGAGCGTGGTTTCAGGAGACCAGAAATAACGTTCTGTGTACTCGAATCGTTATTAGTGTATAACAATTAAGGATGATTCATTGGCGGTGATTTCTAATTCCAGTTGAGATTCCAGGTCAATACCAGTTTAACTAAAGAATAATTAGTATTATATCTTGATAATCATCTTATTTTGAACCGATCTGTCTCACTCGGGCGAATAACCGTTAGCATTCTCGTTTCCATTTCACTTTTAAATAGTTCTAATGATAAAAAAAAGCACTACAGTCTGAGATTATAAAAGCTTAGACGGATGTAAAACCAATAAAAATTTCTAAAGCAACTCATTTACTAAATAAATATTGATGTACTTGGCTTTCGATCCCCACCTTTTGGGTGTGAGGGCTAATGATACTACTGTCCGACTGCTCAAACCAAAGTAACAAACAGAGCGAGGTTGAAACCTTACGACCCTACCACTTGAAAGTAAAAATCTATCTACCAAATCATTTCTTTGGTCCTAAGCTGTTGGTGTTATCGAAAAAAATGTATAGCAGCTAATTCTAAAATGAACATTTTGTACTATTGCGGACTGGTTTGTTTGATTATGTATTTGCATTTTTACGTTGTGTTTTTTACAAGAATATCCAAACCTCATTACCTACGGCTTTCCACACTAGAGGGTTATGTTCCAAACTAATGAGTTACAATAACACTGTGTACATATCTATAGTCTTACTGTAATAATCAATACTGGGGTATAGGTACATTCATTCGGCTGATGAGTACCAAATAAATCGAAAAGTGCGCCAGAAATTCTACTTCGCTTTGTAAATCAATTCTAAATCCAGACAATAATAAGGCACCTGTTCAAGGAGCCCCCTATGTTAAATATAATCGAAAAGATCCAAGCTTTCACAAAAGAAACTCTGGTATTTGATCACATTGTCTACAATTACTTTAATGGTAATCAGATCTGTTCGGTGTTTGAATATGTTTTTGTCTCAATTGGATATATTCGTAAACGAACACTTAATTTCATTTGTTTCTGTAGATGCATTTGCGAATTCTTAGAAATCATTTTTCGAACCTGGCCGTTGAATATTCTTGAAAAAAATCTCTCTGTATTACAAGATGCACTAAGGCGCGGTATTTCAGATGCAGATCAGGAAGCTCGATTATTTACTAGACGGTAAGTTAGATGGAAAAATAGTTTTTTTGCTTTCAAACTTTGCTACATTTAGATTTAAATTCGAATAGAATCTAAAGGTGATTCTGAAGTACCGACTATACAAGTACGTAGCGGCAGTAAAATGATTGTACTCGATGATCAGTGTTTTAAGATAACACTTCCTTTCGTGAATTATTGCTGTTAGCTGCTAAAGCTTAAGTTCTTGAAACGAGCGGGGTCAAAATTATAATACCTAATACGTAAAAAACTGTGGTGTAACCAATTTTACGTAGATTCTTTTTGGGCTATTAGGTTACACTATCCATGTCTTTCAATTATTTCATAACATTGTTGCCTTACTTCGTTTCCAACAACTGAGAGGTATCGTTAACACACACACACACACTTCTAACGACCTATAAACTTACGATGTGAATGGTATCACTAGTTCATACACATTCAGTACACATTATCACCATAATCCTAAAGTAACTTTTCCCTTTGAATTCCCACTTCATCAAATCAATGTCTTAACCTTTTTTTATGGCTAAGATATTTGTGAATGACGACTAGTGTTATCAGATTTAGCAATTTGTTTGAAAGCAGATAGTTTAGTACTATGATAACTTGGTTAATAATTGTATAATCAATAAAGCTACAAGTCTTTTGCTAAACAGTGATCACCGATGCATATAAAAGTTTAGTTACTGGATTTCTTTTAGATACCGTAAAATTATATGCACTCTGTTGCTGTATCAACCGCTTTACTTATTATTTACCCTTAATGTTAACATGAAATCGAACCCTGAAAAGATTTCCAGATTGTTTGTTTGTTTGAGGAATATTGCTTGCATCATTGTGTTTCATGTATACAACGATACTTTATCAATAATAATACATTATCAACCGGATATCTTAAGATTTCTTTATTTGCTGTTTATATCAGTTGACTAACAATTCAGCTTTTAAGTTATTACTATTTCTCTTATACATCTAAATAAATTCTTCTCGTTTTTCCGTTTACCCTTAAATTAGTTCATTCCCATTATTTGTTGCTAAATTTCCTGAGCAAGCGAATTTATTTTTACAAAATCTTGATCCTCAAAAACGTAAACTAATTGAAAAAGATTTGATCGCTGCAGGATTATCAGAAGGGATTGGTGCTGGTGATACTGCGACAACTGGATCATCTCGGAGTCAACCTGGCAGTCAGTCAAATTTAACTTATCAAAGTACTAAACGACCAAATCGACCTGTATTAGGCACTAGTTCATTAGCCAATAATACAAATCGCAGTCGTCCACCATTAACTAGTCAGAATGAGTATAATACCGGTAGAGCTACTTATCAGTTGTTTTTTTTTAAATAAAAAATTTAATTCATATAATCTTATATAAATTATTTTAACAGTTGTTAAATTCTCATACACATTCTTTGTTTACACTGAATAGATTTCTAAAGTGAATCTGTTAGAGACTTCCACGTACTCATCGGAAAAGTCCATAGGGGGCCAAAAACACTTGGAAACACTTTATCCAATCAGCATTGAATAGAGGCTTCTCAGTGAAATCTAGGAAATGGAGTCATATACCACGTTTCTGGTCGGATACTTACCTATTCTGCAACTATGATTAGTATGATTCCATAAACTCATAATAGCATAAGGTCGTGTGTAACTCCATAAAACCCTCGTTTCTCTGCACATAAACTAACTTCAGAGTAAAAAGTGTTCTTTTCACACTTCGCACTTCCTCTTTTGTGTTGAAGTTGCCTTGTGACTTTAGCCTAGGGTTATTAGGAACGGTCAACCATTCGAATCGAGGGTTCATCTAGCCAAATTACCAGAATCAAATTGCACAACGAAAACTGGTAATTGCGTCTGTTTATTTCGAGTACTTGAAATGCAAAGTTTTTGCAACCAGTTAATGTCATTAGTTTGGATACAATAATTGGACTTATATCATCGGTTAAGTAGTGTTTCAACATTTTTTACCCAAATATCTACACGTAATTTAATACCTCGCCTCCACTTTAGTTACTAACGCGTGGAATCTGATATGGTAAAAGTGAAACATTATGTGATTGTTTTCTCGTTTATTAGTGAGCTCCTTATCATGAGGTTTAACTATCAATAAGTAAAACTTCTTTTAATTCCACCTGTTAGTGTTTCTAAGACTGATTATCAAGAAGGGGGTATAGCTAGAAACAATAAAGATCATTGTGTAATGTCACAATATTGCATTGGTTAAAATTCAACATTTCACAAATAGTTGTGCGAGGTAAATGAATAAAGGTGAAATAATGCGTTGGAAAAGTACACCATAACATAATGTGTAAAGCGATCGAAGGCGATATCTGAACATGAGTTGTTTACCTGTTACCATTCATTATAATCAACGCCTATTTTCAATTACTGCTCATTTTCGAATTACAACCTTCGTAGCTTTTCGTTAGCCCTAACACGAATTTTTTTGAAATAAATGTATTTTTATTCATGTCTTTCAGTATATTTCCTTACATAGCTACCTACTTTAAACTCTTTCTGAAGAAATATACCGTCGGTTTCGTAATATTTCAAGTTGCTATGTGATGATTGTCACAACATAATTTTTTTGTACATTTCTCAGTTGGTCGTTCTTACCGTCAAGGGTCAATTGCTTCAAATTACGACAGTCGTCCACGTCAGATTGGGAGAAAACTTGTATCACAGTCACAGCGTAAGTTTTGATTCGATTATTACAATTTCACTTTGATAAAACAATTACTCACATTAATTTTTACATTTATACCAAATAATTAGTATAATTGACTAGCATCAACTTCAAGACTTCGTTTAAAACGGTAAATAATTGTATTTAACTGCTGCTCAAAACCTGACAGAAGATAAGGATCTCACTAAGACACAGCTGTGATGAAACCTCCCTTATCCCTCTTCTGCTCACTATCCTTTGCATGTTTGTTGAGTTCTACCTTTTTTATTTAAGAAAAATTTTTGATTAATTTTCCTTGATTCTTTTCGGTGTGTAAAATGTGATTTAAATTCATATCAGTAAGAAGCAGGATTAGTGAAAATGTGAACTTAATAACTTGGTGGATAACTTGTTTGCTTTTGATGCATTAGATATGAAGTTCTAGGCTCAGTGAAAACAGCAATACTGGAAAATACGTACATTCGCCTAATGTGTCCTAAGAAGGACGTAGTATGTGTCCTGAATTTCACTGCTAACCACAAACCATCTCTCCTAAGACACGTTAAAAATGACTGTGTCGAGACAATATATTCACATAATACATATATGCTAACAAAGACTAGTTAAAATTCAATCCTGAATTGTATAAAAATGCTTGACAAATAATCATATACCTTTTCGTAAAAATATGATAAAATATTGTTATTTGATATTAATACACTATTGAACCATTGAAATATATTGATCATATTAAATGATATAGTAAGCATAGATGGATAGTGGCTAGCAGTGGAATCCAGGACGCGCGTTTCGTCCTGGATTCCACTGCTAGCCACTATCCATCTTTGCTTACCATGCTTGTGAATTTGGACTATATCGAGGCAATACGTACAATATGCACATATGCCAATTAGAGACTGACCAGTTGCAGTCCTAAAAACATCAATGGGAAGATCCAAACAAACTATACTTAGTAAATATTAAATGACATTTGTAAAAATTAATAGAATATTAAGTAGTAAGAGCAGTTATCTTTGAAAAAATGCCTAAATACTATTCTAAAATAAATATCTTTTGTAAGATTTACTTTTTTGACTTCTGTTGTTAAATCTCACTTTCGAATAGTTCTCCACCAACTTCAGTTTGAACACTCATGCTTTAATAGTTTTCATTTTAACCCTAGCATAAAGTGTACTTCAAAACTGAATACATTTATTTTTGTATTTCTCATGATATTCACTTTATCTATCTGTGCTTTACCGATTTTGGTCCAATTCAGTCAAATTAAGTACCAGTTAGGCTTTAACTCTAAATAGTTATAAATCTGTTTTAACTTTGATTTAATGTCAATACATACATATAAGTTAGAAGAGGTGGAACTTGAAGAACTATTCTCAGATTAATCATTATGGATATTGTTATTGCGTATTTGATAAACATTTAATTTATATTTGGTTTTCATGTCTCCCAAATTTCTAGGGTTTTATTTAAGTTATTGTTTATCTATTTGAACACATAAATATTGTAACAAGGAGGCAACATACAATAACAATGAAACCAGTAGTAGCTACTATTGGTTTGTGTGAGGGCTGTGATACTTCCCGGGTTCCCAAACCGAAGCAGGTGGTTTTCTTAGGAGGCCACTCCTCAAGTTTGACCTAAAGGTCTAATCTACAAGGCAGTGGAGCAACGTAATAAGATGCAGTCCCATGGTTTCTGATGACTAACAATGGGTTTATACACCAATTGTTCCCTCAGGATCGTGGAGCCCATGTACACCCATGTCTCGGGATCGGGGTTTTCCAAACCCCCTAGGTGGATCCACCATACCCACCAACCCGGGTAAAGCGCCGGACATTCGCTTTTCGCTCTCTCAATTTTGTAAACAACACTGATTAATAATAATAATCAGTACATCATATTAAATTCTACTGTATTAAAGAAATTTATAATATCATCATCTAAATTACCTGACGGAAGTTAAAGCAAAAACAAAACAATAGAACAATATTGTTATGCACATATTTCCTTTTATTATCTTGAAGAGAGAGAGAGAGTAAAAACAAAGACTGGTGCTGAATAATATGAATTCATTTTATTTCGTTAAGTTCTCATCAGTTGTTTACAACCTATAATATTTAGAATCAAAGTTATGACAGATATTGACATACAATTACGAGAGTGATCAGAGATGAAAATGTGTGTCATGATGTAGCGAATATTCTAACAGTTAACAAGGTCATAAAAAATCTTTTTCTGGATAAATAACTAAAGTTTGAGAGGGAAAGTCTAAGGTCAAATCGATTAAAAGCATTTAGCAGTGCCATCTCCATGACGCAGGACACCAAGTCGATACATTGAAGTCTTCCAATGTGACTAAAAAAACAATTCAACTGCAGTCTTCTGAAATTCGCCGAAGCGATAGCGATAAAACGTTTAAAACCAGATCTATATGTCCAAAAGGTATCAGTAATAAATCTTTCTTTGCTCTGGTAACATTAAATCCTTTTCTTATTTATTGCGTCATTCATTATTTCATCACTTTCTAAAGTTTCGATTACATCATTGTCGTGTTTCTAAAATTCCTAATTGACTGAGTTCAATTTATATCTTCCTTTATTACCATTATTCTGTTTTCAGTTGCTTCATTACGCAATCATGTAACGTTTTTTAACTCTGTAGGTTCTAATAACTATTTCAATATTCTGGGATTTTCCCTCTCAAACTTTAGTTATTTATCCAGAAACATTTTTTTATGACCTTATTAACTGTTAGAATCTTCGCTACATCATGATACACATTTTCATCTCTAATCACCCTTGTATTTGTATGTATGTCACTGTCTGTCATAACTTTGATTCTAAATATTATAGGTTGTAAACAACTGATTAGAACGTAATGAAATAACATGGATTCATATTATTCTGCACCAATCTTTGTTTTTACTCTCTTTGAGAACCATAATTCTTGTATTAAACAAACGCAACTATATACCGACGACATACGCTACTAATGATAATGGTATACCAAATGGTAGTGTTTAAAGATAATATACATTAATAATATACTATACTACACTATTTGTAAATTTTTATCCCTATTCAATGTATCCCATCCTGAATCTCAGCATATATGTGTGCAAAATCTTACGTTTTGTTCTGTTTTTCTTTTAATGAAATAACTTCCTTTTTTAAATTCTTTCTATACCTACTTATTTATATATAAATTTTTTTAGCTACAAGTCGTGAAGTTTCACCATCACGTCTAGCTTATTTCACTGCCTATGGTACTACTACATCTAATAATAATGATGGACAACAATTACAATTTAATACAACTAATCCTAATCGTAATGGTACAATAGGATTGGTAAATAATAATAATACTACTACAGAACGTACTACACGTTTGTTAATGAATTCACGTGTTCCACGTAGTCAAGGCGCTAGTCGAGAAACATCACCAACAAGATCCACTGCAAGTGGTTATACTATGCCTTCATATCAACATAATAATAGTTTTCAATTAACTGGTACAAATCAAATTGGACAAATGAATTATCGGAGGCAACAACAGCAAAGACGTTAGTTTAATTTATATCTGTTTATCATATATGTATATATTTATTCAACTTGTGAGCATTCACTTTGTGTTGAATAAAATCAGAATATGTAAGCTGTTCAAACACCATCTGGAGCAACCAAATTAGTGTTCATTATTTCTCACATACTCAAAAACTGTAGCTCATAATCGGACTTGGTTATAAGTGACTAAGCTCTTATTTATAGAACCTATTATTATGGCTCCGATCGGCCATGATTTTATCGACTACTTTAATATGATTCATTCATGTTTTCTGTGGAGCGTTAGCTTAATAGTCAAGGAGTTCAATTTCCGACCATTAGGTGACGGATTCGAAACTCAGCTTCAGTTTGGGCAACTGGATGGTATCACTAGACTTGTAGTAGATAAAAACAATGTAATGAAACTAAAATGCATGAAAATACACCTTATTCATTTAAATTTATGTATATATTATATTATAAAATTGACATGTGTTGTCAATAGTGAATAAAGATTTTCAAAATAGTTTTATACCACTGAGCGACTGAAGAAACAATTGGTCAGGCCAAATGCCAATGTTTTACCTCTACGACAGGTTGGACCGACATCGGCAGTTTTACTTCTTGTCTTGAATACCTTCATCAAATACTTCCCATTAATCCTGTTTCTCGATTTTCGTTTCCTCCATAAATCTGTTGTCAAAATCAACTCAAAGAATTATCCGCAATAATTTCTTCACCTTCCCATTATGTTTAATAATCATGTCTCAAATACCCGATAATCATCTCTAAAAAGTGCAGTGTCATGTTATTGGATTTCTTTTCTTTCACTACTTAATGAAGTCTGATGTAGTAGTAGGTTGGATATAAGTTAGGGATAGTGAAATCAAAATGTGACATGAATTCATGAAGTTATCTAAAATTAAACTGAACCATCTAAGTAGGTTGATATCTATTACCACTCGTTTGGCGTCCTCATTGATGATGATATAGCTCAAAATCGTCCATCATGGGGCAGATGTATTCACTCTTTGTTTTGTCCGAAACCATAAGTTTGTAAATTATCTTAAACATAATTTCTTTATTCCACTCACCGCCTCCTCCATATTTTATCATCTTATGCTTAATTTTTTCTACTACCACTAATAAACACAGTTAATACTTCTACTACTCTGACATTCTTGGTCTTGATAACTTCATCTCATTGTGCTAATATTGTAACGTAACTTGAATCTGATATGTGCATGTGTGAGGTTCTATATTGTATATAACTGTCGTTTACAATTGTCCATTTATCTGGTACTTTTTATGTCAATTTAGTTTTAACAACCTTCATTACTCATTATTTCTCTTCTTTTTTTAAAAACTTACTTACTTACGCCTGTTACCTCTCGTCGAGGAGCATAGGCAGCTCACCAGCATTCTCCATCCAACTCTGTCCTGAGCCTTGCTTTCCAGTTCTTACCAGTTGCTATTCATCCTTTTCATATCTGCTTCTATTTCCCGGCGTAGTGTGTTCTTTGGCCTTCCTCTTTTCCGCTTCCCTTCCGGATTCCAAGTTGGGGATTGAGTCGTGATGCACGTTGGTGATTTCCTTAATGTATGTCCGATCCACTTCCAACGTCTTTTCCTAATTTCCTCTTCAGCTGGAAGCTGGTTTGTCCTCTCCCATAAAACGCTGTTGCTGATAGTATCCGGCCAATGGATGTTGAGTATTTTGCGTAAACAACTATTTATAAATACTTGTACCTTCCTGATGATGGTCGTAGTAGTTCTCCACGTTTCAGCTCCATACAGTAGGACTGTCTTGACGTTCGTACTAAAGATTCTCACTTTGAAGTTAGTGGACAGTTGCTTTGAGTTCCATATGTTCTTCAATTGTAAAAATGCTGCCGTTGCTTTGCCAATCCTCGCCTTTAAATCTGAATCCGATCCTCCTTGTTTATCAGCGATGCTCCCCAGGTACTTGGATGTTTCCACCTCTTCCAGAGTTTCGCCATCAAGTGTGATTGGGTCGGTGTTCTCCGTGTTGCATTTGAGAATCTTGCTTTTTCCTTTGTAAATGTGGAGGCCTATCGATGCGGAGGCTGCTGCTACATTTGCTGTCTTCATCTGCATTTGGTCGTGTGTATGAGAGAGGAGGGCTAGGTCATCTGCGAAGTCCAAATCATCTAATTGATTCTGAGAAGTCCATTGTATTCCGTATTTCCCGTCAGATGTTGAATTCTTCATAATCCAGTCAATCATCAGAAGGAAGAGGAATGGGGAGAGTAGACAGCCTTGTCTAACTCCGGTCCTTACTGGAAATGCATCTGTCAGCTGTCCTCCATGCATGACTTTGCACTGTAGTCCATCACATGAGTTTTGGATAATGTTGACAATTCTTTCAGGAACTCCATAGTGTCGAAGAAGTTTCCACAATGTTCTCCTATCCACGCTGTCATACGCCTTCTCATAGTCAATGAAGTTGATGTATAGTGATGAGTTCCACTCAACTGATTGTTCAACGATGATTCGTAGTGTCGCAATCTGGTCTGTGCACGACCGATCCTTACGGAATCCAGCCTGTTGATCTCTAAGTTGGGTGTCTACTGCGTCTTTCATCCGATTTAACAGCACTCTGTTGAAAACGTTTCCTGGTACTGATAGCAAACTGATGCCTCTGTAGTTCTCACATTTGCTCAGATCTCCTTTCTTTGGTATCTTGATGAGATATCCTTCTTTCCAGTCCATTGGCACTTGTTCCTCTTCCCAAATCTTCTTGAATAGAAGGTGAAGCATGTTTGCAGTTATTTCAATGTCTGACTTCAGTGCTTCAGCTGGTATATTGTCGGGTCCTACCGCCTTCCCACTTTTGATTTGTCTGATGGCCATCTTGACTTCTTCGATCGTTGGTGAAGTGACATCTATTGGAAGGTCTGTGTGTGCTGCTTCGATGTTCGGTGGATTCAATGGGGCTGGTCTATTCAGCAGTTCCTCGAAGTATTCTGCCCATCTTTTCTTCTGTTCATGAATCTCAGTGATTGTCTTTCCTTCTTTGTCCTTGACTGGTCTCTCTGGTTTGCTATATCTCCCTGCTAATTTCTTCGTTGTATCATACAGTTGTTTCATATTCCCTTCTCTTGCAGCTTCTTCCGCTGCCGTTGCTAGTTTTCCTATGTATTTCTGCTTGTCGGTTTTAATGCTTCTTCACTTCCCTGTTTGCTTCTGCGTAGTCTGCTTGTGCTTTGACTTTCTCTGCTCGTGTTCGGCTGTTGTTAATTGCTAGTTTCTTGTTCTTCCTTTCTTGAATTTTGTCCAGGGGTCCCATAGAGATCCATTCCTTGTGATGATGCTTCTTAGGACCAAGAACCTCCTGGCACGTTGAAGTTAGTGCTTCTTTTATCCCTTTCCAGTTGTCCTCCAAAGTAGTTTCTTGTTCTTTCAGTAGATCCTGTAGAGCTTGGAACCTGTTGTTGAGAGTTATCTTGAATTCATTGAGCTTGTCAGTATCTCGAAGGAAGGCTGTATTGAACCTTTGTAGTGCTGTTTGTCCAGTTGTCCAGTCTTTCTTTAGCTTCAGTCTCATCTTGGCCACAACCAGGTGGTGATCTGAAGCTATGTCAGCTCCTCTCCGGGTTCTCACATCTTCCACTGATCTTCGGAATTTTTTGTTGATACATATGTGATCTATCTGGTTCTCTGTGATTTGGTCCGGTGAGATCCATGTAGCTTTGTGTATGCGCTTGTGTGGGAATATTGTGCCGCCTATGACCAATTTGTCGAATGCACATAGGTTTGCAAGTCTCTCCCCATTTTCATTTCTCTCTCCTAATCCATGTCGTCCAATTACATCTTCATTTCCTGTGTTGTCCACTCCAACATTAGCATTTAGATCTCGGATCAGGATGGTGAGGTCCTTTCGTGAGCACTTTGCTATAATTGATTGCAGCCTTTCATAGAACTGATCTTTATCATCGTCGTTGCTATCATTGGTGGGTGCATAACATTGGATAACGTTCATTGTGATCCCCTCCTTCTTTGTTCTGAATGATGCTTTGATTATCCTGGGTCCATGAGATTCCCATCCCACAAGTGAATTTCGTGCTTCTTTGGACAGCATTAAAGCAACTCCCTGAGTGTGTGGAGCATTTTCCCCTTCGTGACCGGAGTACAGCAGCATCTCTCCTGTACCTAGCCTTTGTTGTCCAGTTTGTGTCCAATGGGTTTCGCTGATTCCGAGTACTGCCAAGTTGTATCTTCTCATTTCCAATGCTATTTGGCTGGTTTTTCCTGTCTCCCACATTGTCCGGACGTTCCATGTACCTATAAAGAGTGTTGCTCTGGTTGTTAGAAGGTGCATCGGTCTCGTGACTTCCGAAGAATTTCGGCTTTCATCATGAGACGTCATAATTATTCCTTCAAGTGCTAGGGCAGAGTTTAAATGGATTGAATTATTTTTTCTGGTTAGCGTTTTTTTAGAGAGTTAGCTTTTCTACGGGATGGGGTCGCTAACCAGCAGTAACTCTAGAAGAGCTACAGGCGGAGTTTTTAAAAAAAAACATTATAAAATGAGAAAGAGAAGTATGTAATGTGTACCTTAATACAGAAAGGTCATACCTTATATGATAATTTTTGTATACAACTCATTCGTAGTTTTCATTATGGTTGATAAGTTGAAAATCTTGTGTTGAAAAGAATAAAGTGCTTTGTGTAATCAATTGTTCTGTCTCTATTTATTTATGTTTTGTTTGTATTATTATTAGAAATCCTGCATACGTTGTCAAGAATGAGGTTAAGTTTTTTTTGGACAGTTTCATTACTGTTAGATTATTGACTAGTCAGTCAGTTTTGATAGATTAAATTCCAATAACCGGATACATATTGATTTGTAATTTTGTACATCTGTCCAATTTTACACGCGACAATTGATGAATGGACTTGAAATAATTTAGATATCTCAACTGAGAATATTGAGTGAGAAGGTCTGTTGTTTCAAATTCTTATGTAATGATTTGATTCATTTGCCAAATACAAACTCATATAGAGTTGCCTTTACTCCCGTAAAATTAAATAAGATTTATTGGGCTTCAAAATTGCAATCTGTTCATTGAAAGCCGAATGATTTAATCAACTAAACGATTGTTCGTGTTCATTCAGTGGCAACGTATCGCTCCTGTATACGATAAATTAGTCAACCAACTAAGTTCCGTTGTTAGATAACGTAATAGAATAAAACTGAACTCTCTCTCAGGTATGCCGTTTTACGTGTATTATCGAACACGAACGTTGGAGTGTCTTCATTAATTGATTTGACAACCATCGCGTCAGGACATTCTAAGGTTGTTGTTTTTCTATCTAACATTTTTTACCTTATATGATAACCGGTTGTAGGACATATGTTCTCTCTCCAACACACACATGTTCTCGTTTCATTCAATGCGTACTCATTGTTTTCAATTCTTGACACTACAATATACTTACCGATATGCGATATTTCAGTAAACCAGTTTATTAATATAAAACAACTCACTTTAATTTTCCTTCTCTTTCTTTGGGGTTGTTGTTGGTATTTTCTCCAGCATCTCTTGGTACTCTAAGTGATTGTGCGGATCTTGGCGATGGAGTAAGCTATTATTATTATTATTATTATTATTATTATTATTATTACCATTGGTGATAATTTATTCATTTTGAGTTTAATAAAATGAACACTGATTGAATAATAGATATCGTATATGTTGAAATGTTTCTGTCTTGTATTGATTAAGGCGTTCACGTTTTGTCTACATACATTGCTATTCGTCAATCATGCATAATTGTATATAATCAATACAGAGATATTATTATTATTATTATTATTATTATTATTATTATTATTACTGATTAGAACCTTAATTCTACTGTCTTTTTTCACATTAGTCGTCCATTATCAACAATGATTATATATATATATATATATAATTTAAGATACATAAATTTCTTCTATCAAAATACCTGGTATCTACTTATTCTAGCGAAAACGAGATATAATGTCGCTATAACTGAGATTGACCAATGATCAGTAAATACTGATTTGGCATATAGAATCTAGTCATTAAAATTATATTAATGATGTGAATTTCTTAAATAAATATCAAAAAAGTTAGAATAGAACCTAGTCAACAAAATAAATTTATATCTTTTATTAAAATAAACATATTTCCTTATATATGATACATTTCACTAAAGAATAAACACGATTGGAAATGTTATCTACTTCTGAAAAGATATGTGTTTTGACAAGTCATCCATAAGTGAATGTATTCAAAGCTTGACTGTCAAGTTTCATTTCATGCACCGGCGGGTCAATAATAAGGGCGTCCGACTGCCAGTCACTTTTGTCGCTGGTTCGAGTCCCGCCCCACCATCTTCGGTTTGATCAACTGAGGAACACATCTGGAGTATGCTTCAAAGCAAAGCTCACGAGCCGGTACCCTATTAATAAATGTATACTACTGGCTAACTGATCTTGATCTGAAGATGTAGTAAGAGGAACCAACAATGTTCGGTTTAGGCATTGACCGTAAGTTAAAAATGAGCATACTTTTGAGAAGTAATGGACCATCAGGAAAAAATTGTTATTGCTCATGACGAAAATGAAGAAGTTGTACCCCAAAAATACATGTTCTATGTTGTAAGCAAATTCATTTGGATGCGTGTATTAGCTTTTCTAAAAAAACACAAGCAAAAAAGTCAACTTATTCCGTTTTTCTCAGTATCAGTTTAGTTTAAAATCTCATTTACAGTGTACTTTTGAGTTTGATTTTGTTGAAATTAGAACTTACATTATCTGCTAGAACATAAATGGAACGTTGTTCATTTCTCTCTTTACTTTTATTCGCAAGGTATTTAAATATTCCGCAGTTTGTTTTAAATAATTAAGATCTCTTATATTGCAACTTACTAGTTTTCTTGACAAAACAAATCATTCTTTCTCTCATGGATATATAGTTCAAGATAACTGACATATATATGCAGGAAGATTTTTTAAATAAATCTCATCGATTAATTGATTGATACCAAGGGTTATCTTAGTTACACTCTTTCCCATTTTGAATATATTTTATAGAATTACGCTAAAGTATTTTTTTTCGCATTTTCAAGAGAGATTGTTTTATAATATGGTATATATTTTCATTTGAAAAATGAAAAAGGTCTAATTGAATCCAATCATCACGTGTAGTGATGGTTCTAGTTGTTGGACGTTGATTTTCGAATTGGTTTATTACTTTCCAACTGTGTAGTAAAGGTGAATAGAATGTCAGTATTATTTTGCGAAATATTAATTTTCTTGTTTGTTTACCAGACTATTAGCTACCTTGAATTTGAGTTAATTACCAGTGAAAGTTTGTTTACGCATTATTTCTGTTGTTATATTATCTTCGTTAGCCTTTATATGGTCGACATTACTCAACTGGTAATAATCGTGGTCCATATGGTTCAGATGATAACTTCAGTGAAACATCATCACAGTGTTCTGAACGTTCAGGTCGTTCAGTACCCGGGTACCGGCGCCAGTCCTCAAGTAAAGTGACTAGTGTAAGTTTGTTTTCCTCAGAGATCACATCACTATTAATATTTTGTTTTATTTACTTAATAGTTTTGTGTGTTTGCATACTTGCGCACTGGTTGCTTCACTGTTGGGGAAAGTTATTTTCTTTGAGTGATCTAATAAAGAACGATGATAATAAGCTGCCCGTTAACCATACTTCTGACTTCCTATTTATTGAACCTGATTTAGATTTCGCCATAATGTATGCACATCCTTTAGTCACTTATGATTTGGTTGAAATCTCCGGCTACCAAACAATCGGCCAATGCATTTCTCAGTAGTCCACTCTATATTACTTGTCTGTGAAACATGTCATATGAAAGTAGAAGACATACGTAGGCTACAAGTTTTTGACCATAGGTGTCTTGAAAAGAAATTGTTTGCGTCTTTTGGAGCAACCGAGTGAGCAACGTTGAAATTAGACATATGGTACTAAAAAAGATAGAGAGTTGGTTGGTGATGTTTTAAATCTTCATTGACTAAGGCGGTTAGGACAAATGTTACTTATGTTTAACCAAAGCCCCTACCTCTGTGGTTTAAGCATAGGTAGGCATCAGTTCACAAAGTCATTGACTGTTGGTCTGAGTCGTTTAAGTAAGCATAGACTACTTTGTTTAGTTTCATACGATAACTGCAATCAGTGGTTAAGGACTTTAAATGATATGGCTGAAAATTGGTCAAAATGGCAAATATACATTTACTTTTTACCTCCGCCTCGATACTTAATTCCAACACTCTTTCTTATATAACTTCCCAGTCTGCTTTTTGCACCAACTTCCCAATGTTCAGTCTTTCCTATTAACATTTCTTCTATATTATTTCGATCTCTTGTGATCCATCTTGTGAGAGTGTGGTGTAGTAACTTGGGATACTTCATATCTTTTCCAAACTCTACGTTGATTATTACTAACTGACTCTTTTAATAACGTATTCACAGAATGAAAATGTGAGTTTACTCAACGTTTTGCCACACTTTTGTATATGACGGCTAGTGTATGTTATCCAGTTACCGAAATCGACGTGTTGTTATTTATTTATTATTTATGTAAACACATAAAAATTGGTGCAAGAATGCATCAAATATATATGAGCCATACAAATCATTTGATTTTTGTGAGGGATGGAATACCGCCTAGGCGCCCAAACGGAGTTTTAATTTACAACCTAGTTATCTTGGCAAAATGTAAATCGGAAACTGTAATGCATTTACATTACACGGCTTAAGATACTAAAACCAGTGAAACAGATTTATTCTCACTTCGTTGTTCTAAATATTCATCATTTTCAATTTTTTCCAATAATCTCATTCTATTTTAATTCAATGTCTTATTGTTTTCCTGGTAATTTCATTCCAGTCAATTTGACTGTCAAAGTTTTTTTGCATCACTCCGTTCCTACTGTCCAATCTAGACTCCATATCTAAATCTCTTTGTCTATCTGTTTATATATATATATATATATAAGTTAATCAGTAATCATTGTTTTGTTGTCACCATCAAGTTGAATTAGATAGCTTGCATAAATGCTATTTTATTATCGATACCATAAATTGTACAATCTAGGTCCGTTCATCTCTGTTTTGGGTTGCAAAAATCTCTTTAAAGCCTTTTAAAATGTTTGAAATCTTCCTCATATGTATGTTTGTATGTGTTTATTTATGTTCCATGCTTGCTGATTTTGTACTTGTCTTTCTCTCTCCTCTTCAGTTACTTTATGAATTAATCTTTGTTCTGATCTACAATCTTTACCATAACTTGTCTTTAAATGAATATTGATACTTTTTTCACAGGCAATTTAACATTTATAAGTCTTTTAATTCTAATCAGAATGTGTCGACTCCGTTTAGCGTTATAGTTGTAAATGTGGTGTCTTAACGAATAGAGCTCTTCGACTTCATCCAACAACTAATTACAGTTGTGGAACCCTTTTTTTATTTGCTTGTGTTTTTGGAACCTGACTGAGTATCATTAGACATCCTGCAATTTAGCTCAAAAATGAATTTTACATATTCGCACCTAAATTATGTATTCCGTTGTCAAACCGGTCTCAATCATCGTGTACAAAGTAGTTTCAAGTGTTGTTCAAGGTGTTTAGTCAGTTGCTACTTCTCGTTCGTCTATCCTTGTCGTAAAGTGAGATGTTCTATTTTTAGTCACGACCTTTTACTCCTTCCTTCCTTTTTGAGAAGGTAGCATAACTATAGGTGCTGGTTGTTTAACGGAAAAATATTGGTGTTGTAATCTCCTTGTTCAATTAACAGCTCAACTTGGCCCTTGAACCTTATACTGCTGCTTTCAGTCCTGGCGTTCTTCAACCGATCTACCTGATATTGTATAAACTAAGGAAATAAGTATCTTATCCAGTATCGATCGATTAAGTAGGTAGGTCATCACAACAAGCAAGCACAATCATCATGCCAAAGTAGCACCTATAGAATCGGTTTACTGTACTCTATTATATACTTTTTTGTATTTTATTCACTCGAATGCTTTAATCCAAGTTACCATATATGCATTATTATCCGACTTTTAGCAAACACTTCATTTCCGATCATCCAGAAATCCTAAAATTCACTAAAAATTGTTAAGTCTACTTGAAACAATTCTTTTTTACAGAAACTGATTTTATGATGTTGAAATTAAAAAGAATATAAACAAAAAAGTCATACAATAGAATTTAAGGTTATTAGTGAAATAAGGCAACACAAATTGAAACAGAAAAAGTAATGAAATGCACTAACGGTAGCGTAAAAAACTGCAACGAAGCACTCACTTCCAGCGAAGAAGCACAAATTATTTGTACTTCTTAATACAGTTGCATTTGCATTGTTATATATAAGTATATGACTTTCATCTGTATAATTATGAATATTTGTTTAAAGATGTTCAGTTTATATGATTATAGCTATTAGAGTGATGTATGTAGTTATGTAGATCAAATAACTTTTTTCTCAGTATGAAAAAGTAGATGTGCCTCGGAATAACCGGCACGTAACTATATATATATATATATATATATATATATATATATATATATATATATATATATATATATATATATAATCCTAAACTTATTATGATTGGTATTTATAGTACAATTCTTTTAATATTTAATAGAATTTAAAAGAAATCATTTCTCAACTTCAAGCTGTTCAATGGTCTGACAGAAAGGACGGCTTAACAAATTTACAGAATTATATGCGTTCCGGTTATCCGTTAAAGTGAGTTTAACAATAATATTTAATTTAAGTGTGTGGCGTTTGCTACGTATGTTGGTAGGTATAAGTAGTATGTAACAGTAATCTGAAAAGGAATGCCTGGCAGCAGAAGTCTGAATTGAAGAGGACAGAAATGTAAACAGAGCAATCGTAATAACACCGACATTGAAAGAATCATGATGCATGTAAAGGTCAACTGAAGGATGATGTGCAAATAATGTATAGTTTACATATTTCAAGAAAGTACTCTGTAATGTTCCATTGAACAATAAATTAGTTTTCCCCACCTGAATTCTCGTTCACTACGTATATAAACCTCTTCCCAATTTTAATTGTTTCAATGAAAGTTTATTATAAATATCCACAAAGGTATTATTAAAACACCACAATTCAGGTTTTCAATAAATAATTGATTTGTCAAGTAATTTTTAAAAATCCTATGGTACATTCAACTCTATTTTTTCCCTTGAAAAATTTCCCTTACAGTCCTGACGATATTCACTGTTTAACTGAAATATTTTCTAAAATGTTTGCGGATTCCCAAAGTAAAGTAAGTCATTTTCCACCCTTTCCTTTTGGTTTTCATTAATTGTAAAATGTTGTGTTTTTTTCGTGTGCATGTAACCCGATGGCTTATTTGCTAAAGCACCTAATCTTCAGTCACTTGATCAAAGGTTCAAACTGCACTCCATCTGTCTTGGTTCTAGTATTTCAATGTACAAGAATGCATAGCTTAGTAGCGTGTACATAAACTTGAACATGGTAAATGAGTCACTTGGTTTTTTTGTTACTATTAATACCAATGTACTTCTCTATTCTCTGTTTCTCCTGTTTCGTCCCCTTCAAAAGGTTGTTAGTTTATTTATGGATACATTACAATTCTTTATTAAAGAATATAATCCGTTACTTCGTGATTGGCTTTACACTCTTTTAATACGTTTGTTACATCGCCAAAGTCATGAAGCTTTGAGCAGCCATCAGAAAGCTATACAAGAAACACTTTTTGTCCTCAGGTTAGTGACATTTTATGTATATGAGTTTGCTAGTATTCGTCCCTTACATGTATCACATAGGGTACCATGAACCATTCGATAATAGTTTCATACTACATTGTCAGTCAGTCAGTCACAACGTAGAACTTCGTACGTACGTACATCAGTTCGAGTTGCCATACCACATTAGCACAGAGATGCAGTTGTCGATTCAAATCCCATAGTGGTAGAAGTAGTAGGAGTATAATCAGAAATCCAAAAGATTAGGGTTTGAAGAAATTATTGAAGGAGTATAGTACAGTGAAATAAATTTGGAAAGAGAAAAAGATAAAGACATGAGGAATTCAGAAGATTAGAATTTGGTAGAACACAAAGAGTGGATGCATCTTCGCCATTGCAAACGATTTTGAGCCATGTCATTCAAGGTCTCTAACCATCGGTTGCTGTCATCTCGCGAATCCCAACCAGGTAGTCTACACTTACCAACATGGCCCAGTCCACTTGTCAGTGACTTCATTGATTTGTGCCACGTTTTGGTCTGGCCACCCCTAGCTTTCTTCCAACCTACTCCTACACCATGAAACATTGCACGTCGGGGCAGTCGGTGGTCGGGCATAAGTAACACATGTCCCAGCCATCTCAACTGATGAAGTTTCACTACTTCATCAATCGATTTGCCATTCCTACCTAGTACTCGTTTCCTAACAACTGCATTACTTACCCGGTGGTCCCAGGATATACGAGCAATGCTTCGAAGAAACCTATGATCGAACACTAGTAGCCTACGAATATCCTCTACTCTTATTGGCCATGTTTCACTGCCATAAAGTAGGACGGAGCGAACTGCTGCACAGTAAACCCGTCCTTTGGTTGCTAGACGGATATCGCGCCTACGCCATAAATGACGCAAGTTGGCGAAAGCTAGACGAGCCTTCTGTATCCGTGCTGAGATTTCGTCACATACCAGACCACAAGGGCTGATGAGACTCCCAAGATAAGTGAAGTGGTCTACACGCTCAACTACTTCACTCCCTATCATTAGTTCAGGTGTCGCTGCAACTACTACATTGAACTGTACTTAATTGCTAGTGTTGTTTTTGTTGAAACCATTGACTCAAAAAACTCAATAAATTAAGTGAGAGAAAGAATGTGGAATGTAATAATCTATTTATTGATTTATTTTTATGCATTAATACTGGTACACGGGGCCACCAAAATATATATGCGCCATACAATAAAAATGAGATTATGAAAAGCACACGCCTTACCTACGCTGATTGCTAGCTGATCAAGTGCGAATTGTATGGCCTGATTATTATCTCACAGTATGACGATATCACACGCATACTCATTCATATGTGTGATTTGTTGTTAAGCATAAACATCTTAATGAAAAACAACGTAGATCTCTACCCTGTCATTCAATAAGAAGGTTGTGTACAGTTGTATTATTTCGATATGTGGATGTTCTGGAAAATAAAATTTAAAAATATTGCACCGTTAGCAAAGTTTACAGCCGTTATATCAATTGGCCAGTCGTAACTGCTGTATAGCTTGCTAAAAATGTGATTTAGCTTCACGTTTATGTACTACAATAACACAACGTCGAGATGGAATTACCAAGATGAATAACAAAAGTGATCGAAATAACGTAGTAGTAATGATAATAAGAAAGACTAGACATTGAGATTGTGGATTAAAAAGTAAGGATGGAAGGGTATATACGAACTAACACTGCAAATCGTGATCTTAAGGGAGATAACAAAAAATAATGAATACAACAATAGCCTCACTGTGACCAATTCTGATTCTTGTTGTCTTCCAACATTTCTAACTTCTGATCGCACTTGTTACACCGGCCCCAACCAAGTAACCTATACTTCTCAACAAGAAGCAGATCAGTAGTTAATAACTTTATGAACTGATGTCATGTATAACTATTCTGTCGGAGATTCTAAGTGTTGAATATGAATAATATTTAATAGTAGAAGGTCAAGTAGCATATGTAAAACCAAAGTGTGTTTACACAATGTAAACTGCACCAAACTCATCAACCTGCTAAAAGAAAAGATCAAATAATCACTATTTATTTTGGACTAAGTTTCGATGTGGCATGAAAATATAATAAATTTAAATCAGAACATATGTTAATGCTCATGAATTCATAGCGTATCCACTTTTCAATACTCAATATGTCTGCTGTATCAAGCATTTTCGGGCAGTTTTTCGTCCATTTAGTAGACTTGTATTGGCATGTAAGAGTTGAAGATTCTATTTCAGCCTCTAAATTTCACTTAATTTGCTTTTTTGATCCTAAAATTGGGAATGCGCTTCAGTGTCATGTTCATAAAAAAACACATGTCGGTTGATTTAGCTAATTGAAATGAAATCTCCAATGAAATTATCTTATATCGATCATGCACACACTAAATGAACGTAACAATTCTAGATATCACAATGATGCTTTGTGAAATTAATTAAAAAGTTATTTTCATTGAACATTTAATGAATACTCTGTTGATTATCCTTTCTTTTTCTATACTTTCAATCTTTGTTTTCAAAATATTCTTTATTCATAGATCTCACTTTCCCTTGAATACACAATTCAATAGTTGTTGTCATTTTATTATGGATAATGCACACACACCAAATTTTCGTGTTAAAACTTGTCTATTAGAATATATGAAAGACCTGATCTTAATGATGAGTCCAGATTTAATTGCTAATCCATCAAATGAGGTGATTAATGCAATTGGAAAAATTATCAGTTGGTCTGCTGAACCAAAATCAGCTGATGTTCGACGGGTAAGTACTGTGAATTTTTTTTTACTTTATTGTGCTTTTGTTTATTTTGTGTTTGTATATCATCGTTTATTATTCTATCTTTAGCTGTGTTTTATCATAATTTACTCAATAAATGTCCGAATTTGACTCTTATGACAATTTAGTTATGATTAATGACTTTGTAATTTATAACCTCACTACTTTGAGTCACACTGACCTTAATACACCGGTCTTTATTTAGATACTACTTGATATAGTCTTTAATTTTATAAATTTATCCATTAAAAGTACGTGTATCGAGTACAAAAAGACCTAATTTTACGAGCATCCAAGGTTGTTTTATCAGCTCCCCCCCTCTGTTTACCTGACTGACTTACGCCTGTTACTCTCATTGGAGCATAGTCCGCCGACCAGCATTCTGCAATCCACTCTGTTCTCGGCCTTCCTTTCTAGTTCTATCCAGAAAAATAATTCAAACCATTTACCTGACTTAGCTACTTACAATTTTATTTTGTTCCCAACATGCAAAATGGTCATGTCGTGTCAAACATTGCTGAAGACAATAGTGTATGAAACAACAAAACAGCTTTAAATCCTGACTTCCAAGTATGGTTGAAACAATACAAACAGAACTGTATAAGCACAAATGGGATATATTTTGTATAGAGAATTCCATAATTATAGCTGATTATTTTCTTGGGACATATTATTACAGTTATTCAAATATGTGTTATTAGGCTTATCATAGCAACTTAAGCCAATGCACTTCTGTGCCAGGTTCTATGTTGTTAATGTCCTTCATCCTCTTGTCATCCATTATTTCACAATATTTCAAACTATGTTGACGCGAATTTTCAACTATGTGCAACTAATTAATTGATCATATTTTTATAATTTATTGATTGATTGATTGACTAAAATTTATTTAGTATTTGTTGTTGTGTATGTTCAGTTACGGATGTTCGCGGTTAGAATAAAGTCATATTGAAAGCATTGTTACGATAATTTAAGCTGAAAACACATAAATCCATTGGATTCTTTGCAGTTCAGTTACTTAAATATTTTTTTGTTCTCTTATCATTTGTTGTTGTTTACAATCTAATTACAATGAAATTGTTAAGATGATCTTTAGATTAAATCATTAGACTGTTCACCATACATACTTGGATGGTTACACTAATTGTATACACCTGGAAAAGCGTTAAAATATCTGTCTGAACTATATTTCTTCGACAGTCTCTACGTCTCCAATAACCAATAATTCAACTTAAAAGTATATATGTTAGTATCAGTGAATTTAGCGATACATTGATTAAAATTATATAGTACACATACTGGCTTCGTAAGTTTATGTTAGCTTATTGATAAAATAAAATGTTGTTTGACACTTCAATGTTTTAATAATTTTGCTTTAGTATTTGTTCATTAATCAGTTAACCTACCTTCTTTCATGTATGAAAACTAAAGACTGGAGATATTAATTCACCATGAAATTTTTGAATACGAACTTAGGGTTCGTTTAATCTCGAAATCATCATTGGATTTAACTTCACTCACTTTACTCACTTCTTTGGAGAATGTATCTTTCGATCCTGTGAAAATCAAGATGTGTACTGTGGAACTGTTTGATATCGGCCATTCACAGTATTTTGACATCTCTCCTTACTAGTGCATTTAAAAAAAGTGTGATATCACGTCTACTTCATATGTTTAAAACCTTAATTTTACGGGCAGATACATTTATCAAACCTGAGTTTTTTTCTAGCTATGTAGAAAAATTCGCTATTTTTTTTAAAAAAAAAACAACTCATTGTCACGCCACCTTTGCATCAAGCAACATATCAGTGTTTATGTAAAATAACCATTGACCATAGTGATGTCCAATATCAAATTGCCACCATCATTTTACTTCCAGTTTCTCTTAGTTCTTCAATAATCTTTTTACCTTCATGCCTAAGCCACTTTCGAACGGATATACTTTTCATTTGATTCTATCCCCTTGAATGTACATAAATTTATTTTACTCTATGTGTGATTTCCTATCATTTTTCCTACCTTGTATTCTCTAGATGGCTTCCCGTGTTGTTATCAAATTGTTCGATTTGAATTCGACAAGTTTTTCTAACTTATTACAATCACTGCCTCGTGGAGTGCAAGATCGTGCACATGAAGTATTAAAAACCTATCAAAAAACTGCTACAGGTGGCGGTCTAATCAATTTAACCGACACTAATCATAATTCTCCCTCATGGAAATCATCGTAAGTTAAATTGTTATCATTCTTATTATCATTTATCCTATCTTTAGACTGAAATTCTCTCTCTTTATGACTTAGTTCATTTATAGATAAAACACTGTTTATTAATAGATGTTATATTGTTTTGATCTTTGTATAAGTCTAATAATTTGTTTGTAAGTCTTAGGAATCTAAGTTGTTCATTAATTGGTTATTTATTTATTCATTATGGCTGTCATTTTGTTTATTGAGTCATATTGTTCATAAATCCTTCAAATACCTTTCTGTTACCTGTATATATATACCGTGCATATACACATATATATTTATCACTAAAAGGTACAATTTAGTAAAATCCTTTACTCCATGCATGTCTATTGTCCCCCACTTGTGCGTGTGTGTATATATATTTACGTAAGCGTTGTCAGCGTACATGATTACATCGCAATTGTATTCGCTCGTACATATCATATATTTATGTATCTAGTGTTTTATCTCCCTTATTGCTTTTATTGTCTTCATTCTCATTCTACTTCTTTTACTCCTACTACTATCACTACTAACACGGCTGTTTCAGTTCAGGATCATTGAGGAAATATTCTCTGCCTGTAACAACAGCAGGTCGAAGTTCTATGACTAGGTTTGTATCATTGTTTTTTCTTTGTTTTGTTTTCATTATTATGTTTGGTCCATTAGTGTTTATTTATGCACTTAATCACCTACTTTATTCATGTCATGTCATTTCATGTTTCTATGTGTTGGTTCGTGTGTTTTACGTGGTTGTGTGTGTGTTTACATTACGTACTGTTCATACATATCATTGCTTTTAATTACGTAGTATAACGTTACATGTTTTAATATTGGGATCTTGTGATTGCTTACCCCTAATTTCACCGTTGATGTATGCATGTTTACGTGTTTTATAATTTTGATTGACTATTCACCACTTCTTTACTTACATTTTAGATTTACAAAGTGGCAAAACGCTTGACATATGTTATTTATACCATCATTTTTATGACTATTTGCCTTTCAACTAGCTCACTTAATACGTTCATAATGGTTGGCCATTTCTCTTTTTGAATACGTTTATAAGTAGTACACCACTCTCTTCTGATAAGTATCCTTCTCAAACAGAATTATATCTTGTAGATTTTTCTTAACGTAGTCGTAATTGCAGTTTAAACAAGACTGGCTACTATGGAAATGGATTTAGGATCAAAATCTTCAATTTTGTCTGTTAATGATCTCAAGTACACACCATTAATAATTGAAGCATAATGGTGTATTTGCTAAAACACTTAAATTTTAACAAGTAAGTCATAGATCCGAATCCTAGTTGCCCAATAGTATATGACTAGCCCCTCACTTGTAACTCAAAATTCAGTGCATATACCTGTACTTAACTTTTTATGATAAATTGTATTGCTATTTTCATTAGGATGTTTTTCATACCTATTTTTCTTCGCAATGGAAAGATCAATAATTGTGATCTGAAGTTGTACGTCTACTTGTTCATATTTAATTACCCCGAACAAATATACCCATTATTACCTTTAAGTTTATTATCTTTGTTAAACAAAACTTCTATTTAGTCGTATTCATAGGTTCAATCTATGTTGCTTTCTTTTATCGTCCAATGTCTAATTCCAGTGATCTAGGAGTTAACCTTTTAAAAGAGTCTAGATAATTCTAGACTAAGATTTCAATAACTAATAAATAGTACCTTGTCAAAAGACGAAAACTTTCTGATTCTCAGAGTCGTAAGCTATCCTTATATCACTTACACTCAGATGATTATCCATTCCTTCACCAAGTCACTTTATTATTAATTCCTGTTTTTCGTACCGTAATTTAAAACAGAATAAATTGACATCAATACCTACCAGATGCTATGCTAGTATCGTTTTCAAAACTGCCTGAAATCTGAGCTTGACGTTAGCTTACTCATCTGTTTTAACTAGTGTACGGTTTACAAATCAACCCTTTTTATGTATACTAACACACACACACACACACACACACTATATATATATATATATATATATATATATATATATATATATATATATATGTTACTACCATGGAAGTAACTGTTTCTATGAATTCGGTGTTCATTTTGTCGTGCTAATGAGATATTGGCAATTCGGACCTATGCATACGTGTGCCCGATCCCACATTGTTCATATCCAATCGATTATCGCACTAAAAAAACAATTTCTCACACAGAAAATCACTGTCATCTAAGCTTCAATATGGTTGTCTGTTTTTTTCGGAATCTTTTGCTGGTTAATTATTATTAAACCTATGAAGTCAATTTTATCTATTTTACATACTTACTACTTAATTTCTTGTTTGTGTTTATTTTTCACAAAGAATGATTAATAAACAACCGTTATTGTATGCACTAAAAAGATCGTTTGTTCGTTTAATGAATTGTTTAACTTGTGTTCATGATAGAAAATGTGTATTTTTGATAATGAATTTATTCCTTAAATGATACATCTCATGCATGTTACTATTACAGACAGTTTGGTACTACTGCTTAATTATCTGAATTGATTAAATAGATACTTTACTCATAGGACTTATTACTGAATTCTTATTGAGTAGATAAAAAAATATAAAAAGTCGAATGTAGTCCGAAATTAATACATATTATTATTTGTCGCTGATATAGTAGTGTGTTATGGATGGTGCAACTTGACTTTCAAATGTTGGGTCCCGGGTTCGAATCCCACAAATCTGTTATAGCTTTACTATATCAAGCATCCTAGCTCGTTATAATAAACAATTATTAAGGTAAACGGTAACATAAACCAGTAATTCTTTTAACTTAATTAAATAAACCCTAGCGACCGAGATACATACACCAGTTGACCGCTCAGTAGTAACGAATATCATAATTGTGTAGTCCTTCACTTCGGATCATAAAATTATATTTTTCAAGTTCCAATATGGACACTGGTTCCAATTGCTAGCGATTATATGCCATGTACAGTGTTATATCTTCTTGTATGTCCATTCACTTGAATGATGACAGTAATAACTGTATATTCTAATAATTCGTCAGTCAGCTACGACGTTGGACCAGGCACGTATGTGCATCGGTCCATGTTGCCACATCTTATTAGCACAGCAAGATGAACACCAAATAAATGGAAGTAGTTACTTTAGTGATAGTACTATATATAGGAGAGATTGTGTATGAGTATATAATACAGGAAGAAAGAATCGGTTGGCAGAAAGAAAGATATAATGTAATTTTAATCTTACAGTTTAAGGGAAGACAAAGGATGTATACACCTACGCCATTGTGATTGATTCTGAACCATGTCACCCAGAGTCTCTAACCATTTGTCACGACAGTCACGCGGACCGCAACCAAGTAGTCTACATCTACCAACATGCCTCAGACTAGAAGATAGTGATTTTGTGAAATGGTGCCATTTTTTTATTTGATCTCCCGAAACGTTCTTCTTACCGCCTCCACCACTGGTCATCATCGCTCGTTGAATCCTTCATGGTATGATGATGTATTCTGCCAAACGAAGAATAGTATTCCTATGATCGGCATCATTCAGGTATTTTGTACAGTGTATTAACATTAAGTAATTGTTTTGATGTGCATTATCTGAGTCTAATATTGTTATGCAAGCTTTCTACAAACAAACCGAACACAAGTAACAATGACTTTTTATGAGTAATTGAATCGACATGTATGTGTATCCAGTCGTTTATGTGTCTGTTATTTTAGTGATTAACCCTCTAATGGTGAATGTCTTATCCGTTAAGAATAAAAAAATTTCACGTACACTTTTCGTTTGACCGTTTCTTGACTAATTCAATCTATCAGTTATATGCTTATTTTGGGTTTATTGTAATAACTAACCTTCAGTGATATCAAGATTATTTTCTCACAATCATCATCCTCTTTTATGTGGTGATGGGTTTTCGACACTGGGATCCACCAAGACCGTTTACGAAACTAGTATGAGCTTGTAAGAGGCTAACTTACTTAGCTAATACTGTGGTGTGGTCTACTTATATCCATATAAGTAGTGTATGGTGTGGGTCAGACATAGAATGTATTTTGGCAGAAGACCGATGAAGAAAGAACTGAAATGAAACGCAAACGTCTGCAAAATGCTTGAGCAATGGAATAAGAGAAGAAACAGTGAAGATTGAAACAATTGGTTGTTAATTTGCAAATTGACTGTTCATTGTTTGGTTATCAGAATATATTGAGATAGTCTGTAATCTTTGCTTAAATATATTCGATTGTCCCCAACTAGTGTTCTGTTCACTACATTTGGTGTCGCTGCCAACCAGGAGGAGGAAGGGTGCTGTTCAGCGGACGCCGCTGCGGGTCTGGAGTGGAGGTGCTAGTTGGGGCAGTCTGGTGAGGAGAGGTGGCGTCGAGTGGAGTGTTCTGGCTGGGCGGCGTTGGCTATAGCGGGTGCTGTCGACGGAGAGGAGCAGTGGAACGTGCGGCTGCTGGGCGGACATCGGATGTAGATGGCTCAGCAGGCCGGTGGAGTACGGGTGTTGAACGTCCCAGGTGCCGGGTGGTTGCGGATGTTGTTGCCCCGGCAAGTCGACGGAGCTATGGAGGTCAGCGCGCCGCAGACTCGACATTCTGACGGAGAGTTTGGCACAGACTGCAGTGAAAGAAGATAGTGGCGTGGCGAGCAGAACCACCGCATGGTCGAATGCTTTAAAGGGGGGACGAGTGTGGTGTGGTCTACTTATATCCATATAAGTAGTGTATGGTGTGGGTCAGACATAGAATGTATTTTGGCAGAAGACCGATGAAGAAAGAACTGAAATGAAACGCAAACGTCTGCAAAATGCTTGAGCAATGGAATGAGAGAAGAAACAGTGAAGATTGAAACAATTGGTTGTTAATTTGCAAATTGACTGTTCATTGTTTGGTTATCAGAATATATTGAGATAGTCTGTAATCTTTGCTTAAATATATTCGATTGTCCCCAACCGGTGTTTTGTTCACTACAATACTTCTTACTAACCCCACTTCGACAATTTAATTAGTTTCAATTTTGTTTATAAAATGAACAGTTTTAGGAATACATCCACCTATATTAAATGATTCTAATCAAAATAGTGTTATCTATTTGCTGACATCATTTCGTCCTATTTAATTGCATTAGTGTTAATAATGCTACTACAAAACATACTACCGTAAAAAGAATTTTGATTATATGACTAATTTTAAATTAGATTTATACACACACATAAATGTGTTTATATTTACACTAACAATTATAAATTGATTTGTTTATGTTCATTAATTCAAATGTGTATTCGTTACATTTCTTTCTTTTTCACCAAAATAGCATGTTTTGATTAATCTACTTTCACCAATTGTGTGTTCATTGTCAATCTATTCTTGAGTTTATCACTATGCATAAATTCATACGTATACTTCGTCTATAGGATTATCATTTAAGTTTTATGATATCTTTTTATAGATCTGTTGATCAAGATCATATGATTTTTTCACCACCAAGTAGTGGACGATATGGATCAATTAGTGGACCATATTATTCTTCACAACGTTCTCATAACTCTGCTGGTAGTGACAGTGGTCGAGTAAGCCCTGAAAGTATGAATCGTATTATTCGTGAAACAACTGATGGTCTTCAATCACTTTCAATGGGTGCTAGTGGAGGTGGTATTCCAACTTCAATAGGGATAACAAGTCCAACACGCAGAGTATCCGCTGATCCCAGCTTTACAACTAACGATTATACATATGCTACAAATGGTAATACAGGTGTATTACGTACAGTTCAACCAAATAATTTCCCTAATTCACAATCAACAGCATTACAGTCACCTAATATTATTCCTTCTAATGTAAATCCATCATATGCTTCCTCACAAGGTAATACTGCTTCTAATGATCCAACACTTCAGTCTACATATGGTTTACGTACAAATAAAGTAAGTGATTATTTATAAAACTGTATTATTACATCCAGCGTCCGATTTTCAGTGATCCACATTTTTTATGAATGAATGTATAACTTAGTGAAACTATAAGCTGCATTGTTTATTCAATTAACTGCCTTTGATTGTAATTATCATAATTTACCCAGGTAAATATAAAATTGTGAATAATTTATTGACGTACTTGTCTTTTAACATTTAACAACAATAACTAATAAATACTGAACCGATTTAAGCTTCAGTAGTTGAACAGTATCATCAACTCTGTTACACGGATTAAATTTTTTAAAATTTTCTCATTATCCAAGTACTTGGATATAAGCATAACAGTATGGGCTAATGATACGTGGTTTCTCGAAATAAACTAGGTGTGGTGCATCTTGATGTAGGACTTAGTAACAACTAACGTCGAACGGCTATGACCACTAAGCCACCGTTGTTAAGGTATCATAATTACAAAAAATACCACTGTTTTGTGTAGATTTCTGAACACCTTAAAACTCCAATAAAGTTGAGTTTTGAGTTGATCGATAATAATTCATCCAAAAACAAGACGAATTGATTAATAATATCATTTCGACTACGCTGCGCAACGAATCTGCTCTTACCGACTATTAATCTAAAATTTTGACTTTTAATTCAGTTAATACATATCATATTTCTCTATTAAGTCATTCATAAGTCTGATGTTGAATATAAGAATGTTTGTTTGTTCCTTCTTTTGTTCTCTATTCATCTCTTTATAATGTTGATTTAATAACTCTTAATACACAGATAATTTTAATGTATGTTGCGATTCGTAATTTTCTATACTTGACTAGAAAGCATTGATTTCTTCCTAGGTTGTGCTCACTTGTCATTAATAATCTCTACACTAGACTCAATGAATCAAAATCGCCTTTTATTTATTATGTAAAATTATTGTTTTCATTTTTTATTATTTTCCAGGCTCTTTTAAATACACTTATCAATTATGATCCTGGTGATGGTAAGTGAAATTAATTTGTTTTACTATTCTCTTTCCTTTCATTTGTTCCTCTGTGTATATATTTAATATTGTTTTCCTGTGTTGTTAATATAAGTGGAAATATGTCTTTAAATTTATTAAAATAAACTTTGGATATATCAAAGACTACAAAGAAAAAATCAGTCATGATTTAGTTATTTAAACAAAAGTTTATTATAAAATCAAAGAGTCGTTTTACATGTGTAACTCAACATCTGACTCCGGTTTAATCGTACGAAGATGCTATAAACATAAATGTTTCATTCAAATCCTTATATTACCTAGGCTAACCCCGCTTATGTGATGGCGATAATAAGAAGACAAATACGGGTTGCGTTGGGGAATTTTTACTTCAAACACTCGTTAATCCATACAGACAATCAGAATAAGGAGCAGGGCAGTAAAGCGGGAAAGATGAGGGAGCCAACTCGATTTGATCAAGCGTGATTCAATATTTATATTCAGACAAAAATAAGTTACAGATATGTGATGAGTAGGATAAGCAACTAACTCACATACGCTCATATAAAAAACAATCAGCGTTAATAAGCGAATAATTAACGAGGTAAAAATGTGACTAAAGAAGAATGAGTAGATTGGTTTGTCCGGAAGCTAGAATAATCCTTGTGAGTTTGACATGGCACCAGACACTGCATATGTATACTGTCTGCTCTCCAATTCAAAATTTCTCCCTCTTTAAGTATAATATGAAGTACATTGAATTCAAGCCACAATTCTTTAATACATAGAAGTTCATTATTCAATTGCAGTCTGGACTGTGGGAATTTATTTTATTTCGTCAGATTTTTTTTATGATTTCAACACATATGGGCATCTTTTTCTATAACCTGTTTTTTAAAAGTTTCTTTCCTGAAACCGCTGTTACAATAATTATTATATTCTAAACGAAACACAATTAGGATTCTCATTTCTGCTAACAAATAATCAAAAAAAAGTTATATACCTTACTGTCATATTTTTGTTTAACTAAATATCGCTCTGTTTTGGAAATTTACTCTTAAATTACTTAACCTGTTCAATGTATAGTTCGTTCAGACTACAGCTCTATTGATCGATTTATTGTACCCACATAGAACACTACACTATATCTCAACTAATCCCAACTTGAATTTCATCTCGAAACTAGCCAGTCATTCATAAGTAACATGATAATCTAATACTATCATTCATTGACCCTATCTGCCACACCCGAGCCTGCTTTAGTGTGGCCACCCGGGCAGTATCACAAGCCTCACAAAGATCAAATGATTAGTGTAGCGCATATGTATTCGGTGCCTTGCACCAATGTTTATATGTTCAAATAAATAGATAAACAAGAGGAAAATAACAATATAAATACCAAAGCAGTAGTGTGGTGGACGCTACTCACGTAATTGCTTATAAGTAATATGTTGCGTAATGTGACCTCGAAGTTGTTGGACGAAGTGGAGAGTTTCAGTAAAGCAAAACTTCTGCGTAGGCAGAACACTTGGAGACTAAACAAGATGACAGTTCAAATTGCAGAACACATCGAAAGATGGTTGAAGTCTATATATGTACTGTATAAACGCTTTATAACTCACAATAAGTATATATATAACATTCTTTTCATTTTTTGTACTTACCTATGTACTTATTTCAATTTATTGTCATATTTTCCTATAATGAATGAAATTATTTTTCATTCACTACTATCATAATCATAATGCATATTTTACAATGAATAGGGCCAAAATTAAAAAAACCTGTAATTGGTTACCAAACATTAAAAAAAATACGTGGTAAGCTTTCGTTTTGCTGATCGGAAAAGAAAAACCGGTAGAAAAGCAAAACATTTTCATCACTATGTTTGTCTGTTTGTTTATCACTAATATAAGTCAAAGCACTTATACGTTGTTACATGTGTTTGAGCTGTAGTGAATGTATTGGTATTTGTGTTCATGTTATTGTTATTGTTAGAACAGTTAAGATGATTAATTGTTCAATGTATGCTATTGTGATTGTTTATGTACTTAGTTTGTAAATTCTCCTATCTTGCACACTTACACACTCTCTACGGCTACTTAAAGTTAATTATCTCTGTAAATATTGTTGCTTTCCACTATGATTATTATTATTTATTAATAATTTTATGGTGATTTCTGTGTACATTTTATGCAATCATGCTGTGTATTTGTTATTTATTTATTTATTTATGTATGCGTAAATTGTAGCACACACTTTTTTTCTTCATTACCTTGTCTTTTAATTCTTTGTGTGTGTTTGTCCGGTATTCATGGATCCTACAATTTGATGATGTTAATTATGTGATAATCACGCAATAAAGCATGTATTATCTGCTATATGCGCATATGGCATATCAATATTCATATCAATGTACAATTCCTTTACAAACATACAGTCTACATATTAATTCATACTTTCCAATCTTTTTTTCTTTATTATTGTTTAGAAATGCCCCCAGAAGATATCATGTCTGAAATACTCCAGGAATTATCGAATCACAATGAACGGTAAGATAGATTAAGATTTTTTTTCGTGTATTTTTCCTGTCCTTTTCAGTTCACAAATGTGTTTTCTTTTAATATGTTTGTGATTTTGATTTGTATATCAGTGTTGTTTTTCTCGAAACTTATCATTTCCTTTTTTTTAAGATGCACTATACCGTGACGATAATGAAACCAATTGGTAAACTTAGATTTTGATAACTATGTATTGATTTTCTTCAACTGGCCCAATATCAAATTGAGTATTCCACAATACAGTCTCAATTTGACTATCAATGTTCTAACTGTTGTTCGCTTTTTATTTGATCAGTTTTCTGTTTTCATTTGTTGATAGACAATCTGTCAAGGCAATTTATCCTTTCCTCATGCCCTGGATAATTTTGTCGGGGTATTTTTCTTCTTTCCATTCTCAAAATTATTTTTCTTGTTTTCTTTTTCTTAACTTTCTTCTTATGTTGATTGTGTCTGTCCTTGCGTTCATCGAGCGTGAAACTGACTTACCTGTGTTCGCCCATCGAGTGAATTTCTTTTAATTCAACTCTTAATGTTTACTTGAATGTGTATTACATTTTTGTTTCATTGGTTTGTCTAATTTTTTGTTAGAGATTTCTTCATGTTCTGCTAACATATACTAGTTGAGTATTAGACAACAATTTTTCTTTTCGAAAATGTACTCGATAATTGTTTGTTGTAGCTAACACTGTACAACAACTGAGTAAACTTTGATACACATCAATTCAATAATTGTGTTGTCACAAACTTTATCCTTCGTAAAGCGCTTTTTCTTCGGAAAAAGTGACAGCCGTTTAACTTCACTTTCGCGTTAAATATAGTTCTTAAAGTCGGTCACCTCTCAGCTCTAGTGTCATTTGTATTATATATATATATATATATATATATATATATATATATATATATTGATAAATGACAGATTGAGTACCGAACCAGGAAGTACTTTAATTTTCAAGTGATTGAATATCATATCGCTTTGGCATACACGGAACATGAAACGAGTCGACAATCATCAGTGAATCATGTCGACAAAAGTATTGCAAACTTGTAGTGGCCCGCATAGGTTATTCTGGCTTCCGGACAAACCAATTTATCCATTCTTCTCAAGCCACATTTTGAACTCGTCACTTAATCGCTTACCCTATTCATCACATATCTGTAATTTATTTTTGTCTCACTATAAATATTGAGTCAGGCTCGATCAAAACGTTTTAGTTCACTCACCTCCACTGTGCATCACTTCGTTCCTCTGACTGTCTGTACGGATCGATAAGTGTATGAAATATACGTATTCAAAACGCATACTCGTATTTGACAAGGTCGAAATGTGGCTTGAGAAAAATAAACAAATTGGTCTGTCTAGAAGCTAGAATAACTTATGTTAGCTTGACATATTACCGGTCACTACCGACATCTTCCTTGAAAGCGGTGGTTTAGCCATATAGTAAGAAGACATCTTTTAATATCTTGTCATTTTCAGTAGTTTTTTGAAAGCTTCGAAGTGTACTGGTAGTCCGTCAACTGCATCATCTAAATACTCGACGAACGTTTTCAGTTTTTATGTTTGCTACAGCACTGTCTTCTGAAGTTTTTGTTCGGAAACCTGTTATTGCCAACAAGGCATCAGGTTGTCCAGAAGCTATAGAAGACACACACTTTATCTTGTAGTCTGTTAGCTTTGTAGGCAGTAATCCTCTTCCTTGACTCTAATATGACTATGGTATATGGTCTGTCTATACGACAAACTGCCGACCAAATATCATTTTGTGGAACTCTTTTACTGCAAAGGTAGTTGACAAAGTTTTCTTCTCAATTTAGCTATTTTTGCTTCCTTTCTTTTTAAATGATCACGGTGCATTGGAGATCACTTTTTCATATCCATCGGGTAAAATATGAAGCTTCTGAAGAAGCCTCAAAAGGTAATGAAAGTTTCATGTTTAAGTAAGAAATTGGAGGCTATGAGTTGCTTGATTTTCTCGAAAGTTCCTTGGCAAGTTGCGGATCAACTCCATTCCGCCTTCTTTACCAGTAGGTAGCTTAGTGGAGTATGTAGGTGATTGAGTTGAGATAGGAAAGTTCCGTAATGAATGATCGTTCCCAAGAAATATCCGTTGGTCTGGGCAGGGTTTTTACAGCTTCCATATTCTCTGGATGTGGTGGTTGTGTATATTTATCTATTGTGAAACCAGGTTATCGTACCTGTTGCATATAAAAGTCACAATTTTCTGCGATCAGACAAAAACCATATTCGCCTGTGCGTGATAGTTTGGTCAGGTCTCTTCCTTATATATACATGGTGGCCTGTTTAAACATCTGGTCTACCTGTTCCTGTCATCTAGATATTTCAACAAGTGCGTTTCTGAAAAGTATAAGACCTTTCGCTATAAAGGTTACAGAAGGCTTATTCAGAGATATCGTGGTTGCTGGCAATATGCAGCGAGAAGAATGTACGTTATCCAGATGTCGATTGACTGGGCTGCTAAGTTCTAACTGGCGATCACTCAGTATTTATCGTCAGGAAGGACGAAAAAGTAAGAAACGGAAACTTGTTGAAGTACTTTGTGCTGAGAATTCTTTATTGTACCAAAAATATAATATTGAATAAAGTTAATAATAATAATATCCATTATTTCTTCCATGATTATGATGTCATCCAATTGAGCCGCTGCTCCTGGAATACCCTGTAATATGGCATCCACAATTTGATTTCATAGGGCTTTCATGATTCTTATTTGAGACTGAGACGCTCCATGTAGGCTTCTAAGTGTTTGAAAGAAACGTTCACTGTAGTTTTTTCCATAGCCATTGATAAGTCCTCCAACTGAAAGCCTGAATTGGTTTCCTAAGTTTTTCTGATATCCCTAGGCCAAATCTACACGACAACTTAAACACAAGAGAAAAGCCACGAAGTCTGAAAATAATGCTTTGCTGCTTGGTTAGTTAAGATAGGAAAACTGAGGGTGTTTATACTATTTCATACGGCCTTTTGCGGATAGTGTCACTCACTCACTCCTACATTCAGAGTGTGTCTTTGTACCTATTAAACAAATATGTATCTGGTATATAAGTTAACGATGAGTTGACATCAACAATTCCCCATATTTATTCGAATTAGTGTCAACATTATCAGGTGATTTCAACAGTCCTACTGTTTTCACTTTAAGAAATCTCTCTAAATATTATCATTTGTATATTTTCGCATTCAGAAAGTGATTTACCTATTTGATGGTTTTCGCTTCTTTTAGTACATTAATTATACAACAATCAGTTAATTAATTACGTGAAGAGTCTATCATTTATGTAAATTTCTCAGTCTATATTTATCTTCTTCAATTGTTTGAATACAGCCATGTAAATTATTCCTTTTGTTTTGTGAATCAGTGATAATTACCAACCTAGTCGTTTGCAAATAATAGATCACATGATATTTCTTCCTTTTTCTAATTAGCATTCAACATCTTTTATGAGCTAGATTACTTGTTCTCCCTTTTCTATCTTTTCCACATAAATGGCATCGTTAAATGCCTTTTTTTGGTTGTTTTACCTCACATTGGTTATTGTTTACATTAAGTAAAAAAAAAGTGACAAATTGATTTCCTTTCCTTTTAATTGGAAAAAAATCAGTATGTTATCTTCATGTTTGTCAATTAATTTGCTCTCAGTCATTTTTCTCTTCTCCGATTACTTAATTGATTTCTCGTTACGCCCCCTTTTGTTCGTCGCGGTTTATTTTCTCAAAAAACCGGCATTGATTGGGTTATTGATTTAATGTATTTGCATAAGTGTTTTTTTCCCAACAATTGTGTTTCATATTCAGTGGAGAAGAAGTTCTGTGTAGTGCTTCCCAATCTATACTCCATTCAGCATGTATAAACAGAGATCATTCATTGCATTGTTTGATTAATAAAACAAATAGCTTGCTTATAACATTTACCTGACTAGTAGTATTTGTGTGATGGAAAAGTTGTTATTTTTCCTCATGCAGAACCTGACTTCAGGCGTATGCCCAAGACATTCGGTAATTTCATTTGCAACCACCATATTACCTTTCATTCTATGCTTGAACTTATGTAACTGTCAGGGGAGGTTTTACTTCAAAGAATCTAGACAATCTCATACTACAAGGTTTGTTCGATAAAATTATTAGCACGTGTTCAACAAATCGGGACAAAATCCATCTGAACTTCTATTTCCCATGTCATCAGTGGTTGTTTTTTTTATAATCATGTAATTAAGAAACTCTTATTCTTTTTAGTGACAATTTCTCTCGTAAGCTTAAATTTCGGAAATGGAATACCATTTTTTTAACAACAATGCCATATGTATCTTATAAGTTTGAATTTGCTTCAAAATATAGTTTCATTGTTCAGTTATATAATCTGGGGATATCGAAGAAAAAACACATTGGATAAGACTTTTTTCGTCAAATTTTCTATCTATGACAAACACATGATTTCCCAATATCTATCATGTAACTATTGTACATTCCTAATAATACCTCTGATCAATAATGGGACCATAAGCCACTATTGATAATGATCACAAACATAGACACTTTATTTATTTGTGCATAAGTGTGTATAATATACATGTATACGTTTTGAAGAGGTGATTTATCATAGCCTATTTTGCTTCAAAATAATTCTATGATCAGTAAAGTATACTACTATTGTTTTTCTTATTTTTATTTACCTGTGTATACATTGCTAAGTAGGCGACTACTGTTTATTTCACGATTTCATCAAAAATTATTTAAACCATATATATATATATATATATATATATATATATTTATTTATTTATTTATTTATTTATTTATTTATTTATTTATTTAATTATTTATTTAAACACATAAATATTGGTACAAGGAAGCACCAGATAAATATGCGCCTCACAAATCTCATTCCATTTGTGTGAGGGCTGAGATACTGCCCAGGTGCCCAGACTGAAGCAGGTGGTTTTCTTAGGGGGCCACACCCCGAGCCTTTGACCTGAATGTCTGATCCACAAGGCAGTGGAGCATCGTGAGGAGATGCAGTCCCAATGTAGCCGGTGATCAACGGTTGATTCGTGCGCCATTTGTTCCCTCAGGATACTGGAGCCCATGTGCACCACTGATTTGGAAACAGGGTTTTCCAACTCCCCTAGGTGGACTTTCCATGCCCACCAACCCGGTTAAAGCGCCGGACATTCGCTTTTCGTCCTCTCACTTCCGTACCATGGCATTTGGGGGTATATATATATCCACATGCACTCATATGTTTGCATAAACTTCTGTTAATGTCCCCTATAAACAAAACGATAAACAATACATTATCATCATTATTGTGTGTTTTTATAATTGGGTTGTAACATTTACTAAATGAATTAATGAAATCAATTTCCATCTAGAGATAATGTCACGTGAGTACTGGTGTCACAGTTCCTTCTAGTTTCTCACGCTCCCGCCTCTTTTTATTTTGGGTGTTTGGGAACACTTTTTCTGTTTCATAACTATCAATATTTGTTTTTAATTTGACTAGAAAGTTTATTGAATATCGAGGTTGTTTAGTTTTGTTTATTTTCGTTTTTTTAAGGAAATTAATGTTAACATTTACTCTCAAAATGGACTACTAACAAAATTGTATGTCACTCAGTTTCTTCACAATCCTTATTATCGATTTGTGGTAATCATTTTGGTGACATTAAATATAAAATAAAATTTTACTTAGGTCGAGTTTATCGGCCAAGTTAAAATTACTGAATGCCACATAGTTCTCAGGAAATTACCATAAACCCCTGATCTGTTTTGTCCGAAAAGTACTTCTCTAAGAATTAGTGGCATGATAACTCAGTCTATTACCGATGACAATTGTAGTAGGATTAAATATTGCTGTTTTCTTTGCAAAGTTGTGCTGAAGATTAGGTTCTTAAAACATAACCATGATGTCATAGGTTAGTTGAGTTACTCTGTATTGTAGGTGGTTAACTGTCATTCATTTCGATGTCATGACACCTATATATGTACCCCTGCTTTTATGATGGTAGTATATATGTTTCAATGATTGAATAGTTGATAGATGTAAACTATTGTCTAAACATTTCATTGTTCTTGGTAGTTTTAATGCTTTCTGCGTCTATGCAATCCACACTGCTTACTCCTTCAATAAGTTTTCATCAACAAGTTTTATAATTTTTTTTCTCGACATTGCCATAGTATAAATTTTGTATTTTTCTTTTCACAATAGCTTAATCACATTAACGGAAATTGTCTATGTATTCTGTTTTTGAACAAAATGATCAAGCTTTATTTATTATGCACTTTACCGTTTTTCTGATATGTATTGACTAATTTGTTCGCCGACTTTATAACATTTTTACTGTGAATATTTGAGTTTTACTCCCGCCATTGTTACAGTCAATTTTCTTTTTGTACGGTTTTAAAGTGAGGGACTTAGTAAGAATTACATACAATCATTGGGTTTTCGGATTCAAAACTTATTTACAACCGGTATCATTAATCGTTATACTTGAAATTATTATACTCGATCACGTTATACTGAAGATACACGATTCAACACAAAATAGCAGAAGTCTACATACTCAATGAAACTCAAAGTACAAATCAATAATAGAAAGGAATTCACAGTGGTAAATACAGTCTCATAGATTTAGTAAACCCTGGGTATTTGTTTATCTTTTCGCTGATTGGTCAAGTGACTTCATGAACTGATGCCACATTTCGATTTGACCCTAAGCCTTTTGACTTTTATCCAACTTACTCCAACAGTAGATATATCTCATCGACTTAGGCGATGGTTAGGCATATATAACAGTACAAATAATTTGACAGTCGATAATGATTGATTCTGAATTTTCCCATATAAGAAGCCCATATTTTCATATATAACTGAAACTAACCAGTCAGTTAATCCGTGTATTGATACTGCATACTCGGTTCTACATACGTAATATGTATTCGAACCAAGATCCACAACCAACTTGGTATATTTCCTTGATCCTTGCATAAAAGCTCCCCATTCTTATTGCTTTAAGTCTGAAGCTGGCAGATTTAATAAAATCCATGATAGCACTGACCAACCAATAGGTTATTTTTTTGCAGGAAAATAAAACTCATTTACAAACAGTTCTAGTCAAATAACCCAAACGATTTTTCCGTGGAATAGTGGCTACATCACTTGCTCCAATTCAATCTAGGTAGTAATATTGGCGCCCAAATCAATGTAAGACTCGGAGCCAAATATATATAGACATATACCTGGCAACTAAGTTTCATTTACTTCAAATGTGTTCCACAATATAGAATTGTAATTATATAACAGTATGAATAAACCTCATCAAGTAGCTAATGGGAGACTGTACGTTTGTCCCTTTTATCATGCTACACTATACATAAACTGAAAATTTTTAACAGGATTTTCAAAAATTGTTTACATTCATTGTTATTGTTCTTAAAGTAACAAATTCGCATCAAATCAAATATCACGGATAAGAAATCTCCATTTGAACACTATATTATTGTTATTTGTAATAATATGAATGTGAACATGCCTATGAGGGTATCCTATACATTTATTTAAGTAATATCATGTATGTCAAAGTATTCTTCTATACTTCAATCACTAAACTTGCTAATATAAATTAATAACTAGGCAATACAGTTCACTTCTAGAACAACTATGAAAGAAATCTACGTCAACATTGAAATAAATGCATGTGAAAAACAATCAATCACACACATATAAAGTCTTGTACATTAGTAGTTTACATATTCAGAAAAATTTTTTACATTGTTTCCCAGTTTGAAATTACGGTTTGTATTTTCTTAAAAGCTAAACCAATTAGAAATAAATGTTGCTTTGGTTCGGGCGCCCGAGCAGTATTCCAGCCTCCATACAAATAGAATGACAAAGTGTGACGCACATATATTTGGAGCCTCCTTGTACCAATGTTTATGTGTTTAAATAAGTAAATAAAATTCACTCGTCTTTTCTTTTCAGTTAGCTTGAATCCATTCATAGATTAGTAGAAGTAATGGTTGTTGATTATGACTGTTAGATAACTAGAATTAGCTAGTAGTTTGTTCAATTGTGCTTACTGTAGGTATCATTACTAAGGTTTGGCTTGATAACTTCGAATAAATTGAACATTGGATAGATTGTTATAGATAAAGTAATATATTTGTAATATCCCAATGAGTAAGGAAATCAAATTTTCCTACTTTTCGTGACTCACGGTAAGCCACTTCAGAGAAGATATATGGCTTAAAGCATATTTCACAAGTTTGTTTAGATCCTGCTAAACTTTTCACTAACCACAGTTTTATTTGTGTTTATATTTTGTTCAATTGCCTTCATTCAATGGTGTTCTCTACTCTTCCGTTTGTTTTCCAAATTTTTTCTACACTGTGCTTCTTCATTATAGATTGTTTTTCTTATTTTCATTCTATTTATCTATTTCACATTAATTCAAGCTATGAACAAAGAAAGACATGTATGTTAAAACTTATCAAATTATTACGTGATGGTGTTATCAGTAATTGGGATGAATATTTCAAGCCGACTTTGTTAATTCTCCTAGAAACATTAGGTGATGATGGAGTGAGTTAGATTTTCACCGTGTAGATAATTTTTTTACAGTTCGTTTAATTATGGTATATTTTTCGATGATGTTATATTTCACATCTATTAAATACTATTTGTTGGAATTTTATATGAAGAAATCATCTTAATATTACTTGCGGGCTATAAAAAGAACAGCAAGGCACAAAAACCATTTATGAGCAATTTTTCTACCCAACGGACTATATTTTTCCAAAGCTCATTTCACTTCAATACGAAGTTGTGTATCTATATCCATCGACCCAAACACTACAGAAACGCTTGATCCTGCAAACCGAATTTACTATGAAGAAGTGACTTAAGTCGTCAAAGTTTCCAATGCTTACTCATTAAGATTGTTATAAATATATTCCTATTTTATTATCAGCTTTGCTGATGTGTTTTCACACTAAAAATGCAACCAACATTAATCCTATAAGTGTGCTTCAGTTTGGGCACCTGGGCAGTATCACAGCCCTCACACAAATCAGATGAGATTTGTGCAGCGCATATATATCTGGTGCCCCTTTGTATCAATATTTATGTGTTTAAATAAATGATGATAAATAAACTATAAGTGTGTTAAGTCCTATATATAGTAGATAGGTTATGACTAGCACTGAAATATAAAAAGCGCGTTGCATTTTATTTAGAATTCTTCATCTGAAGGTACGTACTTCCATCTCAGTGTTGTTGTTTCACCGCAAGCCATAATCGATCTGTTGTGCACAAAACTTGTGTGACGAAAATGACTATATCATAGCGAACTTCACAGGATACACATCTAACAATAAAGACCAACTCAAGTGCAATGAACATTATCACTTTTTTTATTTAGTTAAACACATAAATATTGGTACAAAAGAGCAGCAGATATTTATGCGCCACACAAATCTCATTCCATTTGTGTGAGGGCTGAGATACTGCCCAGGTGCCCAGACTGAAGCAGGTGGTTTTCTTAGGGGGCCACACCCGGAGCCTTTGACCTGAATGTCTGATCCACAAGGCAATAGAGCATCGTAAGGAGATGCAGTCCCAATGTAGCCGGTGATCAACGGTTGATTCGTGCGCCATTTGTTCCCTCAGGATACTGGAGCCCATGTGCACCACTGATTTGGAAACAGGGTTTTCCAACTCCCCTAGGTGGACTTTCCATGTCCACCAACCCGGTTAAAGCGCCGGACATTCGCTTTTCGTCCTCTCACTTTCGTAAACAACAGTAATGCCACGAGAAGGCAGTGAGTATGACTTCCCTGGCAGAGGCTATATATTCGCGTGGCCATATGACAGCATTTCGAGAGGGAGCGGACTCTCCCCACTCTCTACCGTACCAGGGCATTTAGGGGCCAACAATGATATCATTCAAACACATACTAACCGTAACAATATGTGTTACGCTTTATCTCAGATAATAAATTGTTTGTGGCCACCTAGTGAAATGAATTCATGTTATTCTCCTTTAATTGTTTTATTTTCTCTCTTCAAATTAACAAGTAGATTTATATGTGTATAAAACATTTGAATTCTGTAAAAATTTTGACATTTAAAAAGAAATCAACTGTTAGTGAATGGTTAACCTCCATGTAAATTACTATTTTGAATGATGAACTATTTACACATGCTTGATTTTCACACTACAACAGAATTTGGACACTTGATTATTTAATTTGTTGTTTTCTGTAATGAGTTTCACCATGAATCTTGCATATTATATTTTTTATATATATTGACTGGCAAATATCATTACTAATCAGTTCATATGTGTTATTGTGAATTTATTGAAAAAAATATTTCTGTTTCTTAGCAACTACGAATAATTTTAGCCATGGTGTACCGTAAAGGTCATAGTTAACAGATTTGTTGTGGTAAAATGACAAATTTTAAAATGTGAATAATGTTAAAAGATGTGGCTAAACCGAAGGTTCATATAGTGTCGTCTTTGGGCTACACATTTCTTACTACCCATAGAACCTTATTCATGGCTACTGGTCTAATATCCTGATGGTTTGCAGTCTAGTTCTGTTAGTATATTGTACTCACAGATTAATTTTAGACAGGGTGCTATGGAAAAGCAAACATTATTGGACATTGGTTTCGTCCCTGTATAAGAGTCCTCAATAGTTCATGCCCATGACCCTGCCATGGATCAAATTCAAAGTTCTTCATGTCTCGCTGTGAGCACGTAACCACTTGAAATACTGGTTCATCAAGATTGTGGGGGCACACTTCGACACCGTGACGGTATAAGTGTTCAATGCCCCTTGATTTTTTAGAGTTATTCCAACTGAGATCAATCTGATTTATATAGCCTACAAATTAGATAGGTTCCCATTATACCTTTCCAAATAATTCCATGCTAATCAGAGATTTTCATTTAAACGATAAAACAACATCGAGTTCGCTGTGTTAAAAATTGTTGGCCGGAATACATATATTTATAATTCGCTTTGTTTTGGTTGTGGTAGTATCACAAATAATTGTTGTGGTTAGTAGCGTATTCTCTGACGTTTACGGTTTGATTTTATAGATTTCCTCGCTATGAGTAGCATCATCAACGCTTACTTCAGGTAGAAAAAGAGAGCTTTCTGACTATTCCATATGCATTGAGAACCGGTCCATTATGATGACTTGTGTTCAACTGGCTTTATCGTATTCACATGCACCTGTATTCCCGAATATAATAGTCAACAAGACACAAGAACATAATAAAACTTCAGAAGATAAACAGTTGGACTTCATTGGGATGAACTGGTTTAATGCTTATAAAGTAATGAGAAAGCATCCTTCTTTTACCTAAATAAGAAACTGATGACATTTATTCCAAAACTAAAACAAAAATTTCACAATCTGAAAAAACGTAACATAAACGAAAATATTAAAATTTGTCTAGAGAACTTTTTTGTCTTTTCAATTATTTCTTTACCTTCAGTAAAGTTTTTATTTCCTAAAATATATTTTGTTTTGTTTCTTTCGTGCATTTTCTGCTAGCATGAAACAAGAGCACTGGCACTTCGTGTACTTCAAGAATTAGTACGAGCTAAACCGGAATTATTTCATGATTTTGCTTATTTATTTGTTATTAAAGTACTTGAAGCCTGTCGAGATAGTGAAAAATCTGTAAGTTCTATTTTTAATTACGTGTATTCATTCACCTTTGAATATATATCAGTCAGTCAGCGACAACGTAGGACCAGGCACATATATGCATCGGTCTAAATTGCCATACCTCGTTAGCACAACAAGATCAACACCGGATTCATAAAAGTAATTAATTTAGTGGTGGTAGTATATCAAGAAAGGTTGTATATAAGGATATAGTATAGGAAGGAAAAACGTTATGAAGCAATTTTAATCTCAAGGTTTAAGGGAAGATAAAGAGTGTATACACCTACGTCATTGTGATCGGTTCTAAGTCATATCACCCAGAGTCTCCAACCATTTATTACGATAGTCACGCGGACCCAAACCAGGTAGTCTACATCTGCCAACATGGCTCAGACTAGAAGTTAGTCACTTCAAACACTGATGACATGTTTTAGTTTGGCCGCCCCTAACTCTCTTCCAACCATCCCCTACACTAGTCAGCATTGCACGTCGTGGTATTCGGTGTTCAGATATACGTAACACTTGGCCCAACCATCTCAGTAGATGAAGATTCATTACCTCATCAACTGATTTAGCATCATTCCCTAATACCCTGTGTCTAACCTCACTATTGCTTACCCGGTTATCCCAGCAGATGCGAGCAATATTTCTAAGGCATCTGTGGTCAAATACTAGTAACCTACGAGTATCTTCTACTCTTAATGGCCATGTTTGACAGCCGTAAAGTAGAACAGAACGAACTGCTGCGCAGTATACTCGTCCCTTAATTGATAGACGGATGTCTCGTCTTCGCCATAGGTGACGTAAGTTGGCAAAAGCCAAACGAGTTTTTCGAATCCGTGCTGAGATTTCGTCAGACACCAACCCATTAGGGCAAATCAGATTTCCAAGATAAGTGAAGTTGTCGACGCGTTCGACTACTTCACTCCCTATCCTTAGTTCAGGTGTTGACGCAGGCCAGTCCTGGAGTAACAATTTACATTTGGATGGGGAGAAACGCATCCTAAACCTCCTGGCATTATTACTCAGTTCCAAAGAAGACTCTGCATTTTGTCGGCGTCTTCACCAAATAGGACTATATCATCTGTGTATTCTAAGTCGATAAGTGAACCTCCTGATGGAAGATCAATTCCTGAAAATTCAGTTGACGAGAGTGTTATTTCCAGCAACAGGTCTATAATGAAGTTAAACAAAAATGGGGATAGTGGACAGCCTTGACGGACACCACTTGAGGTTGTAAAATCATATGACAGTTCGCCATAAGCTCTCACTCGACTGGTAGTGTTCGAGTGAAGAGCCTTCACAAGGTTTATGTGCTTCTGAGGTACACCTTTTAATGACAGACACTGCCACAGAACCTCTCGGTCTACAGAGTCAAATGCTGCTTTCAAGCCGAGAAAAAACTATCATTGTCGGCTACCGATAAATATGTCTGTGCTCTAAAACTTGACGAATGTTGAATATGTGGTCGATACAGCCACAACCAGGTCTGAAGCCAGCCTGATTTTCTCGTGTTTGCAGTTCACAAGTCTTAGTTAGGCGCACGATAATTATTGAGGCTAGTATTTTAAATGCTATGTTAGTCAGACTAATCCCTCTATGGTTATCATAGGATGATTTTGGCCCCTTCTTATATATTGGGACAATCAGAGATTGTGACCAGTCAGATGGGATAACGTCCGTTTCCCAAATTTTAGCCAGAATATTAGTCAACCTAATCGCTAAAATTGGACCACCATACTTAAAGACCTCTGGAGCCAATCCATCTGGACGAGCTGCTGTTCCTTGTTTCACATTACTGATAGCCTTTTGAACTTCAACTAGAGTTGGGGGACCTACTTCAATGTTCCATTCATGTTTTCTGGAAATAGTGGGTAGTTGTGCAGTAGCTGAAGGACAACTAAACTGCTCCTTAAAGTGTTCCACCCATCGTTCTAAACGTTTGGGTTGAGAGTAGATAAGGGTTCCATCTTTTTCCGAGATCGTCTCACTTACACTTGACTTATTAATTCCGATTGAATATATATAGATTATTAAATCTCATTGATAAAGATTATTATTAATGTCCACATATTGTCTATTACCTGTTTTTTCTTCTGCTAAAAGTCATTAAAAAAAATTATCAAAGTTAATTTTTTGCAATTTGGTACAATTCTGTGTATTGGATTTTCAGCCGTACTCGTTTATATATGAACCGTATGAACCTATTGTTGATCATCGGCTACCATGGAATTAGATTTCGTAACGTTGTTCCACGTTGACTCACATCTTATAAAAGATATTATTTCTTTCAAGGTTGTCGAAATGCCTTACTAATAAGCGGTAAATAGCATTAGGAAATCATTATGCGCAACGTGGGACACTACAAATGCTCATCACTTTTATCTGTCATTAGCACATCAAGATAGCATTACTTTGAAGATGAAACCCAGACTAACAGGAGTAATAACAGTATAGATAGTAGTAAGAAAAGAAGAGGCATAAAAAGGAGAAGTATAAGGAGATCTTTGCACTGAAATTCTAGAGGAAGACAAGGAGTGAATACACCTCTGCTATTCCGAATGATTTTGAGTCATATAACCCAAAGTCTCTAACCATTGACCACGGCAATCATGCTGACCCCAACTAAATAGTCTACAATTATAAATATGGTTAACTCCAACAGTCGATTACTTCATGAACTGTTGCCATATCTTGGCTTGTCTCCCTAACCTTTTTTCCAACTTACACTAGACAAAATCTCCCGTCTATGTGAGCACATTACCTAGGTTTGACTTCAGCCGCCTAATATATACACCAACTGTTTACCATTCTAGTACCTAATGTTATAACTCAATAATTCATTCAGTCCGACTTCATTTCAAACATCTGATCGGTAACACATCGTAGGTGACTCCTTTAAATTCCACTGATTGTAATTGTCTTGAAATTAGTCAGCATAATTTAAAGTATTTTATGTTTTTTCTCAGTTTGTCAATAGACTGAATAAAAATACATTTATAAGCAATTTGTAGATGACCGTTTACTATATTCACCGAGTTTTGTTTTCTAAATCATAACAAACTGATTGAAACCTTGATAAGTCAAGTAAATCGTGTTACTATGTTTATCATTTCTATATTTTTATTATTTCTTCTTTTTCCACGATCAAACTAGGTTGTTCGAGCTGCAGAAGATTGTGCTAACACAGTAGCACAAAATCTTCCACAAGAACTATGTCTCAATGTATTAACACCGTTAATAAATGATTCACAACTACACATTAATTTACCAGCAATTAAAATGCAAATGCAAGTTATACAAAATTCTTCACCGGAATTAGTTCATGAATTTATTAATGCGTTAATTCCTGGACTTGTAATTGTAAGTTTATGCTTTCATATGTGTTACTTTTTATTTTTGCTTCGTTATCTTCCGAATTGTTCTTACTTCATCATTTGACTGCCATTCTGTTGGTTATCATGGTTTGTCCTATGAACACCGATGTGGGTAGTCAGTAGAGATTAAACTAATCTACCATTCTGTCATAAATTGGATTGGCCAAAACGCACTCCATAATTTATAATACAGAACCTTGAGAGTTCATTCTGGGACGATAACAATAGAAGCAGCATCTATGTCTTTGTGTATACAATAGAGTAAATGGGTCTTGGACTTTGGTATTCTATGTATCCGTGTAGTAAGTACTCGCATATATATATATATATATATATATATATATATATATATATATATGAATAACACATACCAGCCGAATGGCCAAGACTTATTCTTATCGTCGCTTGAGTCTGAAAACTCTCTGTATCGGAAACATGGCTAACGAGAGCTTATGTATTCCTTCTGGCTCTTAAGTCTTCAAAGTCCATTAGATGTGGAATAGTGCCAGAGTGATCACCATAAACCGTACTCTATAATCTGGGGAATAAGGTCAACACGACACCCATTGTGGTATGACCGTGAGGATAATATGCCATCAATAGGAGACTCCGTCATATTACAAAGTAAACGTAGAAACGGAATTTCAGACTGCGAAACAATACTTTCTACTCTGACTGACGTAATGATTTGATAAGTCGATTCTCAATCATTGTTGTTCTCTGAAGTGACATCTGTGCCATGGTAATTCTGCTTTGCAACCATAACCTTTTTTCTGATAAACCAATCGGCTTTCTAACCTATTTAACAGGAGTCCTTTGTCCAGATGTCAATGTTTTTCCACCTTTTACCGGAACGATTGAATTATATTACATTTCCTTGATGAGTGTTATTTTATGTGTAACTTATTTAGCAGGTAGCTAATAATAGGTTCAACACTCAACAACCACACTTCAAACATGAAGACTAGTAATACCACTACTGGAAACCGATGAAACTGTGTTCAAACCTTCATTAACCACTAAACTACAGCTTCATGCATAGGGCGCATATCCCACTGATGTTCTTTAAAATACATATACATGTCTTAGAAATCCATCCATACATGATCAAACCATGTATTCAATGAATTTTGTTAATATTACCAGTCAACAAGCGATACTGGTGGACGACCTTTGTGCGACGCTAAACTGACCTTGAGTGTCCATCTAATAACTAGGGTTGAATTAGGGTTATAAACATGTGTGCGAAATTAGAATTATGATTTACAGTTGATCGCTAGGGTTAGGAATTAGATTTAGAGTTTTTCACGAACTAACATCAACCATAATACCAAAACTTTATATAGCCAAATGGATAAGTGAATTTCGCGCCAAAATCCGAGACCGCTTACCTTATATCTGATTGGTTCGTCTATAAATCACAGTCTCGTTGTGGAAGTATTTCAACATCATTTCATACTCTTCGAATTAATAAAATATGTCCCCCTAGCACAGTTTAATAAGTACGTCTCTAATCAAGTTTGTAATATTTTACTATAATCCTCCTACCCACCTTCTCGCATTCCAAAAAAATTTATCATAAACTGAAATCTCAATTTTTTCTTCGACTATTTCCCGTTCTTTTAGGGTAGTTAGTTGTTAATAACTCCGTGTGACTTCTGACCTGATCATTTTTGCATGTTGTTATGTATATTCCAGACAAAATATAGCCCATACATACTTGTACACATCAATTTTTATCAATATTATTATTATAGGCTTGTAACCATGAAGAGAGTGCCATTCGTAAAGCCAGTGTATTTTGTCTAGTTGCAATAGCTATGAAACTTGGTGATGATATCTGGAGTTATTTAACTGAATTAAACGCTGGCAAAGTAAGTTATCCGAATTATTATTATTATTATTATTATTATTATTATTATTATTATTATTATTATTATTATTATTATTATTATTATTATTACGTATCAAATTATTATATTCAACATAGAATTTTATGAGTGTATGTAATATGTATTATCTCAGAGTTAAGATCTTTTTTAGGTGAACAATTAATCGACCCTGCTTATACCTACTATCTATTGCTGACCATCTTTTTATGTTTTAAAATTATTTACAAATAAACTTGTATGGTTTTCATTAAGTAATTACAATTATAGTTGATTAACTGTATAATTAAGAACACACAGTCATGCATCTTATGAACAAGTCGGCTTTGTTAGGAATAAGTCATGCAGTTTTTAAGGTTAGTCATTTTACGTGCGTCTTCAACAACTTGTCCATAGGTTGGATCCAGGTTTTGTTATACTAGCTTATCATCGTCTTCATTTAGGCCGTCTATTACAACTTTCAGAATGGACATTTGCTAATCAATCGTAGAATAGTATCATTTTATTTCTCAAAGATCTAGTAACATTAGTAAAGTCGAAAAACGAAACTTATTATTGGGACATCTAAGATGAAGCTAACTTTGGATCTGGGATATTTTTAGAGAGAATTCATTTACTTTGATCAATACAATATTAGCTGTCAGTAAGGGGTTATGGAGTTTGTTGACTTTCATTGAGATCATGTACTGAAATAAGTTAAGCTATCATTGAAACCCGTAAGCACTGGACGGCAGATTAATCCTAGTATATGACCCCAGCAGTGCATATCCACGACTACACAAGCGGGAATCAAATCCAGGATTCCCGGTCTCGCGCACGAACACCTAAGCTCCAGACCACTAGGTTGACATTTAGCGGTGTTAATGTCTGACATCAATCAATCCACGGCATTGCATGACCATCTTCAACTGTCGTCATTTGATAACTGTCTCACATTTGATTCGGCTTAGCTCGACTGGTCACATCTCACTAGAACTGCAAAAGTTCCCTCTCTAAGCTAGTCCTTCATTTGAACCATAAATACCCTTGAATGCCGGCGAAGTGGCCTAGAGATCAAGCGTCTACGCGCCAGGCCCGTCTTGATCTCGATTTTCCGCTTGCAGGATCATAGATATGCACTGCTAGGGAGTCCCATACTAAGACAAAACGGCCGTCCAGTACTTCCATTGAAACCCGTAAGCACTGGACGGCAGATTAATCCTAGTATATGACCCCAGCAGTGCATAAAATGGTGGTTTAACCTGTACCAGTTCATGATCTTAATTAAAGATAATTCTAATTTCTCGCAAACTATTCACTAAGAAAATTCATTGTATGTAGCCTTCATCATCATGAAGCATGTGCTTTCTTTGTACTATCATCAAAAGTAATGTTATCATTGGTTCATATGTTTTTTCCCGCTCTAAAATCATCCAGAGAATAAAGATGCTATTGATTATAGTGTATAGAAGTCGATTTCACCGAATGTAACTGTCGTAAAAATCAACACTTATATGCAGGACTTTCATCACTAAATAATAAGTGACCAATCTCGTGTTTATGTTGTTGCCAGGACTAGTTGAATTCAATTGGTCAATTGTTTTGAATAATTCGCCTTTTCTAATAGTTCCTATTACTTCACCCTGTGTTCTTTTCTTTAACCTCCCCCTCTTTATCCTCGCTCAACAGAAACGCCTTTTGAAACTATATATTGATCGTCAACAAAGTTCAGCCACATCAGAAGATTCAATTACAACCAGAAGTTGATCCACTCATCATCCATTACTGTTGAAAAATAATCCTAGTTATAGATCATATATATGTGTGTGTACCAATTATCTCTATGAAACCAACTGTTTGACTCTCTTGTTCTTCGTCATCACCATCTACTATCGTCGTCGTTACCATCACTATTAGTGGTGATAATGTCAAATGTTTCTACTAATGAATATCATAAGAATTTGTCCATCTCCTTTTACACATTTACAAATAACAAAAGAAAACCATTTTTTAACAAACTTCTTCCTTCCATAATAAGAAATGCATATAAATGGCATTAACAAATTGAATATATAGAAAGTGGCATTTTATTCGAAGATTACATAATACATACGTTATTTGTTTCCTGTCTAATTCAGTGTTGTTAAATTAAGTTAATTAGTGAGTTGATTTTTGTCATGTTTCTTTTTCTGAAATCAGATTTTCATGTTTACTTGTCTTGTTGGACTGTTTTTTTTTCTTTGTTTCGGTTTTAATTCCATAAACTAATTCATTGAAATATTATGTGTGTTGTTATTGTTGTTAATATTACCAACATATATGATTTCTTTTTATGTCTAACACATTACTCTTACAACCCGGTCAAATTGATTAATGGTCAACAAAAATTATTTATATAATCACATAATGATCAAATGTAAGAAGCTAACTGTTTACTTCTTACTTCTCCCCCTTGAAACACGTATATACACATAACAAACAGAAAGAGAGTATATATATTTTGAAAGATTACGAATAGCATACTACTCTTCAATATATCAGTAGATTGATTGACTCTTCTAGTTAACCAAACAAATAATCAATTTTTTAGCGTTAAAATAACTAATTTATTATGGCTTAACGTTTCAGTTTTTATTCTGCTTTGAGTAGATATACAATCTATTCAAATGTGATTAGATACTTTAAAAGGTGTACACTTGTTACTCTCTCCCTCTCTCTCGCATATCTTTCATGTGCCTCTTTTCTCTCAGAAAAATAATAGTCAAGTATGTAATTTATTTTCTCCAACACGTGTAGACATGTTCATTGGATTATTTTCACTATTTCTTTACCATACACAAATTAAGCCTTCTCCTTTTACAACTTTTTTTCATAGTTTTATTTTGAACTAACTCTGCTTATACGTACTATTCTCTACCACTACTACTACTATTACTAGTAGTAGTAGTAGTAGTACCATGCATATATCATAAAAAAGTTTGTTTTTTTCTAAAATAAATATTTTATGAATAGTAATATATAAATTACTAACTTTTACTTCCTCTCCCCTTATTATTATCATCATCATCATCACCACTTTTTTTATTACAATACAATAATCCAATAGTGGTGGCTTGAACCAACACCTTCAGTATCTTTACTCTTCTTCTTTTTGGATGAATGAACAATTTTAGCTTTCAGGTTATCAGTTACCTCTTATTTGATTCGTATCTAAAATACAATTAATTTTTTTGTCTATAAAAAAAACATACTATTCGAGGTCACAAAAAAACTGCGTTACTTCATCCTTTAGCTACATATACAGACATAGTTTCTATGTCATTTGATTTTTCTTATGCATCATTTTGTTTGTAACGAAAAAAACGATATAGATTTATCACTTTGTGTATGAATGTATGTATGTATTTTTGATTAAAGACTCTATCTCTACCCCTCCACTTTTTTTGACATTCATCTAGTTTTTTTTGTCCATTTGTTGTGTGTGTTCTACTCGATGCCATGTTTTGATGCTTATATTAGATGTATATGTCAAAGAGGCTTTCTTTCCTGCTTATCATGTAAGTGATTATGAAGGGAAGGATGAGAAAAGTATCGTGGTATTGTTATCATTTTTATTGTCTGTACTCTGAACGAGACAGAGAGTATTAGTGAAATAATGCACGTTTTTTTAGACCACTACATTCATCCATATATGCGCCGTTATATGTTGTTGTGCTTGCTTCGAGCAATAAGAGTAGACTATTGTGTGTGTGTGCAAGGGAGATTGTGTTTTTATACTGACTACTGTTTGTATGGATAAATGTGTATATACAGAAACTGTTTTCACATTTTTCTCTCCTTTTTCTCAGCTTCTAGAGAGTTTGTTTACATTGTTTCTATCCTCGTCTTTAAACATTCTGTGTACGGTTTAATCATTGGTATTTCAGTTGACCATAAATAATTTGTGATAATTATTATTATTAATAATATTATTATTGGTAAATGTTTTCGTTCTGTAATAAATAATTAAAGATATATATTTATACTAAGTACATCATGTACACTAACTTTTTATGCTTCATAACCAATGATATTAGGCATACTAATACATCAACTTGATTGTTTTGCAGTATAATATAATAATAGAAACTGTGATACTATGATGACATAAGACTCAGTCCCATGGAAGGCTTCAGTTCCCGGGAGATTCTAGATACATCTTGTTATGCTAACTAGTGGTACGAATGCATCATAAATTTGAATGGCACTAAGGAATAAACCAACCATGAAATTGTTAGTAGTAAGAATGTTATACATCCTATAATCATATCTTCATTAGTAACTAAATTCAAAAGAAAATTCTCGTAACCAGTAGAGTACAACCATGTCAGGTGTAGGTCAAGTACCACCAGCCGCAATAGATGATACTTCCTCTATATTACAAATTAAAATTAAAATTGTGTACTGTCAAATCCAAACTCACTGATTCGAAGCTTAAGTACTGACGAAAAGTGAAATTTCTCAATCGATTATTGGCGTGGTCGTAGATGGACACTGTTTATTTTCAAGAGTTCTTCTACTTAAGTCAGTCCATTAATTAAACTACAAAAACAAAATGTTCTGTATAGAGGTTTCGCTATTTTTACGAAAGCGTCTGCATGGAATCAGGTAATGTTAGAATCGCTTCACTTCGGTGACCACAGCAAACGTATCATCCCTAATCTACTAATTAAATTGTTCGTTGACAAGTTCAATTATTTATTTATTTCAGGTCAGTTTTCATTTAGGAAACATTTAATTGTTAATTTTGACACCATTCTTTTAGTTGTTACCAAATAAATAAATTTCAGGAGTTTGCATCAATAATTTCTATTGTATTCAATAATAATTTATATCTTACACGTTCTGTTATGCTGAAAATGTGACAACTAATCTTTTCACATTATTTATTTTTATTTAAACACATAAATATTGGTACAAGGAGGCACCAGATACATATGCGCCACACAAGTCTCATTTGATTTGTGTGAGGGATGTGATACTGCCCAGGTGCCCAAACCGAAGCAGGTGTTTTTCATAGGGAGCCACACTTGGAGCCTTTGACCTAGGGGTCGGATCCATTAGGCAGTGGAGCATCGTGAGGAGATGCAGTCCCATGGTAGCCGGTGACCAATAATTGATTCATATGCCAATTGTTTCTTCGGGATCCTGGGGCCCATGTGCACCATTGGTTTGGAATCAGGGTTTTCCAACTCCCCTAGGTGGACTCTCCGTGTCCACTTACCCGGTTAAAGCGCCAGACATTCGCTTTCCATCCTGTCAACTTCGTAAACAGCAGTAATGCCACGAGAAGGCAGTGAGTAGGACTTCCCTGACAGAGGCTATATACGAGTGGCCATGTGAGAGCATTTGGAGAGGGAGAGCAGACTCTCCTTACTCTCGGCCGTACCAGGGCATATATATATAAGGGATTCGTGAGATGATAGCAATCGAGATCTTGAATGATGTGGCTCAAAATCGTTTGCAATGGCGAAGGTGCTTCCACTCCTTGTGTTCTCGCAAATTCCAATCTTCTGAATTCTGCATATTTGTTTCTTTTTTTTTCTTTCCAAATTTATTTCACTGGATTATACTCCTTCAATAACATCTTCAAACCCTAATCTTTCACATAATGCTTATACTCTTTCTACTTCTATCACCATGGGATTTGAATCAACTACATCTCTGTGCCATTCTGTTATGGCAACTCGGACTAATGTACGTAAGTACGAAGTTCTACGTTGTGACATATATATATATATATATATATATATATATTTGATTCATGCTTACACTTATCGCTTAATCTTCATCTAATCAGTTTTTTGGAGATTTCATTATTTTTCATAGTTGAAATCATGATTCAATTGAAGCTAGACCATCATGAAAAACCTAGAAGCAATGAACGGCCGTTTCGTCTTATTACGGGACTCCTCAGCAGTGCGCATCTAATCAATTAAATTGCTTGCATTGTATATCAGTGTATTTTTTAAAGATATAAATTTACATCAAATCATGCTAAAGAAAAAAAATAAATTGGAACTTTTGTACTTTCTATTTCACTGTAATAATAAGTAATCACTATTTGCTTTCACTCAATTAAATTATACAAATTTACATCTATTTTGATTGTTATTGGTTTTGGTATTTAAAAACAAAATATTGTATAAATGAAATCCAATGTTAAATTCAAAAATCAATCATTCACAGGTAAACGAATAAATGTTCCAGTTGTACCCATTGATTTCTCATCAGCTTCTTTATATTCATTTAATAATTGTTTCGATGATTCTGGTCGTTTTCTTTCATTAACTGCCATACCTCTCCATAATATTTCATTTTTTAAAAAGTATTCTTTAAAATCAGCGTTTTGTTCTTCTGTTTGTCAGATGTATATGTATGAAAAGAAGGGAAATAATAGATAAAAATTTGAGGTTTTATCGAAAAAATCTGATCTTCTATACATGCTTATATTTTTTCCTTGAAATAACTTTTGATTGTGTAACAATAATTACTAAGATAACTAACTTGGGATTGAACTGGTCAAAAATAATATTATAGACATCAATTGTATGTGTAGCAACTCATCTGGAGGTTATGACATAATTGTTTAATACTGAATGAGTCTTTAAGTTAGTACAAATCATTTATGATACATTAAGTAGTATTGGTAAGTTCACATTGATAATCATTTAGTATAAAAGATTTGAGAAGAGTTTGCACTTCCATATTTTATATCACAGACTAACCTCAGTTATACAAATAGTGTAAACCAGAAATTACTGGACAGTTGTGCTGTTGTAGTATGAAGTTCTGTGACAGTGCGCATCCAATATTTCGCCGAGTATGAAAGTCAAGAATCTAAGGTTTCCGGCAAAAACTTAGTCCTTGGACTATTGTGTTGACATGATTTTCATTTTTAACTTTAACTAATTAGTGATATTGCACAACTTCTTCGTACATTACTGAGGAGTCGCATGATCGGGAAAAAACAGTTATTGGTTTTCAATAGGTTTCGAAGATCAGCTCTTTGTATAAACTATGGTAATTAGGTACAATCATCATTATACTTTAAGAAATACGTAGACTGATTTATACGTTACCTCAATACTCCATTATTATAATTAATCATATATTTAAAGTCGGGAACTTGTAAGTCAATCGTCTTTGTCCTAGTCATATTTAGAAGTACAATCAAATCGAAGTATATATGTGTGTATCGAAATGAACAGATTGTATGATTTTATCAAAGCAAAATGTGCACAGGTCGTGAATGAAATGTTTGGAGATTCACTAAGATTGACTTGCCTGTTCGGGCATTGACAGAAACGTAACCACGAACAAGAGAGTCATAACAAACACTCCAGCTGGTTTTTTACTTTGTCAAAACTAGTTCGTGCTACTTAGTCCTAGTTAGTAGTATAAAGTAAAACAAAATTATGTCAGTAAATAGGGGCTAGATTTTACGAATTCCCGATAATTACTAGGACCTTGGCAGTGAAGATAGTCTGCAATCAACAGATACATTGATAATGGATTTAATTTATCGATCCAAAAGGAAAAGTTCCATATATCACATAATCAGACTTGGAAAAACACCTATAGGATACATGAGGTTGATAAAACCTAAAAAGATAAGCGGTCGGAAGCATTGTCATTATGGAAGACTGATCTAGTGATTGTAAAATAGTCGAAATGCTCACTACTAATTGAAGAAGGCAACTAAATTTCCGCAATTCATTCATCCAGTTCAGAGTAATCAACATTTTAAGCAAGTGCAAGGCTCTTATCAACATGACTTGATAGGATCCCGTTAAAAATTGTTTCATTCGAATTAAGAACACTGAATTTACATCTACTCTTGTCAATTTGGCTTGGAATGTACTCAAATGTGTAAATATGCCTTTATTACCTATCCAATCACTTTGTCAACGTCGTAGTGTTCAATATAAAACACTAATGTCTTGAGTTATGCCATATAACTATTTCATTATGTTCACTGTTTTTCTAATCCGAGACAATGTTACAAGCTCTTATGAATTCTTCAACTAGTCGCGAACTTTGAATAAGCTAACTTCATTCGACTTGATTTTTCCACATTTATAAATTTATTCAGTTAAAATAAAAATGCCCTGGGATAAAATGTAACAATTTCGCACTTTAGAATTACATATATATATTATTATTACTAACTAATAATGTTCCATGATTTCAAGACATAACTTCATAGTTATTCAGTCGGTTGAAAAAATAGTCAAATTAGTCATCTTCGAAGAATGATGTAACACTCATCTAGATGGTGGTGTGGTGTTGTCTACTTATATTCATATAAGTAGCATATGGTGATGGTTAGACATAGGATGTATTTTGGCAGAAGACCGATAAGGAAAGAACTGAAATGAAGCGCAATTGGCAGTAAAATGCACAAACAATGAAATTAGAGAAGATGGATTGATATTTACATAAAGAACAGTCAAGACTGCGAAAATTGGTTATTATTTTGCAAATTAACTGTTTGCTGTATGGTTATCAGAATTTAGTGAGATAGTCTGTAATTCGTGTCTTCATACATTCGATTTTCCCCAACCGTTGTTCTGGCCACTACAGTACCACCTTGATATATCATGCAAATTAAAAGTAGATTGTATGAGAACCATACATATTCTCACATTTTTCTTAAGGTCACTTCTAATCCTTTAATAAATACCCTTCTTTTTAGTTCACGAATTAGCCTTGAGAATAAAGCTTCTTCCACATATTTCCACCTGTTTGATTTCTTCCAGAATGCTAGTGACAAAGGTTACAGAAGCTCAAAAATCGACCAGAAAATCAACCCCCTTATCATATATATGTAATTATTATTATTACTATTATAGTAATTTATTCATTCTCCCTATTAACTAACTCACTTAAAATATCTTTGATACTTCTATTCTGACCACCATATTCTCTAGGCAGTACATTTTCAAGACCAGGTACTTTTTCATAGGCTTTCTTTATATTACTTTTTACTCTTATAAACTGTTGGAAAAAAAACAGAAAAAAAAAACTTGGTTTAGGTCAAAAGCATCATAACCATTTGTATGAGATTCTGTTAGTTTATGCAACAAATGAGTAATTATGTGATAAAAATGAGTAAACCATATCCAGTTGTGAGATAATTGTTCAATAATGTCACTAAATGAAGATTCCAGTGTAGTACACATTGACTAAATATCAACACATGGATCATTGGTACTGGTCAGGAAATGTTAATGCTGCGTGCGATATTAGTGTTAACCTGAATCATGTATTTTGGAGTTATTCAATCTCACTAATCTTACCTTTTTAGTCTTCATTATGAAAATCAAAAAGTTCTGAACAATTGCTTTGTACTAGTATGAAACTCTCAATCTGCGTTCCCCTTGACCCCATGGAGGATCGAAATGAGGATCCTCAGATTTAACTTTAATTAGTCCACAATAGTTCGCGACCATCTTCCATCACCTTCTGTGATTATTTTTCGAAATTCCATTTACTTCATCAAAAATTATTTAGCACTTTAAAAAACTTAGAACGTACAGTAAGTGAGTTGATCAAGTTTATTAGCTTCAACCTAACAACATATCACTATATATACGAATGTACAGCTTAAGTAAATGATTTCGTCGAAAAGAAAATTTTCTTCGCTGAATACTCTTTTTCTTATTCAATGACATTATGAGTTATTTTAGTTATCAAACAACATACATTTATTTCAAAGCTTCTGTAAACATAAATACAAGCGAACATTTATGTCAACCACAATGTTAATAGTTAAATTTATTGTAGTATCTACCGAAGAATAATTTATAGTTTTTATGTTCTGCTATCTGACCCAATCACTTCCAAATTCTTAAACTTTTACCAACCAGTTACGTCAAGTAAATAAATTAAGTCTCCATGGAAAGCGTTATTTCGAAAAGTTTAACAATAATATTCTCGGCTCAAAAATACCTATAAGTTACAATAATGATAGCAACATATGAACAGTGACCTTGCTCAAATGAATAACTCATTACCTCTCGTCATGTAGCCTGAATACAACGAATGATCTATCCCTCATTGCTCATTATTTATTATCTACAATTTAGCCAATTACAACGTTATGATTTAAGCATTCATCCGCCTGTAGCTCCTCTGGGGGTTACTGCCGGTTACAAGCCCGGGTAAAGGAGGAGGTTTGGGCATGGGGTTAGCGACCCCATCCCGTAGAAAATCAACTCCATAAAAAAAACGCTAACCAGAAAAAATCATTCAAACTCTGTCCTGAGAGTAGAAGGAATAATTATGACGTCTCATGTTGAAAGCCGAGTTCCTTCGGAAGTCATGAGGCCGATACACCTTCTTACAACCAGAGCGACAATTTTTATAGGTATATGGAATGTCCGAACAATGTGGGAGACCGGCAGAGTCTTCCAAATTGCTGCAGAAATGAGAAAATACAATCTGGAGGTGATTGGAATCAGTGAAACACATTGGACGCAGGTTGGACAACAGCGACTGTCTTCAGGAGAACTTCTGTTATACTCCGGTCATGAAGAAGAATATGCCCCACATACACAAGGAGTTGCATTGATGCTGTCCAGAAAAGCACAAAATGCACTTATTGGATGGGAATCTCATGAACCAAGGATCATCAAAGCCTCCTTCAAAACAAAGAGAGAGGGCATTACAAAGAACGTCATCCAATGCTATGCGCCTACCAACGACTACGATGAAGACACTAAAGACCAATTCTACGATAGGCTGCAGTCGATCTTCGAGAAGTACCCAACAAAGGACCTGACAATTCTGATGGGAGATTTCAATGCCAAGGTTGGAAAGGACAACACTGGATACGAAGACGTCATGGAACGACATGGACGGAGTGGGAGAAAGAAACGAAAATGGTAAGAGATTTGCAAACCTATTTGCCTTCAATAATCTGGTCATAGGGGGCACCATATTCCCACACAAAAACATACACAAAGCCACTTGGATTTCACCGGATCACACTACACAGAATCAAATCGACCATATCTGCATCAACAAAAAGTTCAGGAGGACGATGGAGGATGTGAGAACCAGAAGAGGAGCTGATATAGCATCCGATCATCATTTGCTGGTCGCCAGGATGAAACTAAAACTTAAGAAGCACTGGACAACGACGCAGACAACATCACAAAAGTTTAATACGGCCTTTCTTCGAGATGCTGACAAACTCAACAAATTCAACATAGTACTCAGTAACAGGTTCGAGGCCTTTCATGATCTACTCAATGAAGTGGGGACTACCATGGAGAGCAACTGGAAAGGTATCAAGGAGGCAATCGTTTCAACATGTCAGGAGGTTCTGGGCCAAAAGAAGCACCATCACAATTAATGGATCACTGTTGGTACACTGGATAAAATTGAAGAAAGGAGGAACAAGAAGGCAGCAATCTGTTATAACGTATGCCCTCTTAATATATATGAACGTGCAATTAGAGAGGAGTGAATTTATTGATCGGACGCAAATGATACTTGAAATCGTACGGGCTGATTTGATTACTTGTCACTCCTGCTTTCTGCCTAGCCCAGCCCGTTAAGTCCAGAACACAAATAACAGCCTCAGTGGTATGAATCATTATTTACAAACATACTGGGTTTTTATACAAACCAAAGTAATTAATAAACTGATTATAACTCAAGAATCGTATGATAATAAATCGAAGATCAAAATAAAGCTAATGATAAGAGAAATATGAATATGAATAGTTTAGTTACGTAACAATTGTACAATAGGAAATAGGCATATTACATTGATCCATAAATAGTTACCATTCATTATTCACCAGGGAATATAACACAATATCAGCCGAACCAGAGCGGAAAAAGCCTAGGCACAAGGCGAATACACAGAGGCAAACAAGCAAGTGAAGAGGAGCATCAGAACCGACAAACGTAAATATGTGGAAGATTTAGCGATGACAGCGGAAAAGGCTGCAAGAGAGGGAAACATGAGACAACTGTATGATACAACAAAGAAACTTGCTGGAAATTACCGTAAGTCAGAAAGACCAGTGAACAGCAAGGAAGGCAAAGTAATCACCGACATCGAAGAACAACGAAACAGGTGGATAGAACACTTCAAAGAACTCTTGAATCGACCAGCTCCACTGAACCCACCCAACATTGAAGCAGCACCCACAGACCTCCCAATCGATATTGGCCCACCAACAATTGAAGAGATCAGCATGGCCATTAGACAAGTCGAGAGTGGCAAAGCAGCGGGACCAGACAACATCCCGGCAGAGGCACTGAAAGCAAATGTAGCAGCAACTGCCAAGATACTCCACATCCTCTTCAGTAAGATTTGGGACGAAGAACAAGTACCAACAGACTGGAAAAAAGGACTTCTGATCAAGATACCAAAGAAAGGCGATCTCAGTAAGTGCGACAACTACAGGAGCATCACTCTCCTCTCAATACCAGGAAAAGTCTTCAACCGAGTATTGTTAAACAGGATGAAGGATTCCGTGGACGCTCAACTTCGAGATCAACAAGCTGGATTTCGTAAGGATAGATCGTGCACAGATCAAATCGCAACTCTACATATCATTGTGGAACAATCAATCGAATGGAATTCATCACTCTACATCAACTTCATCGACTACGAGAAGGCATTTGATAGCGTGGACAGGACGACACTATGGAGGCTTCTTCGACACTACGGCGTGCCTGAGAATTTGGTCAATATCATACGGAACTCCTATGATGGACTAAACTGCCAAATCGTCCACGGAGGACAGCTCACCGACTCGTTTGAAGTAAAGACCGGTGTTAGACAAGGTTGCTTACTTTCATCCTTTCTCTTTCTCCTGGTCATCGACTGGATCATGAAGATGTTAACATCTGGAGGAATGCACGGGATACAGTGGACAGGCAGGATGCAACTTGACGATCTAGACTTCACGGATGATCTGGCTCTTCTATCACAAACGCAACAACAAATGCAGGAGAAGACGACCAGTGTAGCAGCAGCCTCAGCAGCAGTAGGTCTCAATATAAACAAAGAGAAAAGCAAGACTCTCCGATACAATACAATATGCACCAATCAAATTACACTTGACGGAGAAGCTTTGGAGGATGTGGAAAGCGGATCGGCAAAGCAAGAGCAGCATACCTACAACTGAAAAACATCTGGAGCTCAAAACAATTGTCAAACAACACCAAGGTTAGAATTTTCAATACAAATGTGAAGACAGTTCTACTGTATGGGGCGGAGACGTGGAGAACTACGAAAGCCATTATCCAGAAGATACAAGTGTTCATCAACAGCTGTCTACGCAAAATACTTCGGATCAGATGGCCAGACACTATCAGCAACAAGTTACTGTGGGAGACAACAAACCAGATTCCAGCAGAGGAAGAAATCAGGAGGAAGCGCTGGAAGTGGATTGGGCACACCTTGAGGAAATCACCTAATTGTGTCACAACACAAGCCCTCACATGGAATCCTGAAGGTCGAAGGAGAAGAGGAAGACCAAAGAACACATTACGCCGAGAAATAGAGACAGACATGAGAAGAATGAACAAGAACTGGATAGAACTAGAAAAGAAGGCCCAGGACAGAGTGTGTTGAAGAAAGCTGGTCGGCGGCCTATGCTCCATTGGGAGTAACAGGTGTAAGTAAGTAAGTAATCTTTCAAAGAGTATATCATTAAAAAGAACACTTAAAAATGTCTCAATACCATCTTAAATGATTTTTGATTAACAAGAGGAAAGGCACCGAACAATGACACTTTCCTTTGATGTCTTAATCGTCAGATCAAAGATTAAAGAAACTGAATAAACACATATGTAGCGGTCATGTGCTCAACTAACAAAAAGTAGTATTGTATGTAACGTCTGTATGGTTTTAAAACAAAATAATTCACCATACTTATGTTAGAACTCCTGATCAACAAAGCTGGAATCAAGTTAATTTCTATGTTTTAAAAAAAGAAAATATCTTGACTAGTATGAAGGACAGCAACAGCTTTTAATGTTGATCCCCAACAGAATACTAGAAATTGGACGATTCTCAAGGAGCAAGTATATAATTCAGTTTTATTTGTGGATTGTAACGTTTTAATCTTACAATATTTACAAATTATGTTTATATAATTAGCTATTAATTACTTAGTGACGAGTTATGCCCAGTCAACTATTGATGAGAATCTAAATATTGATCAGTACGAATAAGACCCGTAAATATCAGAGCAATTGAATCTACTTTCCGCTTCGAAACAATTTCTCACTTTAAAACTAATTCATATCCGTAGACATGTTTCAACCGGTATAAAACAAAACAGTGACCAACGGTTAAGAGAAATTACAGTAGTATTTAGATAATACGTAAACATGACCTTCGATCATTTATTTGTATCTCACAATGTGTTCTACAAATTAAACTGTCTTGTTGTATGGTCATCAAGTGTTTTCCCCATGTCATGCTTTCGGTGTACTGAAACTCTTCACTCCACCTGACGACTGTGACAACTTCGTAGCCACGTTCCACTACATACTACTTACAAGAAATCTTGTGAGTAGCGTCCGTTACACTGAGATAGAAAAACTGAACTAAATCAAGTAAACAACACACATATGCAGTGATATTTCAGTGACATAATCAGCTAATAACAATAATTTGTTTTGCTTTTTTACGCAATCATGACCGTTCGCCAGAATCGTTAGACTGACGAATTCATTGATTATATCACTCTATAATCATGAAACTATTATCAAACGAACTAAAACTATCACAATTGATTGATCACTGGGTGGTGATGAATGTCATATGTGTCAAGTCCTTCTTAGTGCTGATCGAATGCTATCGATCAAGTTGCAATGTGGCCACTAGTCTAGGTGGCTCGATACTGCTATTGTTTTTGAAATAGTGATCATTTCCAAGATTTCAATAAACTTTTGGTATTAAGAAACTATGTCACACAGTTGTTTCATATTTTTGTATCACATTAATCGATAGTGATGAACAAAAAAAGAGCGGAAGGCTTCAATAATAATAGTAAGTCACATTGGACAAAGTTAATGCAAATAAACACACTCTCTATACTTTCTCATCCAAGATCATGTATAAGTAATTAAACAACATATTGAATAGCTGAGTTATGAATGTAAGGGTTCATTAAAAACAATGTAGAAATGTCTCTGACTCATATGAAAACTGATACTTGAAATTAAAACAACATTTGAGAAGATACGTGATTATGGATCCAGTTTATCAATCAGTAAAATGATCAATACGTAGTCATGTGATAACGATTTTGAGAAAGTAGTTAACATGACTACCAATGTGTGTTGTACTGCAACCAGCAAATAGAGATTGTCAATGATTACCCCTATCTCTCTCTCATACTAACTCACTTCCAACAGTAGTCTTTATTTATTTATGCACTTATAAAACTGAACTACGCTGTCTAGTTCAAGAAATTCAAAATAATTATCATTGTTAATAAGATACTGTGAAGATTATTCAGTGAATATGTACAGCTGACATATTCCCTTTCAAAATGAATAATTGGCACAGTTAATGATTGACAACTAGGGTGGAAATTATGCAACTAGGTTAAAGTGACCGGTAACGTTTTAGTAAATAATCAAACAGATACTATTCCTGAGTTTATAGATGATATGAAAGTTGCATAATTTATCCGTTTCACAAGAATAAACATTTTCTTTTCATAATCTAGTACCGACATTAAAAACTTCGATAGTGTAATAAGAAGACGTAGATTATCAGAGCTATGTGATATATTAGCGCAATACATTTCGAACAATCAGATCACGTATATTGAGAACATTTATATATAAAAATAAAAGGTCAAGTAGACTGGAAATGGGGGGTAAGAATAGACAAGGATAATAATTATATTAATGTCAAAACAATTTGACACCAAATCACTCTGGATAATAAGCTAAGGTGAGAACAATATGAATTCATACTATTCTGCATCAATGTTTGTTCTTGCTTTATTTAAATTCATAAAGGGAACCAATTGCATGAAACTATTTCTCAATGCACAAAGGGGGGTTGAATTTTCGTATGGCTAAGGCTTCAATAGACCTCAGTATACGCTGTTTTACACTATTATACAACACCACAAAAGCCGAGTAAAGATCAATCTTATGGCCTGTTTCGATTATGTGTTTGGCAGTAGAGGATGATTGTTTATCCTCTACTCTTATTGGGTCATTTGATTCTATTTGTTTCTGAAACCATTTTGGTACATGTTCACACACACTAATTTTTAGATTACGATTGCTCCTCCCTAGTGTATGTGTGACCACCCACACATTTAAATTGGTAAACGCAGTGGGACGTGACACAATCGTTTTCATGACTTTTAGGTTTTGAATGAAGCATTGACCTCGTTCTTTCTTTTATAATAGCCTTTTCTGCACAATACGTTTTGTTGATGACTTATTTAAGCCTTTGTTTCAATAAAAGGCTATTTTTTGAATCACCTCTAAATGGTAAGGTGATGTAGACAGGCTTTTTCTCCACCAAGGCTACAGTAGGTATATGTGTGATCAGATTGTTCGAAATGTATTGCGTTAATATATCATCACATAGTTCTGATAATCTTCGTCTTCTTATTACAATATAGAAATTTATCAAAGGGACTAATTGCTTTAAATTAAAAACTTAATTTATTTCATTATTGTTTAGTTGTTGGTGTCAGCAATCATTTGAACATACACAAGTTCATGCACACATGATTGTTTTTTCAAAATGAAACTAACAGAAAAAGTTTTTTTTTGTTTTAAGTAGCAACAGGAACTGGCTTTCAAATAATAATCAATCATGTATTTCCTATTTTTTTTATTTGTTTACATTTCTTTTTCACTTTAAAAGTAGAATCATTTTTTGCTAGATACTGTTTACTGTATATGGTTTAGTTATGAAGCTCTCAATGTGAAATTTAACTAAATGAACAAAGTGTTTTTAAGTGCTGTCAGAAATGTTTGGGTGGTTGTTGTTTTGGGGTTGACCACATTGTCAAAGAATACTTCTTCATGCGACATTTGTTAATGAAACTGATTTATAGTTGCTCCTGTTAGCATGATCGTAAAGATCAAGGACCGGTCATATATGATATTTTTCCGAGTAGTTGTTATGAATTAGCTTTGTACCTTATAGACCTTACCGCATGTAGCGGGGTAGATTAGGGTGTATTAATTTTAGACCCAGCCATTATTAAACTCCTCCGTCATAGGAAGGCAGCATCACTTCAGTTGCAGATTGTTTAAGGAAGTAATCTTACTGTCCTGACGATAATATAACTTTGCCCCTAAACCATGAATTTTATGATTCTAAACTTACCGTCGTCCAACTGGATTGTCTGGCATGGTAGAGCCTCAACGAACATGTGTTACAGTCGATATAACCCTACTGGATCATCATGATATGTAACCCAAACTACCACGTCAAGGTAGCAGATACGATGCATTTATATCATGAGTTCCATGTTCATTATGCCTGACTGACTGTTAAACTTGACTGTGAGTGATACTGGATGAACTTAATTAATTGGATAAGAATAATAATATGGACCAATAAATATAGACTAAATGATTACAATATAAAATATGTCTATAGAGGGATAGGAAAGATTGCATAATAAATTGATTCCAGTCTCTTGTTATTGAATCAATTTATGATACAATCTTTCCTATCCCTCTATAGACGTATATTTTCCATATAACCATGATTACAAGATAAGTTATTCATGGTGAGATACAAATGTTGACAGTTCAGCTTTTCGTGACTTCTCAACAAATCTTAGTTCACACACAGTTGAAGGCTTTCTTTCAAGTTACTCAAATGAGTCCAAGTTTTAGCGAGTTCATAGACCGGATAAGGTTAGACAAGTTTGTTATAACCCTCTAGTATTCCTTGATGTTTTCAGTGATAAGAAAATTTCGTACAAATCCACATCAATACACTCCGATCTAAATTAATGCTACAAATACACTATATAATTCAGAACATCACAAATGTAATTGAAACTCATACCAGTTTAACAAGTGAGCAGCTAAATGGAAAACGCGTTGAGGTTTCAAGCCAGCATTACTAGGTTCTAATCTCGGAGTAAACATCAACTCTGAAGTACGGCGATACATCCTACTAAGGATTCCTAAATGGGATGAAAAGCGCGTCTTCGATTCAACTGTTAGCCACATTCCACCCTTTTTGTGTATTTTATATAAATACCGAAAAAATTTTTAACAGAAAAACCTACCCGTTCTCTAACTTTTGGTTTCAGCCACAATGATAGTAATTTGAACAAGACTTCCATTATTTGCGGTTCATTATAATAGACTATTCCTTTCATACGAAATGGATAAGCTTCCTAACGGAAAATAATTAGTTAAAATTAAGGTTAACTTTCTTAAAGTACTCTCGAAAATCTAATTCGATTGTAAAAATGACCACAGAGATTGGATACATATCTGTGAATTTATACCACATCCTCTTTTTTGATTGTTCAGTATGTGTACAGTAGAAAGTACCTTCGTGTAATTTTTCCGTTCATTTAGGGGATAAATGTATGAGCATAATTTTCACTGAAGTTTTCATTACAAGCCCTAACTTTCAGCTAATTTGCTTATTTTCACCTGATAATTTGGAATTCCTTATAGTGCATTGTTCATGGAAAACATATGTAGATAGCGCTAGATAACTGTAGAGAAATCTTCAAGATACTTTGTATCCTCGTATGAAACACTTACCTACTAGACAAAAAGGAAAACACTCAAAAATGTTAAACATCACGCTTTTATTGAATATTGGAGAAACGTATGAATGGTTAATGGATTTGTTGAAGTTTCCTATAGGGGTTTCTGTTTTAAAACAAAAAAACTAACGATTTATGTATTTTTCCGCATGGCTATGTAACATACTACCATTTGGAACCTTTTGCACGGAGTCTAATAGTATTTTAGCGATGCTCACTGTGCCTTCATATTTTTGATATCTACCATTGTCAATGAATCTGCAAAGTATTTCTTATAAACAACAATATGATAATAATATTTCAATCTGAAAAGAGATTTATAATTACCCAGTCGTAATTACGCACACTTGTTTCAGAATCAATAATTTTCTGAATTACTGGTATAAATATCTTTTGTGATGAGCGGTAGCCAAAATCTGACAATGAAACACGGTGTGCTACGCACTAACCTCCTAATTGACTACTTGAGAGAGAACACAAGAGTTAGACAGAAAGGGTATTGGACAGCCGAATAAAATGTACAAATACTCATTCATATATATACCACTCTAATACCTAGGAAATTGATTTATTTCTCAGTTAATGAAATGCACTCGTCCAATAGGTCACTCCTGATTTCCATCGATTGACCTTCTCATTAAGCTACCTCTGACTGGCTCTTTATAACAGTAACTACTTTTTGGACTTTCACTTTTTGAAGTAGTATTCCATTTTCATGTTCCGGAAACTTACATCCACTTACCCGATCCTCCTTGACACTCCATCTCTTACTGCATTCATGTTTTGTGATTATTGTCTCGCTTATCTTAACACTTATTTGCGATATAACTAAACAATATTTCTCGATATATACTGATACCACTAGACTGATACCACTAACACCATTTATGTTAAAATCAGCCTTGAATCATTCAAAATGGAATCGGTTCTAATGAACATTTTTGTAGCAACCATTGCATTTGAAAAAGCCTTCATGCAACAAACCTACAGTTTGAAGGTGCTGTATAATCACGCTTTCATTAAAGTCACACAATATTGAGTGTCGACGGTAAGCATTTTCAGTACGAAGACGGATTGTAACCTTGAAATCGCGATCAAAACGCTGATCGATCCTTTCGTATACTATGCTCTTGCCTAACTTTACGTGATCGTCATTAGAATTGTGTACGTAAAGTGTTGTTTATTATGACATTAAATATTTTGACATTATGTTAATCAGTTAACATGAAAACAAAATTATTTAAATGTTTCTACTGAACCGAAAAACTTGTATCTGTGTACATATAAAATCTTACCTGTAATAGCTTACTTAAATCTCTAATAGTCTTTTTCGGATTAACTGTATCCAATAGAGAGGGTGAGACACCGGTAAAATCAATAAATACTCGTAAACCACAAATTTGAACTCTCGGATCTTCCAATATACGATCTAACTGCGCCATCAGTAATTTGAGCACAGTTTCGGTAGGTACATGATTATTGTTCCAACAACCTAAAAACAAAGTAATTAATGCATACTATGAAAACGTCAAATAATTAATTAATAAATATTGTATTGTTTCGAGTAAAAACTTTTTTAAGAGTTGAATTCTTGAGTCTATCTAAGCTAGAACACCACTGAAAACCTGGAAGCAGTGAACGACCATTTTGTCCTAGTATGGGACTTCTGAGCAGTGTGAATCCACGACCGCACGTGCGGTAACCGAACCCAGGATCTTCAGTCTCGCGCGCGAACATGCGATCATGGATGAACACTGTTGAGGAGTCTCATACTAGGAAGAAACGGCAGTTCAGTGCTCCTGGGTTTTTAATGGTGGTCCAGTTTAGATCGACTCAACTCTCAAAATTACTACAAACTCCACAAATCCTTGTTCTGATAATAAAAAGATTTTGTTATTCAAATACAATCTCTTACCACATGCAGCTTCCCAGATAAATGGACCATTTAGTAGTACATGTGTTTCGAATTCATGACAAAGATAAGGAAGAGAGATGAAAAAATATGGATTGATTAAGGTCATTTTAATAGATCCAAGAACAATTATTCTGGAGGAATGGTATTTTTAACTCGATTAGTTATTTGTCAGATATACTGATGCATACAGTCACAAACTTGATTAAGGAAATGTAAAAAATTGCTTATCAAGAAAATCCCAAGGACATGGAGAAATTTCTGGAACCATTAAACTAAAATCAACTGACAAACATATCGATATAGATCGATGTGAAAAAAAAGTTAAATAATCGCCATCGTCAGACGCCAACTGTACAAACAACTAAAAGGGAACAAACTGGACACATAAAAACAATAAACCAGTAAACATAACCAGTCGAAAACATCGTTATCAGAAGGAACTGACCTAATCCTTAAGAAATAATATCGCTTCTATATGAAAATAACAACAAGAGCTTCGTAAATAGATCATCTAACCTAGAGAATGCAACAAAACCGAAATCATTCACCTGAGTAACAAAGGTTATTCACCACTCCAAAACTTTGCACTACTCAAAAAGAGACTGATCTATTGCGGTCCCAAAGTTCAATGAAAAGATTTAAACAACTAATACAAGTAAACAAATAGCACTTTTTCAACTGAATATGTACTCAAACCTAAAGATTTATGCTTGCATCACTCTATCCCATGTTCATAGTCATCAGTCCTGTAACACTGAATGTTGAACACTTACGGTAATCCATATCAGTGTGTGATACTACTCAAATTAGGATTAACTTGGTATTCGTTCGAGACAATTGTGTTAAATTTGAATCCATTTAAAATTATTTATAAAAGTCGGTATGTTCTCTCATGATCATTTACATTATCTCCTTCTGTAAAGTTTGTACTTTGATGTTACTTAGCATCCAAACTGATCACAGAATCCTTAAACTCTTATCATAACGTTACACTCATTCCCACTGTTTAGTATTTCCTTCCCCTGTTTATATGATTGTTCGTTTGATTTATCTATGTACATGTGTGTGTATGAAACTCCGCCTGTAGCTCTTCCAGAGTTATTGCCGGTCGGCAACCAGGGTAAAGGAGAAGGATTGGGTATGGAGTCGGCCACCCCATCCCGTAGAAAAAATCTTCAAAAACTCCAACCAGATTAAACAAATTAAACCATTTAAACTCTGTCCTCCGAGTTCAAGGAAGAATTATGACGCCTCAGAATGAAAGTCGAGATTCTTTGGAATTCATGAGGCCGATGCCCCTTCTAACAACCAGCGCAACAATTTTTATAGGTACATGGAACGTCCGGACAATGTTAGAGACCGGAAGACCAGTTAAATAGCAACGAAAGTGAAGAGATACAAATTGGCAATACTTGGAATCTGCGAAACTCATTGAACTCAAGCTGAACAACAAAGTCTAGATATGGAAGAGATGCTTCTGTACTCCAGTCACGAAGAGGAAAATGCTCCACACACTCAGGGTGTTGCTCTATGGCTGTCCAAAATTTCACGAAATGCACTTGTAGGATGGGAATCTCATGGATCCAGAATTATCAAAGCATCATTCAAAACAAAAAAGGAGAGGATCACAATGAATGGTATCTAATATTATACTCCCACCAATGATAGCAACGACGACGATAAAGATCAGTTCTATGAAAGGCTGCAATCAATCAAAGCGAAGTGCTCACGAAAGGACCTCACCATCCTGGTGGGAGATCTAAATGCTAAAGTCGGAGTGGACAACACAGGATATGAAGATATAATTGGACGACATGGACTAGGAGAGAGAAATGAAAATGGGGAGAGATTTGCAAATATACATGCATTCAACGAATTGCTTATGGGCGGCATTGTTTTCCCCCACAAACGCATACACAAAGCTACCATACCACAGAGAACCACATAAATCATATTTGTATCAACAAAAAATTCCAAAGGACAATTGAAGATGTGAGAACCAGGAGAGGAACTGACATAGCTTCAGATCACCATCTGGGTGTGGCCAAGATGAAACTGAAGCTAAAGAATCACTGGAAAACTGGACAAACAGCACTACAAAGGTTCAATACAGTCTTCCTCTCAGTCACTATAAAACTCAACGAATTCAAGACAACTCTCAACAACAGGTTTCAAGTCTTCTAGGATCTACTGAAGGAAAAGAAACTACGATGGAGGACAACTGGAAAGGGATAAAAGAAACACTAACTTCGACGTGTCAGGAGGTTCTGGGTCGCAAGAAGCATCATCATAAGGAATGGATCTCTATGGGAACCCTGGACAAGATTCAAGAAAGGAAGAACAAAAATACATAAATTGACAACAGTATAACAAGAGTAGAGAAGGCACAAGCAAGAGTAGGCAGAAGCAAACAAATAAATGGAGAAAAGCATTAAAGCCGACAAGCAGGAATACATGGGAGAACTAGCAACGATGGTGGAAAAAGCCGCAAGAGAAGGGAATATAAAATAATTATATGGTACAACGAAGAAACTAGTAGGGAGATACGTCAAACCGCAGAGACCCATCAAGGACAAAAAAGGAAAGACAATCACAAAGATTCAAGAACAGAGGAAACGATCGGCAGAATACTTCGACGAAATGTCGAATGGACTAGCCCCATTGAATCCACCGGACATCGAAGCAGCACACACTGACCTTCCTATAAATGTGACTCCATCAACAAACCAGGATGGCTATCAGACAAATAAAGAGTGAGAAAGCGGCAGGACCTGACAATATACCAGCTGAAGCACTAAAGTCAGACAGTGAAGGAACAGCCAACATGCTTCACCTTCTGTTCATGAAGATTTGGGAGGAGGAACAAATGCCAACGGACTGGAAAGAAGGACACCTCATCAAGATACCAAAGAAATGAGATCTGAGCAAATGTGAGAATTGCAGAGGCATCACACTGTTGTCAGTACCAAGAAACGTTTTCAACAGAGTGTTGTTGAACCGGATGAAAGACGCAGTAGACGCTGTACTTCAAGATCAACAGGCTGGATTCCGTAAGGACCGGTAGTGCACAAACCAAATTGAGACACTACGGACCATCGTTGAACGATCAGTTGAGTGGAACTCGTCACTATACATCAACTTCATTGACTATGAGAAAGCGTTTGACAGTGTGGACTGGAGAACATTATGGAGACTTCTTCGGCACTGTGGAGTTCCTGATAAGATTGTCAAAATTATCCGGAACTCATACGACGGAATATAGTGCAAAGTGGTTCATGGAGGACAGCTGACAGATGCATTTCCAGACAAAGCTGTCTACTCTACCCCTTCCTCTTTCTTCTGGTGATTGACTGGATTATGAAGACCTCGACATCTGAGGGGAAGCACAGAATACAACAAACATCTCTGAATCAATTGATCGATTTGGACTTTGTAGATGACCTAGCCCTCTTATCCTATACACACCAACAAATACAAACAAAGACAACTAGTATGGTAACAACCTCTAAATCAATAGGTCTCACCATACACAAAGGAAAAAGCAAGATCCCCAAATTCAACACGGAGAACACCAATCCAGTCACACTTGATGGAGAAACTCTGGAAGATGCGGAAACATTCATGTACTTGGGAAGCATCATTGATGAACAAGAAGGATCTGGTGCAGATGTAAAGGCGAGGATTTGCAAAGCAAGGACCGCATTCCTACAGTTGAACAACATATGGAACTCATAACAACTGTCAACCAGCTTCAAAGTGAGAATCTATAATACGAACGTCAAGATAGTCCTACTGTACGGAGATGAAACGTGGAGAACTACTACATCCATCATTAAGAAGGTACAAGTATTTATAAACAGTTGTTTACGCAAAATACTCAACATTCACTGACCGGATACTATCAGCAATCGCCTTCTGTGAGAGAGGACAAACCAGCTTCCAGCTGAAGAGGAAATTAGGAAAAGACATTGGAGGTGGATCGGACATACATTGAGGAAATCACCAAACTGCATCACGAGGCAATACCTAACTTGGAATCCGGAAGGGAAGCGGAAAAGAGGAAGACCAAAGAACACATTACTTTGAGAAATAGAAGCAGATATGAAAAGGATGAATGTTAACTGGAAAGAATTGCCCAGGACAGGGTTGAATGAAGAGTACTGGTGGGCGGTCTATGCTCCTAGACGAGGGGTAACAGGCATAAGTAAAATGTGTATGTATGTGCAAAAGTTTCTAATAACTTACCAATTCGAACCATAAATAAAAATGTCCCATCATGAAGAAATCCAATTGGACAATGAAAGCTGATTAAAAGAATAAAGAAACATTGAAATGATGGAAAAATTAGTTATTTATGTTAGAAATTATTTCATTTTAAAATGTATTATCAAAATATTTATTAACATTCTATTTACTTAATGATGTGAACCGCGAAACAAGAAGCCTTAACAAACCACGGAAGCTATTTTTGGGGGGACGTTATTTCATTTAATTCGAAGATTGTAAAACTGTAACAATTACTTTTGTCCCTAGTCTATTCTACAGATCATAAGCTTTCGTTTAATGTATGATTCACTGCCATAGCCTTTTCTGTTTCAAAGCCATTGGAATTCAAAAATAACCTTTTGTACCCTATTTTCTACTATAATCTCCCAGTTTTGGACATAATGGTATTTTCCTAATTATTGTACGTTGTGGTCGGGTAAGTCATCCATTTATTCCTGTGTCTTTTTACACTAATCGGAATCCGGGTACAAGATTGACATTCGGAATAAAGCGATTAGTGTTCCAGTTGTCTTGTCTTATCTCTCTTTCTCGTGCTTGTCAGTCAATCAGGGATAAAATAGTTTTCGTTTCTGTATCCCCCTCCGCTTCGAACTCACGCATACTAGCCTCAAGGTTAAGCCAGTTAACCTATCGCATCAAGGTCTTAATCTACATTAGACAAGTTACGCTCGGCACGAAAGTGGGTAGACAGATCAAGGAAGTAACACTTAAATTACTGTTGGCATTTGTTGAACATTCATGAAATATTCTGTAATGATTATCATTGATTTTTCATCATATTCATCTATTCGCCCTTAATTTACAGAAGCAGTTGTCGAATACTAATTGATTCAATATCTGCATACCATAGCAATATGACTGAATATATAGTTGTATATTGTTTCTTTTGAATTGATTCAATGGCTTCTTTGAAACAAGTTACATGGATTAAGGTTATGAACATTTCACATTTCCAGGTTGATAAACAACCTCCAATGTGTGTTTGTGAAGCTGCAATTGTATAGTTAATACTGTAAACAGCTAGTCATAATTGACTAATGAACTCAACTATTGAATTAAAACTCCCTTGTAATAGTAATCATCATATGCTCACTAGTGACTGGCTTCAAGAGGTATTTCCTGGAGTTCTAGTGAGAAGCAGTGACCAGTGGAGTTGAACCAGGTCTGTTGTGTAGCAGTTACTCACTGAAGACAATGGTGGAAGGTCGCGCAATATCATGGATTGGTGGAAAATAGACAATAATGTGGCTGGATGTCGGCTCAGTGGTCTTGAGGTTAAATGTTCGCGCGCGAGGCCGAAGGTCCTGGGTCCGATTCCCGCTTGTGAGATCGAGGATGAGCACTGCTGAGGAGCACCATACTAGGACGAAAAGGCCGTCTAGTGCTTCAAGGTTTCCAATGGTGATCTAGCTTCAATTGATTCATGAACTCAATTATTAAATTACTATAATATCTACAAAACCCTTTTCTGATAATATTCATAATTTAAGCAAAATCGGAGCCCCATTATCAAAAGGGGAATGACCAATTCATGATCCTAGTCTGATCAAGTTTTTTATATTTATAAGATGTTCTAATTCACCTAATGTAAATATCCCCTACCCTAAATTTTCATAAAAAAAACTTATATTTGTGGGTATTTGTGAATTTATATTCCATATTATTTAAAATGTGTGTTTCCCCTAAACTTGGCTATTCCGTCAACCAACCACATGGTAAGAGGTCAACAAAACAAAAATCTCAGTAGGAAAACAAAGACAAGAAAATATATTTTAAAAAAACTGTGAAGGAAACCAATCGCAGATAAGGTCATCAGAACAGGCTGATTAAATAAACAGTTCATTTCTTTGCGAAGCAAACTCTGATGTTGTCCAAGAGCAGCGATAAAAGCTTCGAAATTAAACCAGCTTGCTCAGAGAATATAATACAATGCTTCCAGGTTTTCAATAGTAGTCTAACTTCGATCGGCTTACGATATTAATAAAATAACATTAAAGCATGATGAGAATTTATTGCAAAGAATAATATTTCATGTAAAATAGTGGTTGGAGGTAGTTAACAGGAAACTCTGGACCTAAGTTTCATAGTCTTTAACATGTGTCAGAAAATTGTACCTGTAATCTTGACGGAACTGATAATCTCTACCGGACTCGATCTTGTGTTACTCAGCTTCGTTGTCAGAGACGTGACCACTGAGCTGCTAGGCCTAAGATAGACTTAACATGCATAATATTGGTCATAACTCAGTGATCTATCAGTTGTAAAAATATTTTCCTTCCTATTATCTACGTTTTAATATGATGTTAGGAAGTGACTGTAGCATCGACTGAACCAATGAAAATAAAAAAAAATACTGGATTATTATTTTTGTTGTATTTTTCGTCTCTTCAAAAGTAAGATAAGAATTATGGACCGCTCCATTGTAATTTAATAGTTTAAATGAAACAAGTTCACAGTATAACATGAACATCTTGATCTTGAACCCATGGTTGGAGATAATGACTGTACACTTATAAGAAATCCAGAATTAACCAAAATAAATTCAGTGTTCCCTCATTTCCAGCAGTTCATCACCTAAAGTCAATTTATGACACTAATGGGCCGATCAAATCTATATATATCATGTACTTGTGTTCAAATGCGATTTCAATTCGAACTGGTAATTGAGAAAGGATAAACAAATCACTTTTTGGGAAACAATCGGTACTGCATGTGGTCAAGGTCACAGCCTGAATGACCTGGTCTAAGTCAGAAGTATATATATATACGGGTGATGCTTGTATTTCATCATCCTGTCTTGTCAATGAAAGCTCCCCAGTCATTTCTCGGTCTTCTCACTCGTCTATTTAGTTGAGCAGGCATATAAAAATCGAGCATACTATTGAAATGGTGGAGATGATGTTCGCTTTTTCTTCTTCTATCTTCTACCATCCAGCTCTACCGAAAAAAAGTATGCCGTATACCTGAAATGACGCGTTTAATGGTAATGGAAGCGAACCAAATGCTAATTAACTATGTTTACGCAATCAATTACTTACCCCATTTTTAAATATTCATCAAGTGTTGCAATAGTTATAGTTGAACGATCATACCAACTAACTACAGGACTTTCTGGTGATGTACGCAATGTAATAAAATTATCTAAACGCATTTGAGCTTCTGAATGATTATATTTTGCTTGACGTAGAAATGCCAAAAATATTCGATCATCTAAAATAAAAATAAAATATATCGATTATATTTTTAGAAATGAAAATATAAACAAAATATAAACGACTGACTTCAAGAGATAATTCCTGGAGTTCTAGTGAGAAGCAGTGACCAGTGGAGTTCAAACCACGACTGTTGTGAGATAGTAACTCAGTGAAGACAATTAGTGAACGGTTGCTCAACTTCGTGGATTGGTTGAAGTTAGACATTAACACCATCGGATGCCGACTCAGTGGTCTAGAGGTTAAGTGATCCGGCGGGAGAGTGATAGATCCTGGGTTCGAATCTCGTGAGGCAGGATCGTGGATACACATTGCTGAGGAGTCCTAAAATAGAACGAAACGGTCGTCCAGTGTTTCCACGTTTTCCATGGTGATCTAGCTTCAATTGACTCATGCTTTCAACTATGCAAATATTTTATGAAATATCTTTTGAATTGGTCAGTTACTATTATTCCCATTTATTGTTTAAAAAAATAAAATTTACCATTTGATTACTGAGGGTTATCCAATGTCATTGTTTGTCTAACTCTACATAGCACCCATTAAAATTCTATCGATCAATTTGAAAGTGTATCCAATAGTCTAAATGACTTTATGTACACTACGTTGGAAACTTATCTAAATCTAGTCAAGATTACCAGCATTGGTATACTTCAAATCTTTTGTCATAATGATATTAATGAATGAATATATTTCAATTGTCTCAATTAATACAAGTCGTAAACTTTATTTTATCCTTTAACATGTGCTTTACAACAGTATCGACCTTTCATTTCATTAATAGTAAACTTATTTATTTTCATTTGACTCATTTTTAATTCAAATAATCTAGATCTTACTGAACGTTTCAGATCAACAAATATAAATCTAGGGTATCTGTGGATCTGTGCTAGTTATAGAATTTTCATATTTTGAACCATCAAATGACCTCAGCTGAACCAACATTGAAAGTCTGGAGGGACTGAATAGACGTTTTATCCTAGTGTTAAACTCCTCAGTAGTACGCATCAGCGAAACCACATCGGGGAATAAAACGCAGGACCTTCAGCCTTGCACACAAACACGTAAGCTCTAGACTACTCAGTTGGCTTCCATACTTTTAAAAGTAGTCTAGATAGGATCAATTCGTCATTTAACTTTATGAAAATCCTACAATGTCTAAAAATCCTTCAATATGAATAATAAACATGTGCTCACTAGTAAATGTCTTCATGATGCAAAACCTATATTTCTAGTGAGAATCTGTGACTCATGGAGTTCAACCATGTCGAGTGTAAGGTAATTATCAACCGTAGGTAATAGACGCGGATTTCACAAGATCATAAACCGACTGAAGTTGAATACAGGCTCAGTGGATTGAAAGTTTAGTGTTTGTGAACAAAATCAATAGTCATAGGTTTGATTCCCGCATCTGGAGTCATGAATGGACACTGTCGATAAGTTCTACACCAGAACGAAACGTCCTTCTATTGCCTCCTAGTTTGTAGTAATCATCATCATCAGTCCTAATTCAAACATTGAAACGAAGTGAAATTGTTACAATTTCTTCATTCGATCAATATTTTTCATTGGCTAATAAAATCAGTTTATACTGTTGATGATGTCTAAGAAGATAAGATTAAATCACTCTTGTGATTTATAAATCTTATCTACCACTGCAGACTGTTATAAATTAGAATGCTAAAAATCTTCCATCTCACATTGTTTAGCATTAAAACATATATCTTGCAATTGCTTGGTGTAATTGCAATTCTTACAATATGAAGGACTTCAATTGACGTTCTCATAGAAAAAAAATCCCGCATGTGGTATCGCAAATGAGCACTGTTCAGGAGTCCCATACTTCTAGATTTTCAATGATGATCTAGCCTAGAATTCAACTATTAAAAAATCGAGCATGATAAACTATTGGTCTAAACAAAATTCCGATTACATTTCCCTTCATTTAGAAATTTTGTTTAGCTATTCGATCTGCTCAAAATATTTAAATTATCTTGAATGATTATGATAACATTTAAGCAAATAGTTAATATCTGCTATCCGTATTTAAAATAGATAAGAATCATTACAACAAAATATCACCATTGTGACTTACCATCTGCACAAGAAAGATGTGGCATTGAATATAACCATCTTTTAATACTGGTTAAATGTGCAGTAATATGTGATGTATTCTCACGAACCTCTTTAACAGATTTATCTCTGTAAAACTTTGTAATCGGTGTAGAAGATGATAAATGAAAAGTTCCCGATGATATATTCATTATATTTGTGAAGGAATTTAAAAGAATAACATAAAAATAGAAGTATAAATGGAATTGGAGTCACTGAATTAATCTTTTACTAAACTAAAGTGATCAATGTATTTCTTAATTCTAGGAATGTATCAATATATAAATGGGGTACATTTACTAGTCAACCAATTAATGTCATTATATCTTATAATATTTAATTAGATCAATATATAAATGTAACCATTATATGTCTGTTACACTAAATGAATTACCTGTATCTGAGTACTAATTAGCTAAATGAATAAACTCCACTTTAGTCTATTTTGTTTTATCATAAATGAGCAGACATATGTATCTATTCGTCTTGTTAAACACTATAGTGATATTATTGTAAAACAATATTGTATAGCATGGTGTACAAACGTCATCATCTTACTTAAGCTTAAATAACTAAGAAAATAGATATACTTGTTTCTCAGTTTTTCTTATTAACTCAAGCTTGTGAAAAAAAAAGAAAATTTGATTTTGAGTTGGTGGAGAAGATTTGTAACTCAGATGGATGACTTTGATGGAGTTTTGTTCTCTGAGATGGATGGTTTGTTTGTGGAGCTTTCATCGTCCTACTGAACGACATTGTCATCACAAACTTCGGGTAGAAGGGTGATGAAATCTCCACAACCAAACCATCTAGCTCAGAGAACAAAACTCCATCAAAAGAAAATTTGATCTCAGTTGTTTTTATATTTCATTTTAATAGCACAAGAAATGATATAGACTGTGAAACTAGTAAAAACAAATGATCAGTAGACAGGTGTTCAGTCTTAGTTTAGCGATCATCAGTCAGGTGAACAGACTGCACCAGTCAAAGGATTAAAATTGGGAAATTCTGTTTATTCATCATGATATATTATTGTTTTGGTTCTGATTTTTTAGAGTCCTGAAGAGTTCAAAGTTTGTACAAAATAACTGTTGAACTTTCCTTGGCTTTTAATGAATCTCCAGTTAATATTAGTTCGCATACATAAACTAAATTGTAAATAATTGATAAATAATCGCAATACCTTCAAAACCTCAGTTACTGCTAAAAGTCAGGAAATTTCTCTATTTTTTACCTACATCATTATAGTCTCCATCCAAAGAATTCCTGCCAACTACCAACGCTTAACTTGTAATTTACATTTCACATACAGCCTCCACCAAGATTAAGTGTCTCGTGTAATTCATCTTTCACATGATTTCATATTCTGTTTGTGATTACGTAACTGATATGTTTAATAATTCTAAACACCATAGAAACTGAATAAGCCTAAGTTTTGCTCTGAATAAAATCGATGAGCTTAAACGGCTTAAAAAGATAGCCTATTTTAATTTTTTTTTATCCCCCTCAAAACCACAGTATCTGTCAGTAAATATATGTGCTTGTAACTGACTAAGTGATCTTGCATGACACGAATTGTGTAGCTTTAAAATTTTTTGGCATGAATCAATATCATTCAACATGAATGTTGGATGAGCACAAAAGTAACTTGAACAGATTTAAATAAGGTAGCAACAACGATTAACACTGAATAATTTGAATTCATCTTTTCTTTATGGTTTCTCGTTAGCTGCTTACAGCCATATTCGTACTGGAAAACAAGAAAATACTGAATAATAGATATCGGTAACTGGAAAAATTGAAGGTAACACGATCAATACTATAGAAACATGTAGTAATAATAATATGAAGGGTTATTTAAAGACAACTACAGGGAATATAAATGAAGTGAATCAGAAATTTATGAGATCAACTAAGTAATAATTAGTGAATATTTGAAAATATAAGTTGAGTTATGAAATACTTCTACTCAATTGGTTCTATATTAGAACTGTGCACTGGTAGATAGGTTTTCCAAATGAGTAGAAAGTCGATAGCAATTAGATGATGGTAAGTCAGTTGAACAATATAATAATCATGGTAAGCAAAGATGGATAGCGGCTAGCAGTGGAATCCACTGAGTCCTGATAGCCACTTGCTTGTGCAATGGGGTGAAGTTGAAATTTACTTAGTATTGTTTGTTTGGATCTTCCGTTCTTGGACCTTCTCATCTTTGCTTACCTTGCTTGTGAATTTAGGCTATATCGAGGCAATATACACAGTATGCACATATGCCAATTAGAGACTGACCAATTGCAGTCCTAAAAACATCAATGGGAAGATCCAAACAAACAATACTAAGTAAATATAATAATCAATTAGTTATACAACGTTTGTAAAATTAAAACTGAAGTGAAATTTCATAATCAGTTCAGTTACACAACTAGCTACATAAGAGTAAGAACAGGAATTGAAATTATCGGTAAATATGAATGCGTCGGCTAGAGACAGGTATCTACCTTAGATAATGGATGAATGGTTGAGAAAGATCATTAAACGATTGAAGTCAGATATTAACCCTGTTAGATGCCGGCTCAGTAGTCTAGAGGTTGAACGTTCGCACACGAGACCGAAGATCCTGAGTTTGAGTTCCGCACGCGGTATCGCAGATGGGCACTGTTCAGGAGTCCTATACTAGGACGAAAAGGTAGTCCAGTGCTACCAGATTTTCAATGGTGGTCTAGCCTACATCAACTCATGAATTCAACTTACTTACTTACTTACTTACGCCTGTTACTCCAAATGGAGCATAGGCTGTCGACTAGCATTCTCCAACCCACTCTGTCCTCACCCTTTCTTTCTAGTTCTATCAAATTTTTGTTCATTCTTCTCATGTCTGTCTCCATTTCTCGGCGTTATGTGTTCTTTGGTCTTTTTCTTCTCCTTTGGCCTTCAGGATTCCATGTGAGGGCTTGCCTTGAATTGATTCAACTATTAAAGTATAAATGTCTTGTGTTATCTGTAAGATGAATAATGCTTATTTACACCAGAAGCCATAGAAATAAAAATCTATTGAGCTAATTTCCGTTTACAAAAAAGAAGTTGATACAGCCTCATAATTTAACTTGGTCTTTCACTTGGATACTATTAAGTTTACTAGAAATCTTTTTCTTTTCCTTCTAAATTTCCAAAACTTTGATTTTGTTAACATTTTAATTTTTTAATATTAATCTTACTTAATGTGTTCGATTATTTTAGTATATACTTTCCATCACACCTATCCTAAAAGTAATTTGTCATTACATTACGTAATCTAGTGTAATGATCTTTCTATTGCATCATCATGTTCATTCGTTGTTCACATGTCCTCACAGAACTAATACACAAACACACATATATATGAGTGTATGTCATGATAATAAATTCGTTGAAAAGAGATCCCTTCATTAAAATTTTTATTTTCAATGATCAGAAGGGGAATTATTTGTCAATCATTAATTCTACAGATAACAACAGACATTTATATTTACATCCTCTGTAAAATTTTATTCCAAATGTTATGCAACTACTTGTAATAATGAATTAAGTATGAAAACTCAACTTAATTTTAATTTTCTAAACACTATGTAACTAACTGATTATTATATTGTTCAACTGACTCACCATCATCTAAATACTATCAACTTTTTACTCATTTGGAAAACCTATCTATTAGTGTATAGTTCTAATATAGAACTAATTGAGTAGAAGTATTTCTAACGTCTAATTATCTTTTAATATAATTGAGATCATGAATCAATTGAAGCTAGATCACCATGTAAAACCTAGAAGCACTGGACGGCCGTTTCGTCCTATCGTGGGACTCTTCAGCAGTGCGCATCCACTATCCCGCCTCGCAAGATTCGAACCCAGGACCTATCGGTCTCGCACCTGAGCGCTTAACCACTAGACCACTGAGCCGGCATCCAACGAATGTTAATGTCTAACTTTTAATATCTGTATAGTAATATATAATGAAAATTTGAAGAGTTTACATAAATTTAAGAATCAGGTAGATGAAAAATAAATAATTTCAAAGTGGATCAAATATGAATATGGTTGTAAGCAGTTGATGAGGAAACACAGATTCATATTATTCAGTGTCACTTATTGTTATCGCTGTGTTCAAGTTGATAAAGGGAACAAATTTTATGAAATATGTAGATCTATGCTATTTATCTGTAATCATATAAAGTCAGATACACCGAAGGACAGTGTCCTCTAACAGAGCCTAGAAATTATTGACTTATTACTGACTACCAAAAACAAGATTATCTTGAACGTTATTGATTGTTTTTTTCTTTAAATCTAAATGATCCAATTTCTGTATTAGATGATTAGAAGATATATCTAGATCATTGTTGTTCAGTTTACAAATTTTGAAACAGTTATTTCCAATAAATTGTAATCATATAATCAAATACAATCACAAAGAATCCTGTCCAGAATCTCTTGGTTTCATGGTGAGTACGATTTTGAACACATGTATCATAAATTTCCAAGTTCAGTTAAGCGACGATATGGAGTTATCGTTCTTTATAATTCTTTCGACTTCATAGTCAACAGGTCTTCATCCCAAATTCCCGGAAATTCATCTGACCGCTGACGACAGATATTCACACAATTACTATCAGAGCATGTAATTTTACAAGAGGCTTTAGCTACTAACTTAGATCATCCTCATTTATAACACATCTAAATTCTGGTCCAACAGAACACCTTAAACTGCCCCAAACAAAAGAGGTGATAATATTATAAGTAAATGATAAATGAATGAATAATATATTCAGACATTAAATGAATAAGAGCGGTGGTGAATATAATATACAGCCCACTTTAAAATACAGTCAAAAGATCTCTTTGGGCTAAGAGAACCCACTTCAGATTTATATAAAATGTAATAGATAATTACAGCAGACTAGCCTCTGGGTTTTATTGTAATCCATATCTGATAAAGTTTCAAATCAGTCAGTTATCATTCACACCACGACCCCGTTTCGTAACCTAACATCCTCTTTGCTTTGCCATTCAGTTCGATCGTTAAGGAGTAGTGAGAGATGTGGAAGCCACTAAGATGATATATGTAACTATTTCCTATCCAAATAAACCGGTACATAAGGGCCACAACAATAAC